TGTGTGTGTGTGTGTGTGAGAGAGAGAGAGAGAGAGAGAGAGAGAGAGAAATAAGATAACGAGTTGCACATGATTAAAGGTAATACAAAGTTTTGGGAAATATTTAAAATTGGCTGGGTAGTGATTCTTCACAATTTTCATATATTTGGATGCCCCTGTGGATGTATTATAAGCACTAGAAAATTTAGCCCCTAAAACACTTCTGCTTTCGAGAAAAATGGAATATAAAAATTTACCGGTGCTCCCGGTAAATTTTGATAAATTTCAAATAGCGCCTACGGCCATACAATGGTAGCTGCGACCATGAAAATTTCAGAATATGTAGGTGTGATACATAATTTTCAGAAAGGAATAGCCACTCGGTCTATTTTAGTCAAGAAACATTGTTTTATAGCTTAATTAATATCTTGATCTTAAGAGGGAGCTAAACAACATAAAGAGTTTATTATTTACAATTTCATAACTTTAGACTCGATTTCAACCGCGACAACGATCACTGAATAGTGTAGGATCGCATATGCTTCCGATATGTTAATTTGAACCAAATTCATGACCCTATACCAAAACTTTGTATTACCTTTAAACACATCATACACGCACAAGCTGATTAGTGATGACAGTAGGATATTGGATAGGTGTGTCTGCAATTTGTCAACCAGAAAGTTTGGTCTCAAAACAATGCTTTGATTCGATATTGAACACTGCCACACTGACTAAAAGGTTAGAGGTCATCGTGACATACAAAAAAATAGATTAGATAAAGAGAAAGAGGGGGAGGAGAGGGAGAGAGAGAGACAGAGAGACAGAGAGAGACAGAGAGAGACAGAGAGAGAGAGAGAGAGACAGACAGACTGACTAGAAGCAGACAAAAGAATGAATACAAAATAAGTCAAGGCTCGAAAAGAAGTTGTTGCAGAAAATATTTTATTTTCAAACTCAAACGTCTGGGTGAAATGTTCAAAATGCGAATTGATAACTTAACACGGGAAGTTTCATGCAGGGTCCTTCCTTGTCTCGTTATAATAGTTTGGTTAAAATCAAAGTGGTTGAAGCTGGGTGGAATTGGAAATTCCAGGGAATAAAACCATGAAGACAATCCTTTAAAGGCCCACTGCACTACTTATATCTACTTGCGCCCTCTATTTAACAGACAATGCATAATCGGTGATCATAGGTCCCCCATGATCCTCTTTTTCTTATGTTATTTGAGAGCTGATTTGATGAGATAGCCACCTGTCCAGTGACCTTGCAGTGTGGTATCATCCCTCCTCTACACTAGTACTGATGGGCTTTAACTTAAACAGTGATGAATGCCTCGATAGATGATGGACCGCCATAAGTCCTCGTGTAAAGAAAAAAAAATACTAAAGGGGAGCAGAAATATAAGAAGGGGGGTGCTAACATAGTTTAACCGATGTGGGTTTCTTAGCTAATTTGTTTATGTTTATTATTCTATTCTATTCATTTTTTTCAGCTCGTTGGTTTAATTGGAAATTAGACCAAAGCCTCTAACTTTTTAAAGGGATGAGAATATAATGATTTTCGTTCAAAGATAATGTTTGGCATCTTGTTTCTATTGTTTAATTTGAACTTTTCCAGTCTGTTTAAAGGGAAATGAAAGCAATTATGTTACATTTTTATATTTACCCGATCACGCACACACACACACACTCTCTCCATCTATCTTCCCCTCTCTATAACTCTCTATTTTTGTTCTCTCTCACTCTCTATATCTCTCCCTCTCTCTCTCTCTCCCTCTCTCTCTCTCACCCTCTCTCTCTCTCTCTCCCTCTCCCCTCTCTCCATCCCGTATTCTACCCAATATTAATAAGAAAATGAAGTAATTCCCCTTTTCTTCATTTCTTCTTAATATCTCCCTGCCAAACACTCTCCGTGCAATTACTACTTGTGTAACAGTTTCCCTTGATAGTGTCTTCCCATTATACATGTATCTATCTACTCGTGTATCAGGGGGTAATAGTAAACTGCTCAAGTCTTGACCCAGAATGAGAGGCACTTGTTTACAAGCGGCTATTAATAAAAGGGGAAATCAATGATGTCTGAAGTAGAGCATGTGATTGACCTATTGTTATCGCTAGGCACGCAAAGGAAGTGATATATATATATTGCGCATGTTGCGTGCATGAGACTTTCCATTTGATAAGACAATTTTTGTGTAATTAATACGTTTCCCGTTTCAGGAGTATAATTATTTGAATAATGATAGTTTCCCGAAGGTTACCAAACACCATATTCACAGAAAATCACTGGTATTCACATACTCAACTTCGGTTGTATTGATCATACGAAATTATCTTTTTTTCCCTTTTTGTTTTCCTTTTCTGTTTTGAATTTCTAATTTCAGCTGTTAGATGTATCCCTGCTCACATCATCATTGTGTTCTTACAAGAAACTTAAAGGCACACTGTCCTACTTGTAGCTACTTGCTCCCTCTATATAGAAAACTTCACCAATCGGTGCCTGTTGGTCCCCCATGATCCTCTTTTTCTTATGTTAAATGAGAGCTGAGTTAATGAGATAACCACCTGTCACAGTGACCTCGCTGGCTCGCTGGGTGGTCTAATCCCTTCTTGCTGAAGTAGTAAAGCCTACCTTTAATGTATGTACACTTTATTATAACGCTGTGGGTTTTTTTCTGTGAGAATGGAAGTGATGTCATGACTCGGTCATTTTGAAGTGCCTGGGTCCTCGAAGTTTATTAATTACCACGCTAATACGCTTAAAGACAGGAAACCTAATATGGAAGAGAATAGATTAACATTTTGAAGGACTTTCATTTTATGGTACTTACAGCTAATTACAGCTACTTATAGCTATATCCTTGCGCCCTCTATATAGCAAACAAAGTCTAATCGGCGACCATTTGTCCCCCATGATCCTATTTTTCTCATGTTAATTGAGAGCTGATTTGATGAAATAACCGCCTATCAGTGACCATGCAGGGAGATAATCCCTCCTGGCCAAACTAGTGCAAATAGGCATTAAAGAACGGCTATCTTAAAATAATGTCATCAAAATTGGCACAATGTTAGCTATGGATATTGTCCCGTATGTAGATGTATCCCTGCTCACGTCCTCGTGCTGTTCTTAGTTTAAATAATCTTTAGAAATATTCAGTTATTTTCAAAGAAATTAAATATATATTCTTATGCTGAGGGTTTTTTTTCTGTGAGGATATAAGTGATGTCATAACTCGGTAATTTTGAAGTGCCTGGATCCTTCCTTAAAGTTAATTACCATGCTATTACGCTTCAGACCGGAAACCTGTATTATGGAAGAGAATAGAATTACATTTTGAAGGACTTTCATTTTATGGTACTTACATGTATAATCATAGGAGATTGCCCATTACTTTCATTTTAACAGACTGATCATACCCTGGATTAAAGGCATCGTTTAACAATGTTAAATCTGAGATGCACGGCCCTACGTGTTATATCAGTGTCTGTGATATCGTGTAATATTTAAGCCCTAAACAAAAAATCGCGCTTCAAAATGATCAAGAAGTGCCTCAAAAAGTAAAAATCTTTGATTGACCTGTTTTACCATATTCGCTTTCCCCAATAGCATGTAGTGTTATGAAAACCGTTAGGCAAACTCAAAATTTGGTTTCGATTTCCAATCATAAATATCTTGATAATCAGACAGGCGATTGGCTTGTAGAAGTCATGGGGTTCCTGACTGACCTGAAGGTTTATAACTATCATTGCAGCATGAGCTAAATCCAGGATCTTGTCTCAGAATCTGAGACAAAGTTACCGGATCCCTTTAAAGGAATCTATTTATTGAGTTTATTTCTTGTAGTTTCAAAATTTTCCCATGAATAATGATGAGGAATAAAATGTAATTTTTGTCAATCGATGTTCGTAATTCATCTCATTTTCCAAAGCCATCAATTTTAAATGTTGTTACTAATCAAATAATGTGACGTATCCATGATTGATCGAGACAATCAATAGATAACTATCGACTGTTAGAGGTAACAATAACATTGGATACACAGTAACGGTGTGCGATAAAGGTTTAAAGGCCCACTGCACTACTCTTTGCTACTTGCGCCCTCTTTATTACAGACAATACATAATCGGTGACCATTGGTCCCCCATGATCCTCTTTTCTTATGTTATTTGAGAGCTGAGTTGATGAGATAACCACCTGTCCAGTGACTTTGCAGTGTGGTCTAATCCCTCCTTTACACTAGTACTGATGGGCTTTAAAGCCTTTGGGACTACAACTTGGCCAGTCCGTCTACTACTCGATCGGTCTATCGCTCACTTGGTCTAATTTTCAGTCGCTCTGATTCCTAGTTCGTCTTATAATCATTGCACGTTTCATTATTTTCGTTCTCTGTAACTTCTCATATGTTTAATATATTTACCTTGTTAGGCGCTTTGAGCATCCCTTGGGGAGGATTATGTGCGCATTATAAATTGTGTTATTATTTTATGATTATTAGACCATACACACTGTGGCTGCCTTCATAAATCTTTATATGAAGGAGTTTCGTCTAACAATAAATCCAACTGTTGTTATTCACAAGGCACACCGATGAAAATTAACACTGGAAACAATTTGCTAAAGTCCAACCAACTTCTGTTTTATTCAGCAACTCGTAACTTCACTTTCATATCTTCGGTAAAACCTTCAGATAACAATCTGTAATGATAATAAACAAACAAACATATAATGAATAAATGTTTCAGCATGTAAGCATATAAAACCCTATAGCTAAATTAAAGATACTGATTACAACACATTAATATATGACACAAGATTAAAGTTAAACTGGATTAAATATCTATGTGAACACACCCTGCATTGAAACTATGCAGTAAACTATTAAACAGTACACACAAGCAAACGTACATGAGTGTGAACAGGGCCGCATTCAGATGCGGTTCGTCACTTAAGTTCCTGTGCTAAATAACTAACAAAGAAAATTGTTTCTTTCCTAAACACTTAGTTTTGCTCTAAATTCGACATGAACTATATATAATAAACAAGTTATCATCTACATAGTAGCAGAATATTTGCTACTTTGAAACACTAAAATGTACTGTAACTTCTGCTTACAAAGACAAAGAACTCGGCTTTCTACACTATACATTATACACACTCATCTCTTTGTCTACTCCTAAAAGCTAGGTACAACATCTAACATCATCTTTACGAAACTCCTATAAAATTCTACCAAACTCAACTGAGATTATATTAAGATACATCCTAGCATTCTAGTATATATCAAATAACATATATAGAAATAGATATCGTATTCTTACCGAATTGGGCCTGTAGTTTGTTCCACAAAATAACTAAAAACTTTCTGCTGCAATGTTATGTAACTCGGACCTTACTGCATCACTTCGACATTCAGAATGACTGGGGTTTGCTTCTCCCAGAACATAGGTGGAGAAGAACAAAGAACTTCCTGTCTCTGTGACTAGTAGTATAATCTTAAAGTAAACAATAGCCCCCAAGATATGCTGGTAGGCATATTAAGACACTGGTAGTCTCATAATAAGACTCTTCAAACTATATAAGAAATGCACATTTCTTCACTACATCCTGATGTAGTGACATGGCTCCTTTAAATGTTAGTAACATTTACTAAAATAACTGTTAATATCCAAATTTAAGACTACGCTACAACATAGATAGACATACTGCACTACTATTACTACCAAGGAACAACATTAACCTCTAACGATCTTTCATGTAACATTCATGAACATTAAGAGAACATTAAAAGAAATCAACTTTACCCAACAATGCTCCAAATACTGCTTGATAAACAATCCCGATTAGTGTAATACACAAAGTTAAACTTAGATGTATATCAAGTATACTTAATCAACCCCTTCCGTTGATAACCACATGAATACATAATCATATGTATTGTAAATTAGTAAACACATTAAATGAAGACACTCCTGACATCAGGAACATATTATACAACAATAAGATAAAGGCTCCTTGAGGGGGAATCCCTACTGTCTTCTGCGTGATAATGACAAAACTTGTTTGCAAATATAAGATAAGACAACAAGAAATGTAAAAAGTCATGAAACTCAGATAAAGGTAGAAATCTAGAAAGAGGGAATGAATGAGAAAGTGAGAAAGTGATTGAGAAAGAAAGAGAAATGGAAAGAAAAAGACAGGTCACGATTAGTTTTACATCTCTGTTATTAACAACAGAACTAATTATTCCTAAGACTCTACCGGCAGTAGTAACACGAGTTTGTGGACGGGTCTATCAAGGTAACAAGGTTTCTTCAGACGTTTACCATTACTGTCCAGAGCTCCATCAGCCATGAGGAGCTTTACCTTTCTAACGCGTCCGTCTTGACTAGGAAAAACTTCTGCTACCCTTGCCAGAGGCCACTGGAGGCGAACATCTTCAGTCTCCTTCGCGATGACTACATCGCCGATGGCCAAGTCTCTCTGCGTTCGCGTCCACTTCTGGCGGGGCTGTAACTGCTGGAGGTACTCTCGGCGCCAGCGTAGCCAGAATTCATTGGCTAGATACTGCACACGTCGCCACCACTTTCTAGAGTACTTGTCTTCGCCCTGGAAGTTTCCAGGTGGTGGTAAGATTACTTTCGGCTTCATTGTCAGAAGATGGAGTGGGCACAGAGGTTCTGGTGCTTCGGCGTCACTCAGGTTATTGGTGGTGAGAGGTCGAGAGTTGACGATACATTCTGCCTCTGTCATAAAAGTTCGAAAAGATTCGTCGTCAAGCTGGCTGCCTGCCTTAGCAAGTAAGGTGTCCAAGGCCCTTCTCACCGTCTGAATCTGCCTCTCCCAGACACCGCCCATGTGCGAGGAATGTGGAACGTTGAATTTGAATGGTATCCACTCAACACCATTCTCTAGAAGGTATTCTTGCACATGCTTCTGGTCCATTTCTTGTAGAGCTTGTTTCAACTCGTTTCTGGCCCCAATGAATGTTGTGCCTTGATCTGAACGGAGCTGTCGAACAGTTCCTCTTCGATTCATGAACCTCCTCAAGGCATTGATGAAGGAAGAGCTGGAAAGGCTGTTCGCAGTCTCAAGATGGATGCTTCTGGAAGACATACATGTGAAAAGGACACCATACCTCTTCACCTCGCTTCTCTTTTCCTTTAAAAGGAATGGACCGAAGTAGTCGACTGCACAGTAGGTAAAGGGGGCAGAAGGTTCAACTCTCTCCCTCGGTAGCTCCGACATCTTCTGCTGCAGGAGAGGCCCTCGTAGTTTTCTGCATGTTACACACTGTGAGATGAACTGTGAAACTGCAGAGGAACCTCCTATCACCCAGTAACCTCTTTGGCGAAGCTCGTTGTGGGTTAAGCCACGGCCCATGTGATTGACTCTACTGTGGCAATCATCGATCAGCAGTCTGGTGACATGGCATTTTCGGGGCAGGATGATTGGGTGTCTGATCTCTCTGGAAATATTTGCCCTGTCTATACGGCCACCAACTCTGATAATTCCATATTCGTCGAGAAAAGGATCAAGTCTATAGAGACAGCTCGTCTTCTTGAGTTCAGCATTCCTGGCCCTGGTCGCTTGTCTGTCGGTGACCTCTCCTGTAGCTTCCAGATTCCTCAGAGCCTGCATTTCCTCCAGGAAATGTTCTGCTTGTACACTTTTAAGGATCACCCTTTCAGCACTCTGAAGTTCGCCTAGAGAAAGCGACTCCTTGAAGGACGGCCTTTCAGCATCTGGAGATGAGCTCGAGATTTTCACAGCCTTGCTCTGCAGCTTGCCTTTGAGTTGAATACATCTGGCTACTGCCTTCTTTGCCCTGTGCCAGTTGGAAAAGCTATCCAGACGGCTAGTTTCGAAGTGACTTTCCTTCTCATCTCTTGCTCCTGTTTTAAGGGCAGTAGCACGCTTTAACTCTGGATCGCTTTCTTCCAGCTGGACGGGCGGCCTTGTAGGGTTGACTTCAAATATACCATCCGTCCAGAGAAATTCTGGTCCTCTCAGCCAACGGCTGTCTTGGGTAAGCTGCTTAGCAGACAATCCTCTTGAAGCGTCGTCTGCTGGATTCTCGGATGTGTCTACGTAGCGCCACATATCAGGATCTGTCAGGTCTCGGATCATCTGAATCCTGTTGGCTACATAGACATGGAATCTTCTGGCTTCATTCTGTATGTAACCCAGGACTACTTTGCTGTCAGTCCAGAAGAATTCCTTGAAGCTGTCATACTTGAGCTCCTGGTTCAGAAATCCACTCATTCTGGCTGATACTGTAGCTGCAGTTAGCTCGAGCCTTGGTATGCTGACCTGCTTCAGCGGGGTTACTCGGGACTTCCCGATAACAAAGGAGCAGTGGACCTTGTCTTGGGTGTTGACAAGTCGGATGTAGGAACACTGTCCATATCCCTCTTGGCTTGCATCCGAAAAGTGGTGAAGCTCCACTGCCTTGACTTCACCAAAATCACGTGGCTTGTAACATCTGGGTATCTGGAGGTTCTCCAACTCAAGCACCTCCTGCAGCCATCTTTCCCAGCGTGGACGGAGATCTTCTGGTATTGGACTGTCCCAGTCCAATTTGCTTCGGCAGAGCTCTTGCAGGATTTGCTTTCCTCTCAACATAACGGGGCTAAGGAAGCCACAAGGATCGTAGAATGAACTCACTGTTGAGAGAACTCCTCGTCTGGTGAAAGGCCGTTCCTTGAGCTCTATCTTGAAGTTGAAGACGTCATTCTTGATGCACCAAACGACTCCGAGAACTCGTTCTAGAGTCGATGGACTTCGAGCTAACCCAAGCTCCTTTTTGTCCGTAAGCCCTTCCTTCTTGGTGAAACTCTCTTGCACTTCCCTTTCATTGGATACAATCTTATGCAGTGTTAGACCTGCTTTTGCACAGATCGCCTGACTGTTCTTGAGAAGCTGGATCGCCGATGCAACATCTGGCTCGGATCTCAAGCCGTCATCAACATAGAAATCTGTCCTGATGTAGTTAGCTGCTGGCGCTCCATATTCTTCTTCTCCGTCATCTGCAGCTCTTCTCAAACCGAACGTAGCTACTCCTGGTGAACTAGCTGCACCAAACAAGTGTACCTTCATGCGGTATTCCACAACAGCATTCTCGGGGTTTCCATCTTCCCACCACAGGAATCTCAACAGGTCTCTGTCTTCTGCTGCTGCGTAGAACTGATGGAACATACTTTTCACATCAGCGGCTACAGCTACTGCTTCCTTACAGAACCTGCAAAGCACTCCCAGGAGGCTGTTCATGGTGTTTGGACCTTGAAGTAGCATGTCATTAAGGGACACACCTTGATAAGTAGCAGAGCAATCAAAGACCACTCTGATCTTGTTGGGCTTTCTAGGGTGATACACGCCAGTATGAGGAATGTAATTAACCCGATCCTGTATCTGAAGACGGTCAGCTGGCACTCTCTCTGCATAATTCTGGATGACGTCATCCATGAATGCTCTGTAGTCTTCGCAAAATTTGGGGTTCTTCCGCAACCTTCCAGACAGCTGCTTCCATCTCTTCATAGCAAGTGGCTTGTTAAAGGGAAGATTTGGCTTTGCAGACTTCAGAGGTAGCGGCATCTCATAGTGGCCGTCGTCACGTCTGCGGATACCACTCTCCAGGATCTCCATGAATCTCGTCTCCTCCACGGAGTAAGGCTCACCATTAGCACCCGAGTCCTTGAAGTCCTGTTCCAGAATCTGTATGATTTTCTCAGTGTCCAGGATCTCCTTGGCCTTACTCGCATAGGCAAACTTTGGATGCCTCTCAATTGCAGATATCCTATTGCAGATCAGGACTCCATCATCCTGTACTGACGTCTGGCATACCTTGCCAACTACTCCCCATCCAAGTGCTGTCTTCATGGCATACGGGTCATCTTCTCCTCCTGCTATCACCTCTCGAGGGCGGATGGCTCGGGAACAGTTATTTCCAATTAAGAGCGATACCTTGACGCTTCTGTTGTATGGCATCAACTCATGAGCAACTGGCTCAAGATGAGGCCACTCCTTCAGGACTTCAATCTTGGGGATCTGGGATCTGCTAGCAGGAACAGAATCTCTAGAGAAGCACGGGGGTAGGTCGATCTCATTCTCCCTATTGAAGTCGAGCACCTGCAAACCGTTCACCTTCATGCTCTTGACATTGGCCGTTGCGTGCATGGTGGTGAGTCGGAGGGTGGTACTAGTTCCCTGTACTCCTAACTGTTCACACAGTTCGTCCGAAACGAAGCCTACATTACTCTGATCATCTAGGATGGCGTAATGGAGGAACTCCCGGGAAGGCTCGTCCTTGCATCTCACCCAGACTGGCACGATCATGCAGTGCTCCTGGCCATCTTGATCTGGAAGAGAGCATACGTTGGTGCACTTGGATGAGCCTTCCTCGTGTGGCCTTCTCTGGTTATTCCTTGGTCTATGCAGACAGGCAAGGTGGCGCCCTTCACAGACCTTGCAAACCTTCCTCTGAGTGCAGTCCTTGACCTGGTGACTGTCAGTAACGCCGCAACCCATACACAAGTTCTTTTGAAAGAAGAAACCCTTCCTTTCATGTAACAATTTCTTTGTAAATTCGTGACAGTCATCCAAATGATGCTCTCTCCCACAGTACGGACATGAGGAATACTCTCCCACGTTTGTCTTTGAAGATACATTTGTTGCAAAGGTCTTCCCTCTCGGCTGGTTGCGATTGCTGCGGTCCCCTTCGTACCGCTTTGGTCGTGCCTCACCACTTCGATTGCTGCGGTCACCTTCGTACTGCCTTGGTCGTGCCTCACCACTTCGCAGACCCTCTAGCTCAGGGATGTTGGCCTTGTTGGCGGCTCTGCTGACAAACTCGGCAAAGACTTCAAATGGAGGGTAGTTCCCAAGACCCCTTGTCTGCCATTTATTTACCTCGTCCCGCCATGACCTTTCTAGATGTAGGGGCAGTTTGTTCAACATCTTTATGTTTTCTTGAGGATAGTCCAATATCCCCAAGGATGACTCTGTTGACTTAGCCGATACCACCTGCTCTAGAAAGTCTGAGAATTGACGGAGTCCTCCAGGATCCTTGTCGAAGATACGTGGCCAGCTGCTCAGCTTCTTCGAAAATGCTGTACTGATAATACTGCCACTGCCGTATCTTTTTTGTAACAGTTCTGTGGCTTGGAAATATGCCTCGTCTGTGCCCAGCAGGATGTAGTGCTCTACGACCTTCCTTGGCTCTCCTGCTACGTAGCTATTCAAATAGCTCAGCTTGGTAGCTCCGTCGAGGGGTTTGGAGTCCACCAAGTTTGAAAAGGCATTTTTCCAAAGCCTGTACCGTAAAGGATCGCCACTGAATATAGGTATCTCTAACTTTGGAAGTTGACTAGCAACAGCAAGTCTCTGTGTCGTCATATTCTGTTGCATGATGGCCTTTGCCATATCAGTCATCGACTCTGCCATCTTTTCAAACCCTGTCTGGCTAGAGGTGCCGTCAAGAGGAGGAGTTGCTGTGCCAATTGTCACGTCTTGCTGAGATTTGAAGAATCTGTGGACGGAATCTCCTGGCTGTTCCTTTGGCAAGGTAATATGTTCGATGGCGGCTTCAGAGCCATCACTCTCTTCATCTCCTTCCAACTCCGCTATTCTAGCAGCCGTCTCCTTTCTCAGCTTCACTTTTTGTAACTTCCGTTCCTCTTTCTGGACTGCTCTCACAGCATGCTCGCGCTCAGCCTTGAGAGCATCAAGCCTGTCCTCGTGGTCCATGACAGCTAGTTCTGCTTGAAAGGCTTCTGTCAACCTCGCACTCTCACGAGACTTCCGTGAGCTTGCTACACTTGTAGCCTTCGTGATGACTGCATCACATTGTCCTGCTTCCACATCGCTCTTGGTGAACTTAACACCTGCTAGACTCCTAGCCTTCGATCTGGAAGTCCTCTCTGTTGTCGCTCCACATCGCAATGCAGGCTCTGATAAAGGCATGACTTCAGGCCTTTATAAACCTAGGTCTGCTTACAAGTTCATTAAACTGCTGCGAAAGTCTTTTAATTGATGTTCGATTGTCATTCGAACTTCATTCGTTATTGTGGAACTTCGCTTGTTATTCGACTTCGAATAACAGACTTCGATTGTTATTGTGGCTGCCTTCATAAATCTTTATATGAAGGAGTTTCGTCTAACAATAAATCCAACTGTTGTTATTCACAAGGCACACCGATGAAAATTAACACTGGAAACAATTTGCTAAAGTCCAACCAACTTCTGTTTTATTCAGCAACTCGTAACTTCACTTTCATATCTTCGGTAAAACCTTCAAATAACAATCTGTAATGATAATAAACAAACAAACAAATAATGAATAAATGTTTCAGCATGTAAGCATATAAAACCCTATAGCTAAATTAAAGATACTGATTACAACACATTAATATATGACACAAGATTAAAGTTAAACTGGATTAAATATCTATGTGAACACACCCTGCATTGAAACTATGCAGTAAACTATTAAACAGTACACACAAGCAAACGTACATGAGTGTGAACAGGGCCGCATTCAGATGCGGTTCGTCACTTAAGTTCCTGTGCTAAATAACTAACAAAGAAAATTGTTTCTTTCCTAAACACTTAGTTTTGCTCTAAATTCGACATGAACTATATATAATAAACAAGTTATCATCTACATAGTAGCAGAATATTTGCTACTTTGAAACACTAAAATGTACTGTAACTTCTGCTTACAAAGACAAAGAACTCGGCTTTCTACACTATACATTATACACACTCATCTCTTTGTCTACTCCTAAAAGCTAGGTACAACATCTAACATCATCTTTACGAAACTCCTATAAAATTCTACCAAACTCAACTGAGATTATATTAAGATACATCCTAGCATTCTAGTATATATCAAATAACATATATAGAAATAGATATCGTATTCTTACCGAATTGGGCCTGTAGTTTGTTCCACAAAATAACTAAAAACTTTCTGCTGCAATGTTATGTAACTCGGACCTTACTGCATCACTTCGACATTCAAAATGACTGGGGTTTGCTTCTCCCAGAACATAGGTGGAGAAGAACAAAGAACTTCCTGTCTCTGTGACTAGTAGTATAATCTTAAAGTAAACAATAGCCCCCAAGATATGCTGGTAGGCATATTAAGACACTGGTAGTCTCATAATAAGACTCTTCAAACTATATAAGAAATGCACATTTCTTCACTACATCCTGATGTAGTGACACACACTAATAAATAAGGGTGCAATTGGGGTGCCGAGTTGCATCCACCGACGCGTATTTGGCAGAGGGTGCTGCTATTGTAGCAGAATTGTACCTTTAATTATTTCGTAGTGTGTATGCATGGATAGTAGACGAAATGGGCATGAGACAAAGTGGAAAGTACACTTACTGGTTTTTAGACTAAATCAACAATGGAACAAATGGGTCGAAGACTTATCGGAGATTTAATAGGCCAAATGGAAATTAGACCAAATGGCAATTAGCCTGACTGGTCATTAGACCAAATGAAAGTAGGCGAAATGATTATTAGACCAAATGGATATTAGACGGGCTGGATGTAGACCATTGACTAACTGGGTAGTAGACGTACACGTACTGGTTGTAGACCATACGGCAATTCACCTGCGATAATATCGGGGGGGGGGGGGGGATACTAGTAATGTGCAGGAAAAGAGCCGAACTACGCTTCCTTGGGTAATAACAACAAATTGAACTTTCCCCTGCAGACGATCAGCGCGTACTGATCGAAACGTCGAGAACCAAGAGCTGTTTTAATCCGTCCCCCACTCAGTGTTATTTAGGGTATGCGTATGCGTGTTCCCTCCTTTTGAATACACCCTCTAAGTCCGGTGTGTAAAGTCAAATTTTGTGTTTGTACGAGCCGGACTTTGGTGCCTGAAATCTATCATTCATCTTTTGACAGAAATACGTTGATATATTTGATAGTGCAGATTTTGTCATTTAAAATGTTTATCCTGGAAGAATGAAAGAAAGAGGGGCGATAGAGGAGGGAGAGAGAGGTAGAAAGAGAGAGAGAGATAGAGAGAGAGAGAGAAAGAGAAAGAGTGATAGAATAGGATAGGGAAAGACGTATATACAGAACCACAATTTATTTTTTCTTACTTTAACTTTAGCTGGAAGACGACAATTGGATCGAAATAAAAACGTAATGAAAGAGGGAGGGAAAGCATGAGTGAGAAAGTACGATGAGTGGGTGTGGGTTTCGGCGTTAATGTGCGTTAGTCTGCGTGCGTGTGTATGTGTGTGTGTGTGTGTGTGTGTGTGTGTGCGTGTGTGTGTGCGTGTGCGTATGTGTGCTAAGGTTCGCACTTGTTGTTATAGTGACCTATATCTACAATGATTGACATAAAGCCAGCCACCTGTGTGTTTCCCTCGGAAAGCAAGTCAATATCACCCTCATTAACAATTCATTGTTACGTCACAATGTGATGAACTCGATATTTTTATTTGAACCTTTTAGCATTATTTTCCAGTGCAAGATTAATCTATACCGGAGTGGAACGTGTTAGCTATTAGCTTTGAGCAATATGTGTTTTGTCTCTGACAGGGAAAAAGGATGAGAAGAGTAGAATCCGATGGGCTGTACATAAAATATATGTGAAGTGAAACATTCTGAATGCCCAGGCTGGAGAGGTTGTTATGGCATACACCAGGGGCGTTCACACATACGGAACAAAATTTGTGGACAGAATAATTTCACTAATCATAGCGATTCGCATCGCGATTTTTCAGAATAATCGCGATAGTTTGCCGGGTGATGTGTGTGTGTGTATGGTATTGAGGATGAAAAATCGATTTATTTAATCCCAGGATTCCAAGCGCGCATACTTCGTCGAGATTCACGCATGCGCGGTTCAAAAGTTCTTGCCGTTGAGCGAGAATTCTCCCTGTGTGTGAACGTTCGCTAAAAAAAAAAAATCTTTGCATCGCGATCCAATTCGCACTAAACTGACATGTGTGAACGGTCGCGAAACGTGATCCAAATCGCATTAAGGGTTATGTGTGAACGGGCCTAAACCGTTAACAAACAAAGGTTATTATCACAACATTCTTGGTAATATGAACAATAATGTTTTTATCTTGTCTTGTCTTTGAATTGTAAAGGAAATTAGAATTCTTAACAATTAATTTTCGTTCTGCCATGAAGATATCATTTAGCTAAAAACAGGCGTTGAGTACATTTTATTTGAAGGACAAAGAATAACCCCCATTTTTATTTGGGTGAAAGGCAAAACTTTTGTAGACTAACTGATATTAATCAAAAGGATAAAAATGATATCTTGAAAAAAAGAGATATCGGTCAAGGTGGAATCGACCGGATATTTGATGCTTGAAAGATACCCTTGGCAAGGTTTTCTTTCTTCATATCAGACGGTCAGAAACAACTGCGATTGATTAGAAGAGTTTGGCCAACCGTGTTCGAGTTGGGTACAATGATGGTAAACTCAGTGCTTTGTTGCACAAAGATAACCCCAAAGAATATTTGCCATTTTGTGATCAAGCAATAATAATAAGCTTGATACTTTGTTCAGGCTGGGATACGCGATTTTATACTTCGTGTTTGCAGTTAGTATTGTAAGCAACATGAATATGGTATATTATAAAGAAGTTTGTTTAAGGTAGTGCATGTGTGTAGTTTAATAATCAATGCATATCATAGAACTATGTATTTGGGATGTGTGTGTTCAGAAACATAATTATGACCTTTAGTTCTTGTATATTGTTCTGTAATTATTCTTCTATATTTTATGAAGTCCTCAATTATCTATTTTGGTGCGCTTCCTCGCACTCATTACAGTTAGTAATGTAAGCAACACGATTATGGTATAACATATAAAGCAGTTTGTTTAGGGCAGTGCATGTATGTCCTTTAATCATTGTAGTTTAATAATGTATGCATATCATAGAACTATGTATTTGGGATGTGTGTGTTCAGAAACATGTGGCCTTTAGTTCTTGTATATTGTTCTGTAATTATTGTGCAATTTCTAAATATACTTATTTCTTCTTAATTTTATTAAGTCCTCAATTATCTATTTTGGTGCGCTTCCTCGTACTCATTTCCTCTTTCTTTCCGATTGCAGTATGTCTCTGCAATTTCCCACCTGTAAAGGAAACTTCACCCAGAGAGATTGATTGTACTCTGGCACATTAATCTACAAGAATCCCCACCAAATTGTATGAGAGAGGCATAAAGCAAGAATTATGTACAGTTGATCAGCCTGACATGGGCATCGTCATATTCTTAATAACGTGATGTACTATGCGAAGTCGTTTATCAAGTTAATGTACTCAAATGTATGAATTCCTCCTTCCCAGTTGATGAAGTATTTCATTCACCTGCTATTATCCTTTGAATTTTAATTGCCAGGACGCAAATTGCATAAATCAGTTGGTGCTCTTCTGGATTAAAGGTTTTGAATGAATGAAATAGATTTGTAAACTGCTATATATTAGTATTTTTAAATAAATGATTTGCAATTTTCCCCTGTAATATATTACCCCCCCCCCAAAAAAAAAAGGTCTTTCCAACTAAACTAAAGCATGGTGCATGATACATGTACAACTTTACGTGGTACGTCCCCGCCCCCCCCTCCCCCACTCAGTGTTATTTAGGGTACGCATATGCGTGTTCCAACCGACCCCCCCCCCCCTTTTCAGCAAAAGTCCGGTGTGTAAAGTCAATACGGCTCGACCTTTTTCTTTTGTATACGAGCCTTTTTCAGCACCCCCCCCCCTTTCAGCATAAGTCCGGTGTGTAAAATCAATACGGGTCGACCTTTTTCTTTTGTTACGAAAAGGACATTTTGGCAACACGCATGGGGTCCGTCCGTTCTCGGAGTGGGGGGGGGGGGCGGGGGTACGTCATATTTTCAAGAAAATGGCTGCGCCCGTGTCATGCTAAAAAGCACTACATCATGCCAAGAATATCTTCATTTTAATCTTTTGTACACTTTCTTAAAGAGTATTTACTCTGAAGGGCAAGAATACATCTCACTGTTCAGAATACTTACCAATTATTCTGTGGGGTGAGGTTTTCTTGATTTTATAGAACGACACATTCAAATTATCATTACTTCCATGATTGAGATGTTAAACTGTTATGAATGAGGACACATTTTTTTCTACTGCTATTATTTTAATTCAATTTCCCTTCTCTTTAACTACGCGTATTACCATCGTCATATTTATGTTACCATGCCAGTAATGCAAATGAATGTATTTTCAACGTTTGACACGGCCCCAAAGTAACCAATCTTGTTTCTGTTTGGGATTTTGTAATAAAAACATAAACAAATTAATAAATAAATGAATGAGTAAAAAGGGAATAAGTAAAAAGGAAATAAATAGATGAATAAGAAAATTGCAAAGATCGTAATCACTACCGGCAGGAATTCACGAAATTACTAGTCCTTGCAAAGAACGAATTGCAAACAGAAATATTGTCTCTGTATTACAGAGACAGTTGGCATGGCAACGAGGCAAAAATGGATGAATACCGAAAAGATGACTTTGTCCTACCGGTGGAAATACCTTGTAGGTACCTTTCCTGTTCTTTATGTAGGTTTAATTAAAACATTGTTCTTATCAGAGATATAGCCTTTAGTGTATGACCAAGGCAAAACAGAGCGTGGAAATGAAACGATCTCGAGAATTTATGCCATCGTACCATGAACGGCCATGCATTATATGGGCTGAGGGTAATTACTTTTAATATAATATGCCACACAAATAATCTCCCTGTGCCCCAGTGGATTTATCAAGGGATGAATGAATGAATGGTGGTGGTTATTTTACCTGACTGCTAAGAAGCATAAATGCTTGTAAGTAAGCAACCAGGCAGCCGACGGCTTTAGGTCCTCTCCGAGGGACCTGGTAATGAGGATTAATGCCTTACCAAAGGGCACTAGCGCATCGCCATGGTTTCGAACCCGGGTCAACGGATTACGAGACCACTGCTCTACCGATTGAGCTATCGCGCTATAGATTATTTAACTGTGTCCAGTGCAAGATTAATCTATATCGTTGTTGAACTGGTTGTCATGGAGCAGACCCAGAACGAATGTGGATAGTTGTGCAAAATTGCACATCTGACAAACAAGCGATTGTGCAGAGGGGCGCAGAAAGCAAACCAAGGGTTCAGTAATGTATTGGTTTAATGATGTGAAAAGAAAAATATGGTACATTTCTTCTTTTAAAGATAACATTTTAATTCATAAGAGACATTAATAATTAAGAGGTCGTAATCATGTTTTCTGACAATGTGTGAAATATGGACATTTATTTGTCAGTTTGTTTAAGTGCACAATTTCTTGTAATTTTGTTTATGTCAAAGTTTACCTGTAATTTACCTCCCCACGTGCATGGCAAGAATAAGTCATAAAACTGATCGCGTGTCTCCTGTGAAAGTGAAGGGCTATTTTTTGACATTTTTTTCGACATTCGACATTCAATATGTAAATCTATCATGTATGAATATTTTATGATACCATCACATATATTTGTATGTATCAATTCCGCCGATAACATGAAGCTCTTACACGTATGCCTTTATTTAACCGCCTCCCAATTCATGACCACGTTCAAAGGAAAGGCAATATGCTAAATGCAAGAATATTGTTCAATGTTTTGTATTCAATCTCTCACGGACACCTAGAGATTATGGCAAAATAATGTAGTACACCGTTGTTAAAGATTGTATGGGTGTACCTAGTCTGCAGGCACAAACCCTGGTCAGTCGTAAAAGTGAGTCTGCACTATAAGACTACCATAGGCCATGTACTGTAGCTGCTCCTGACCTATATTGACAAAACCATGTGTGTGTGTGTGTGTGTGTGTGTGATTTATTTTTACAGACGTGTGTCAATCAGATATGATTATTTACGTCTGGGGACCGACCTTTAAACGTCACCATCCGAAAGACGTGACTCAGTTTTGAGCCTGCGTCCTCGGCTGAATCAGTTTGTAACTTCCACTGTTAGCTGGATTACAGGCGCACGCCACAATGCCTAGTAGGTAGCTGGGCTAGGCTTCTCTCAAGGCACAATGATTTGTTGATAAAGTGTCAAATTAGGATCCGTGCTTGTAGACTAGGGTGTACCCTGGATTTCAATTGCTCAGTTCCCTTCTGACTTGACTGATAACTGCAATGGGGCATTTGATTTCTTTCGTTGCTTACAAGGGCGAACGAAATAAAATCTTTATCTTTATCTTGAATCGACAATGCTATTTTTCTATATAAACAAGACAAATTAAAATGATCATTATTTGATAAATACGTAATTACAGCTAACATTTAGGTATCCTCCATTTCTATCACTCTGGAATAAACCCGTGCGTGTCACGAAACGGCATTGTATCGATACTTTTCAATTAAGAAGGAGCACTACTAGTATTTGTCTGAATGGTAACCATGGACATGTCCTTCTCCTGGCATTGATGTTTAAACGATCGATTCTTAACATGATAAGAGAATGTAAGTTCCTTACAGCCTTTTCACACACAGCTAAAATTCATCGTATCTAGAGATGATTAGTTTAAACGTGTTTAACTCAACAGTTTTAAACATGTTTAAAGACAATTTTCCCTGTGTGAACATCGTTTATATGATGTTCGGATAGATACGAAGTCGCGATTCATACGCCCCTCAAAGCAGGCTGCAGATACGAAGTTCGTATCTAGAGAGCTTGACATTTTGTGTGTGAACGGTTATTTGTGTTTAAACGTGTTTAACCTGGATGAAGCGTGCGCTTTGTTTGCTATGACATGACCTTCAATGCGCAATGGCACTACTGCGCGTTTTAAGAGCAGTAGTTAATCACGAAACGATTAACGATCGCACCGAAATTTCTGTGTGTGAATGATGTCGTATTTACAGCTGATCAGTTTAAAGCCCTTTAAACTAATCATGTTTATGTAATTTTAGCTGTGTGTGAAAAGGCTGTTAGTAACAACAGATTCTCTCACAAATTATTATTTTTTTTCTTTCTTTCTCCAACAATCATCACAGATCACTATATTTCTGGTGGTATGCAGTCGCTTGGAAATCGGATGCGGTAAGTTAATTGTTCCTGCACGAGTTTGTCGCCTTTTCGAATCCTGGGGCGGAGAAAAACCCTCTGAAAGCTGACATGCAAGAGGTGGAAGTAATCAATGAAGTGAAAGAAGGAGGGGAGGAAAAAGAAGAAGTAGGAGAAGATATAGAAAAAGAAGACCAAAACAAAGGAAACAAAAAAGAAGAAGAAAGAGAAGAGAAAGAATAGAACAAATAGGAAAAGGAAGAAGAAGAAGATAAAGAACAACTGAAGAAATATAACAAGAACAAGAACAAGAAGACGAAGGAAAAGGAAATCAAAGAAGAAGGAGAAGAAACGAGAAGAAAGAGAAGGAAAAATAGAAGAAAAAGGATAGGAAGAACAACTGAAGAAGAAGTAGAGGGAAACAGAGAAGAAGAAGAACAACAAAAAGGGAAGAGAAGAACTAATCATGCTATTTATTTTTCATTTATCATTACAGCTCAGGAAGGTGAAGGAACATATGGAGGGATTGTTTATTCCTATTTTACTTCAAACATCTGGAACTTCGATGCAGCACAGACTCACTGTGAAAGTTATACCAGTAATTCAGGTGGTTTAGCTGAACTAACAAGTGAAGACATTAAGACATTCGTCAATAACCTTATCACTGGGAACCATGAAATGTGGATTGGATCCAAAAAGGTAAATATAAATTATTCATTACCCTTGTACAATTACCAATTTATAACCGACGGGACTCGGACACCTGGCATGATACTAATTTATATTTAAGAAAAACAAACATAATAATTATTAAAAAGAAGGAAAAAATATCTACCAAATAAAAGAGAGAAGTCATTTGTATTATTACATGTGATTAAAGAAAATATGTTTTTAAAAATTGGTGATAATAGTGAAAACTGACTGATTGCTATTAATGCAATAACCAACGACAAACTACAACAGCTCATGTATTTTTTTATCAGTGGTGTAATAAGCCAAAGGTTTTGAGGGGGCTGAGCAAGAAAGGACTCCTGGTATCGTTTCGTTGGATGGGTGGGGGTATTACCCTCCTTTCTTTTAAATAAGAGGACTTTATATTATGTTGCATACAATTTCTCATTATAGCAACGCCACCGATAAATCAAACATTTCATTTTCGAAGTCGCGTCGGGACTGAGCTTGAAAATGTTACGTTTTGTACTTTGGAACTTTGTATTTAAGAGGACCTAGAGAAAAATCATCCATTTAATGCTTTAAGAGACTTTGTATTAGACTACCTTTATAGAGGGCATGTTTTTATTCATTCTGTACATTATGTAAATACATAGAACAGAAAAGGACAAACATAATAACAAAACGTACTTTGCGAACCATTCTGGTAAATGCATTACGCATACATGAAATTGGAATAAATTAATGAACCGGATCATTGCTTCATTTCGAACTGATCTTTCTGAAAGAAAACCAAAGGATCCCCCCCCCGATGTTTTACATGTTCTATATGCATTGAAATACTATGGGTGCTTTAATGGTATGAGTATCAGTCGCTGGATTTTAAGTGGTTAAAAGAAACATGGATATGTTGACAACGTTTCAGATAAATTTCAAATGAGTGCATTTATAGAAATGATGATATCTCGCTCTACGTCCTGAAAGCGTAGGTTTCGTATTTTCTTTATAGCACCTAAACATCAACAACTTGATACTTGATACTTGATGTGGTAATCCCTGAAGCAGCTTTTCCAAGCTATACTGGGATGGGATGAGTTGTGACAGCAGGTGAAGGTGCAGACAACAAAAGGGTGTACAATTGCTTTATACAGTAAAATAGTGACGTGCAAGTAAAAAAAAAAAAAAAAAAAAAAATCATGCTGCTATATGGTTTACAGCATTCTGGAACCTACAGGAGGTTCCAACCCTCTGATGACAGGGAGGGCGGTCATCTGGAAAGCAGCAACTGTTGGGGCAGTAACTGCAGTGAATGGTAGTTGATTCCAGAAGAAGAAGAAAACAAATCATGTACATGCCATATTTGATTTGAGTTTTGTTGACAATTATCGATAACTTATTTAAAATCTATTTTTAATGATTCCTGTGGTTTGTAACTTTCTGATCACTTCTTTTTTCAGATGCCTAGTACGTTCACCTGGATTTACTCTCTCACCGAAACAACCGGCGTTATAGGCGCTGGCAATGGTTAGTAAATATTACCTGGGGGTGTTTCATAAAGCCGTTCGTAAAGTTACGCATGACTTTACGAACGACTTTTTATGACAAGCCAAATAGGATGCTCAATCATGTTTTAACTGCATCAACTTAAGTTGAACTGTGCAGAAGTAGATTAACATTCTTATTATAACAAACATTTTTAATACAAAGTATCCTTTTTGCCATAATTTAATTGAGGTTTATTGGAAATATTGTCACACTTATCTGGCACTTCATATTCAAGTCGTTCGTAAAGTCATGCGTAACTTTACGAACAACTTCATGAAACACCCCCTGATTGTATAATAATTGAAAATAATCATTGATTTATTATTGCCCCCAAAAGTGAAATTGGGTCTAACAACAACATTTACAACGTATACAATGCACTTTGAGACAGAAGGATATGCAACAGTAAAATATTATACAAATGCTAAACAAAGAAGAATAGAAAATATATTGATCATTACTATGCGGGTAATTTGATGTCACTGCAGGAGCCTCTCCGTTGAAAAGGAGGTGATTTAGGCATTAAAATGTATTTAAAAAGGCAAACTATGATATTAATTGGAAAAAAGAAGACATTTATCATAATAATCTTAATAATAATTTGCACTTGGTAATCCCAGTACGTTTCAATAACGTTGTAAGATCCTTAGTTGTAGGACAAGCGTGATATCTGTAAAAATGGATGGTTATTATCATTTTTTGGTCAATTTAGAATATTAATAAGTAGAGGTGTATGCATGTTTTGAAAGGCTATGTTAGTTGGGTTAGAGTGGCCCTTTAAGTGATTTCGTCGGCTACCCGAAAGGAGGCAGATTCTGCCATGTACAATACATAGTTCTTGGGGCAGCCGATAAGCTAGCTGAGTTATTTGTTATTTTTGTATAGTTTTAACTCTTCCAACCTTTAACAATTTTAACGATACATCATTACTACCTAAAAATTCAAGTGTTTTTTCTTGTTAAATAGGCAATAGATCCGTATCTTTGTCAATTAGTAAAACAAATTAACTATGCTTATATCTAGTTAAAAGGTCAGTTTGTATCGTTAACGTACTGTCGACACGATGACTTTCGAAAAATCAACGCAGGGGAAATTTGATTACCCCATTATATGTCGCTTATGTCGAAATATGTCATTGTAACGTTCGCACATTAAAAAATCTTACGCTATTAAAATGACCTTCGGTTGGTTTTTCGAATGTAGTTGCGATCGTGTTTTTCCCAAATATCTGCATAAAGTTAGACTGATAGAGCAATGAATCGGACCTATAACATTTATTATTCAATTCAATTCAATTCAAACGAACGTTTAGTTTTTCCACTCAAGCTGACATATGTGTGTATATAAAATAGTATTGCTTGGGGGTATGTCACTAAATCCTAAGTCAAACTTAATTCTAAGTTGTACTTAAAAGTTATGGAGAGCCATTTAGTATTTTAAACTTTTCATAAATTCCACAACAAGAACATGAAATCTCCTTGATAAAAGAAAATATGAATGAATTGAATCAACAATTTTATGCCCTTTAAAATTACTTTAACAAAATATTTTCATAGATGCAACGTCTTTCCATAATTGTTAAGTACAACTTAAAGATAAGTTCAACTTAGGATCTTTGTGAAACACCCCCTTGACAATTAATTTGTCTTCCTTTTTTCTGGCAGGTAAAGACTGTGCTTACTACAGGAACGCAGGACAATGGAAAGCCGCTAAGTGCACTAACTCATACGGAGCAATATGCTCCAGACCAGGGAGTGAGTTTATCAATCTTTCTATTGGATTCGTTTTAAAGGCCCACTGCCATACTTGTAGCTACTTGCGCCCTCTATATAACAAACAATGCCTAATCGGTGACCATTGGTCCCCCATGATCCTCTTTTTCTTTTCCCTCCTGTAAACTATGGCAGATAAGCTTTAAATTTGGTCGATAAGAAGTCAGTTTTTATTTAGTGCCCCAGTTACGCCTTTGAAAAGTAACTAACATCAGACTGACAGCAGACCAAACAAAAATGAATACATTACCCCTAACAGCCAAGGAAATGTCGGTTTGACGAAATTACTGAGGTATTATGGGGACTCACAGGACTAACCACCCCCTCCCATCCCTGAGTACGCTACATGTTTGTTAATGAAGTGAATACGTTGTATCTATAAGTGTATCATAGAATGCCATCTGTATATCATTGCGTAAAAGGTTGCGATTTTTATCCAAAGTTGTACCTAGTTAAAATATTTAACATTTGATTAGGGGTGTACTTGCTTTTGTTGGGTAATGTAACCGAATGTCGGATGTCTAAACTGCTTTTGACGTCACTAGCCTGAGATATATTTTAATGTCTTAGAAGCTTTCTTGAACTCCTTAGAAGAAAAATTAAACCTGTGACATCAACAGCAAATGATAATGTGATGTTGTCCGGTACATGTAATTGGTGTTAGCTATAGATTAATTGGTTGTGTTGGAAACAAACGATACACTTTTACATTTTCTATATAGCAGTTGCAACGACAAGTAGTCCTACAACAACCAGTCCACAGCAGACTGCTGTTTCTGTAACCACTCACATGATAACAACTACTGGAACAACAGAATATATTACCACAACTATTTCCCAAACGTATGTACCATCGTCAACAACATACTTAAAAACACTTGGTACCACTTCAGCACAGACAACTGCAGAGTCGACAACAACAATGCCTATCAGTTTTGCTCCCACATCTGAACCCCACTCAACAACCACAGCTCAAACAACTACGGTACCTACAACAACAATGCCTACCACTCCCGTTCTAACGTCTGAAACCCAATCAACAACCACAGCTCAAACAACAACGTTATCTACAACACCAATGCCTACCACTACCGATCTAACGTCTGAAACCCGATCAACAACCACAGCTCAAGCAACTATGGTACGTACAACACCAATGCCTACCACTACCGATCTAACTTCTGAAACACAATCAACAACCACAGCTCAAGCAACTACGGTACTTTCAACAACAACGCCTACTACTCCCGATCTAACGTCTGAAACCCACTCATCAACCACAGCTCAAACAACTACGGTACCTACAACACCAATGCCTACCACTACCGATCTAACTTCTGAAACTCAATCAACAACCATAGCTCAAGCAACTACGGTACGTACAACAACAATGCCAACCACTCCCGATCTAACGTCGGAACCCCACTCAACAACCACAGCTCAAAAAACTACGGTACCTTCAACAACAATGCCTACCACTACCGATCTAACGTCTGAAACCCAATCATCAACCACAGCTCAAACAACTACGGTACCTACAACAACAATGCCTACCACTACCGATCTAACGTCTGAAACCCAACCAACAACCGCAGATCAAACAACTACGGTACCTACAACAACAGTGCTTACCACTCTCGATATAACCCACTCACCAGCCACAGGTCAAACAACTACGGTACGTACAACAAAAATGCTTACCACTACCGATCTAACGTCTGAAACCCAACCAACAACCGCAGCTCAAACAACTACGGTACCTACAACAACAGTGCCTACCACTCTCGATATAACCCACTCACCAGCCACAGGTCAAACAACTACGGTACCTACAACAACAATGCTTACCACTCTCGATCTAATGACCTCGCCATCGACATTCTTCACAGAAACTGCAGAGGTTAATTCCTCACAACAAACAACTCTGCAGCAGACAACCGGTGAGTTAGCATATACCATGACCACAGATTTGCTTGCCACTCTAATCTGTCGCCAACCATATATACTACTAACTTCATTATCAACAGTCATGACGTCAACTATCACACGCAACCGAGTATTTCAAATGCCTCCTCTCTGTCTACTTGTTTTACAGGGAGTCACAAATTTCTCTGTTTCTCTGTTTCAAAATTCAGTGATTAACTTGTCAATCGATCTACAGTGTATATCTGTTTCTGTACTGTACTTTAAATTGTTCCAAACGCTTTGAATGAATATTTCTTTTTAAGATTCACACTAACTGCATAGAGACTCATTAACGGTAAGTGATGAAAATATAAAAGAGAGATACAAATTATCGCCTTAAAATATTTCATAATCCCATATATAGAGATACTGATTATGTACAATGATGCGCGCGATCGCTCATAGTTTGTAGTGTAATGAAGCTCGTTTTGAACTTTGACCTGTGTGTCTCTTCATAATGTCCATGTTCATTGTGTTAAAGAGGGTAGAAGAAGTATGTATTTATAAGGACAGCTTTCAAACTTTCCAGAGTAACTTTCTTAGTAACCTCTAGGGGTAACTTAACTTATCTTAATCACATACGGGTCTTGGAAGAAATTGGTTTAAATGTTTATGGTTTTTTTTTTTTTTTTTTTAAATTTAAAGAAATAATTATTCATTTACTCTGTACGTATCAAATATGATTCACTTGAAGTTCATCCCCCATGTTTTATGTAGTATTCTATATGGGAGAAAGTTGAACTTATTTGTTCCCCTACAATTTACATCAACATATTTTTAATTGTAATCAATCGTGATAATATTTAGTGAAATGGATCGGTAACCGTATACAGCAAGGCGTCCCCTATGTAAAACGTTTATTTTCTATTTTCCTAAACTCGACATGGGGTGTCCACACTAAATATAATAAAATAAATATGCATACCTTGAACCTTTCCACATTGTTGTATAACTTATAACGGTTTGCATTCCCTTATATAGCAAGGAGATTTGTAACACAGTAGGAAATTTAGATTTCATGAGAACATGTGTTTTGAAATCATATCCTTTTGACTTCTGTATTTTGTTGTTATTGGTACCGTCGTAGACATGTTTATGTATTCAGTAATGCATATGCCGTCGGCAGATGCTGTTATTGTTGTCAAGAATCATCTTGTGGGTATTATTTCTAAACAGCAACAATTTTGTTTATGTTTGTGTATTAAATATCGTCATATCAAGTTTTGTCTGTTAATTTGTGTTTTTTGTTTCGTGTGCTTAATTTTGTTCAATTTTGTCATCTTCCGCTATCTCCTTTCGCTACGTGCTTTACAATTTGTCAATATTTGATGTCCAATGTTATGTTCTATTACCAATGAATTGCTATGAATATCAATGATACGTATCTATTCAATACATGAGTGTAATTACAATTATGATATTGAAGGTTACATTAGTGTATGTAAATATTAGCGAAGTATCAATGACTAGAACCCATTTTCTCAGTCTATTATAGCTGGATACACAATCACAGAAAGTAAATAAAACACAGAAATATTTGTTATTCGTTTTAAATCATTTCCTATATTGTAACTATATTAAATTTAAGTAAAATAAATTAGAATCATAGTTTGTACGAAATTTTTAATCCATGACCAAATATACCATTTCCCCCTGTTTCATTCACAGACACGACCACGGCAGAGCCAATTACAAACGTTACGGGTAACTCAGGTAAGTTAGACATCTCTTCGCGGACTCTCGCATTTCTTTAAATGGGAATTCAAATTGTCGTAATGCTCGTTCACTATTGTAGATCTTTATTATGGGCAAGCCGCATGAAAATCAATGTACAGATTTGAATTGTTGTGCACTCAGTCCTAAAGGTATCTTCTTTTTTCTTAGCATGTTACCGAGCTTGTTATTGCTGTTTCGTTCTAAACGTCAAATTGTCGATATGAATGTTTCGGTCTGTAGTTAATTCTTTAAATGTAATTGTTCAATTCTAAATCCTTTCAACTTGTTTTCATCCCCAATCTTTACACGTATCGTTTAACAGACTTCTAGATGCCGCTAATAACATGCATCTAAAAGCCGTTCTAGTTGATTCTAAACTAGTTGTGAGTTACTTGGTTGTAATGGGCAGATCTTTGCTAATTTTGTTTTGCATTATTTATTTTTTACAACAATCTTTGAATATGTGTCTTTTACATGTACTTTCATTCCAAATAATGGCAATAACCGTTCCTAAATGGCGTTAACAGGCAAATCTAGGGTGCTCGAATATCTTGTTAGTCAGCGTCGGATCTTAGGTCGGAAAAAGAGAGCTCCGTATAGTGGTCGCACAACGTTGGTTCCGACATTTCCTGCTCGTCCGCCATCACAAGTTTCTCTGTCTACTACTTCAACTACACAAAGTATGTATTTATTCTCCATCTAGTTGACAAACATGACTGCTAAAACATGAAATAATAACTAATAACATGATCACTATATTCATTTTTACTAACATTGCACGACACTCAGCTAATTAAAACATAAATGATGCACATGATAACCCTAGTCTCGCAGGTCACAGCACTCTAGGCCTTGTATGGAGTTTTTTAATTCATCAATTAATTAATTGTTTTGTTTTATTTGAACAGGGTAACTCTCTCAGTATTAAAACGGTTTTCCTGAGAGGCCCTTTTCATATAATAGGTTACAAATACAGAAGAAAATGACTAAATTGACAAAAAAAATTACTTATCTGTTTTTTGTTTTTGTTTTATACACTACGATATAAACAAGAACAAAATATCTATTTGACCAACTTATACAACATAACACACGTACTTTCAAATAAATTAACACAAAATTAAATCAAAGCTGAAACTTTTTTTGTGTGTATGTGTGTAAAGGTGTTGTGGTCGAATGAATACGTCGCGGGACTGTCGATCACAAGGTCCGCGGTTCGAGTTATTTATTATTATTATCTTTATTATCTACTTTTGCCACTCCCCACCCAGGTTTTAAACGGGTACCCGGTAGGATGCGAAAGCCAATGTGGTATGCTTAGTAATTTGAGCCTAGTATCTCTTGTTTGGAATGCTTCCCAGGGAGTGGAGAATGTGCATACATTGTGTGCAGGCAAGCCAGAATCCGATAACCGGGGTAATAATCTAAAGCGCTTAGAAACTCGGACATTTCCGACGTATTAAGCGCTTTATAAACAAACATATTATTATTATTGTTTGGTTATTGCAGAAAGAACATACTCTGGGATTTAAAAAAATATATATTACTAGCTGTTAGAAATTATCACAAATGTAGGGTTCTTTAGTTTGACTGGGCTTATCTATCCCACAATGAGAGTTGGTTCCATGGTGCGGCACCTTCATGTGACCAATTTGGTTCCATGTGCAAGGTAGTTTAAGTCAGAAATCGCGAGCACTGCGGTTATTGAGTTTGATGCTTTTAGTTGACTTACTTCCCAACCTAACATTTGTGATAGAATATCGTGTATTAGCATCTTTCAAATATGCATAACATTTTTCAATTTAGATACATTATGTTAGTGGTAGTTACATTGCTTGAATACAAGCTCATAGGCCTACATTCACACACACATAAACACATATATATATATATATATATAATTTTTTGAAATTGTGACAGTAAATTGAACGACATGAGCACGACGAAGAGAGAAATAGCGAGAGATAGAAAAGCAAAAGCGCATTTGTGACAGAGGAAGTGGACAAGGGAGAGGGAGTGTGATAGGGGTCGGAGAGGGTGTGGGAGAAGGAGTGGGAGGGGGAGTGGTAGTGTGAGAGGGGTCGGAGAGGGTGTGGGAGAAGGAGTGGGAGAGGGAGAGGAAGTGGGAGGGGAGTGGGAAAGGGAATGGGAGAGGGTGTGTGAGAGGGAGAGGGAGAGCGTGTGGGTGTTGGAGTGGGAGAGAGAGGGAGTGGCAGAGGGTGTGGAAGCGGGAGTGTGATAGGGGATAGGAGAGGGTATGGGAGAAGGAATTAGAGAGGGTGTGTGAGAGGTTGTGAGAGAGTGAGTGTGAGAGGGGTCGGAGAGGGAGAGGGAGTAGGAGAGGGTGTGTGAGAGGGAGAGGAAAAGCGTGTGGGAGTTGGAGTGGGAGAGGTTTTGAGAGAGGGAGTGTGAGAGGGGTCGGAGAGGGTGTGGGAGAAGGAGTGGGAGAGGGAGAGGGAGAGCGTGTGGGAGTTGGAGTGGGAGAGAGAGGGAGTGGGGGTGGGTTTGGGAGCGGGAGTGTGATAGGGGATGGGAGAGGGTATGGGAGAAGGAGTGGGAGAGGATGTGTGAGAGGTTGTGAGAGAGGGAGTGTGAGAGGGAGAGGGAGAGAGTGTGGGAGTTGGAGTGGGAGAGGGAGTGTGAGAGGGGTCGGAGAGGGAGAGAGAGTAGGAGAGGGTGTGTGAGAGGGAGAGGGAGAGCGTGTGGGAGTTGGAGTGGGAGAGGGAGTGTGAGAGGGGTCGGAGAGGGAGAGAGAGTAGGAGAGGGTGTGTGAGAGGGAGAGGGAGAGCGTGTGGGAGTTGGAGTGGGAGAGAGAGGGAGTGGCAGAGGGTGTGGAAGCGGGAGTGTGATAGGGGATAGGAGAGGGTATGGGAGAAGGAATTAGAGAGGGTGTGTGAGAGGTTGTGAGAGAGTGAGTGTGAGAGGGGTCGGAGAGGGAGAGGGAGTAGGAGAGGGTGTGTGAGAGGGAGAGGAAAAGCGTGTGGGAGTTGGAGTGGGAGAGGTTTTGAGAGAGGGAGTGTGAGAGGGGTCGGAGAGGGTGTGGGAGAAGGAGTGGGAGAGGGAGAGGGAGAGCGTGTGGGAGTTGGAGTGGGAGAGAGAGGGAGTGGGGGTGGGTTTGGGAGCGGGAGTGTGATAGGGGATGGGAGAGGGTATGGGAGAAGGAGTGGGAGAGGATGTGTGAGAGGTTGTGAGAGAGGGAGTGTGAGAGGGAGAGCGTGTGGGAGTTGGAGTGGGAGAGGGAGTGTGAGAGGGGTCGGAGAGGGAGAGAGAGTAGGAGAGGGTGTGTGAGAGGGAGAGGGAGAGCGTGTGGGAGTTGGAGTGGGAGAGGGAGTGTGAGAGGGGTCGGAGAGGGAGAGAGAGTAGGAGAGGGTGTGTGAGAGGGAGAGGGAGAGCGTGTGGGAGTTGGAGTGGGAGAGAGAGGGAGTGGCAGAGGGTGTGGAAGCGGGAGTGTGATAGGGGATAGGAGAGGGTATGGGAGAAGGAATTAGAGAGGGTGTGTGAGAGGTTGTGAGAGAGTGAGTGTGAGAGGGGTCGGAGAGGGAGAGGGAGTAGGAGAGGGTGTGTGAGAGGGAGAGGAAAAGCGTGTGGGAGTTGGAGTGGGAGAGGTTTTGAGAGAGGGAGTGTGAGAGGGGTCGGAGAGGGTGTGGGAGAAGGAGTGGGAGAGGGAGAGGGAGAGCGTGTGGGAGTTGGAGTGGGAGAGAGAGGGAGTGGGGGTGGGTTTGGGAGCGGGAGTGTGATAGGGGATGGGAGAGGGTATGGGAGAAGGAGTGGGAGAGGATGTGTGAGAGGTTGTGAGAGAGGGAGTGTGAGAGGGAGAGGGAGAGCGTGTGGGAGTTGGAGTGGGAGAGGGAGTGTGAGAGGGGTCGGAGAGGGAGAGAGAGTAGGAGAGGGTGTGTGAGAGGGAGAGGGAGAGCGTGTGGGAGTTGGAGTGGGAGAGAGAGGGAGTGGCAGAGGGTGTGGGAGCGGGAGTGTGATAGGGGATGGGAGAGGGAATGGGAGAAGGAGTTAGAGAGGGTGTGTGAGAGGTTGTGAGAGAGTGAGTGTGAGAGGGGTCGGAGAGGGAGAGGGAGTAGGAGAGGGTTTGTGAGAGGGAGAGGGAGAGCGTGTGGGAGTTGGAGAGGGAGAGGGAGTGGGAGAGGGAGAGGAAGTGTGAGAGGGAGTGTAAAAGGGTTCGGAGAGGGTGTGGGCGAAGGAGCAGGAGAGGGAGAGGGAGTGGGAGAGGGAGAGGGTGTGGGAGAGGGAGTGTAAGAGGGGATGGGAGAGGGAGTGGGGGAGGGTGTGGGAGAGGGAGAGGAAGTGTGAATGGGAGTTGGAGTGGGAGTGGGAGACGTAGATGGAGTGGGAGAGGGAGTGGTTAATGGGATGAACGGACAGCGGCATAGAACAAAATTAGACCAACAAACTGTCCGATAAGAATCGGCATTGGCTATAGTGACAGAGTATCTCTTACTTTTGTCGTTACTCCCATTTGTGAATATTTGTCTAAATATACCTAGTAAAAATAATTAAAAGATGATAGTAATAGTTACAGTGGATTATTCTATAGCGCTCATGTCTGTTAGACTCATGCCGCTCCACAATCATGCATTTATGTATTTGTCCTCTGAATCTGGGCCAAGACGTTCAATTGCGAAACATGGATGAAAGGAGGCCAAGAAGGAAGAGAGACTGTGATGATAAGGACTATGATCGTGGTGACATGAATGATGACGATGATCCAAAGCCTATGTTTGACAATATAAGCTTTGATGGAACATCGTCACCAACTACCGAGTCGCCATTGAGTCTAGTGGCGACAAAAGAACTTCCAACTACGATAGAACGTGACGGTACCTTCAGAGGGAGTAACGGTATATTACGACATTATAGGATGTATTCTTTTCATTGGCTTTCAACCGCCAGACTTTTAGTTAACATGGCTTCACAATATTCACAACATGGGTGACATTTTGGCGTGTCTTAATTCAACTGAATTTCAGATGCAATACATTTTTTCTTCTCGCTATTCCTCATATCCACACCTGTTGGTTTTGCCCCTTTGTTCCGTCTTGTTTGTTTGTTTGTTTTGTTGGTTGTTTTTAGGTGTTTTTGTTTATTTCCTCCTTTTTTCTTTAACGCTACCATGTTCAGGGTTGTTGGTGCCCGCCACCTCATCTCCGGTGTCTCACTACCATTCAACTAACCATACTTATGTCATACAATATTGCATTAATGTCGATCACAACTACACTGTGAAAAGGTTGGGCAATATTTCCCAACACTTTGCCCAACGTTATGCCAATAGTCGCACCAACCATCTATTGGACAATACTTGCATAATTGTTTCGTATTTCGCCCAACAGCTGGTCAAGATTTTCCCAACAAGTGGGCTACTGTAGTCGGGCAGTTGAAGGGTCATATCTTTCCCCGAATTTTGGTCAAAGTACGAAACAATTATGCATGTGTGAAGTAGGGTACTTACGTTTACCAATACAACTGGGCAAAATATTACCCAATAGATGGTTGGGTTGACTATTGGCACAAAGTTGGGCAAAGTGTTGAAAAATATTGCCCAACCTTTTCACAATGTATATTGCGCGAAATCAACCCCAAGGCTTGGTCAAAACTCCATTGTACATCCCATACAAATCATGTCCGGATTACAATACCCCATTGTACATCCCATACAAATCATGTCCGGATTACAATACCCCATTGTACATCCCATACAAATCATGTCCGGATTACAATACCCCATTGCCATGTTCACACATTTCAGTAGGTGACAACAAAAAAAACCCATAAAATTAGCCTGAGGTTGATTCCGAAAATAATTTCGATCGTGTCAATAGATAAATGAATGCGGATTATTGCAGTAGTTTCTCGTTCATATAATAACAAGAACATTCAACATCAGCATCAGCAAGACAATAGCTATATCAGACCATAAATGTATACTAATGAGTTACACGGCTACTACAGCAAAACTAGCAATCTGCAATCACACTAATATTCATCTCGTACTGCTCATGCTGCTATTATTATAAGAGCTAACCTTTTAGCACATCTAGTATTACTGCTACTATATTATTAACACTATCAGAGTATTGTGATGTTTTGTGCCTTTAAATGCGGCAATAGATATTTATGCACGCATTGAATGCTTGAATTATTATTTTTGTGCATGGTCAGTGGTATTGATGAATGCTTTTATCGATTTTCATTTCCTTAAAACTATTTTTTTGTCATATACATGAAGCATTTCAATAATAGTCAGTTAGACCCACTTCGAAAAAGCGAGCACAGGAAAATACGCCGAAAAAGGCGTATAACGCACAATGAATATTAAGCCCTTATCGTTCACGGCGAGGCAGTATGACAGAAGGCATGGGAAAGCATTGTATTGTTGACCTGTTGATGATGTTTGTTTTTAAATAATGCTGTGGATATATGTATAATATTTCGTCATTTGAAAGTTATATTATATGACGAATCATTCAAGGATTTTGAAGATAATTGACCCCCATTCTTTTTCAATATACAGGCCTATGTCAACAGTAGTTTTGCAAAATATTTCCGATGGATCAGCGAACTTTAACACTTAACGTAGCATGGTAGCGTTAGAGTTAAGTGCCACTTATACTTTTTTGTACACACTGCCTCGGATTGAACGTTGGTGGCTCTATATTCATCGAGCGTTCGTTAGACCATGAACCTAATATGGTTAGACACCGTTTTTGGCGTATTTACCTGCGCAGTGTTTTTGAACTTGTATCTGACTAATAGTAGCATCGAGTGTATGTTCGAAAGAAAATTTGATATATATATCTGCATGTGGTGTCAATATTCTTGTGACTATTTTTGTGGAAGCACAAAAAGAAATATTATTTTCACTGTAATGCATTTTCTCGTGTGATGCACGTATTTTATGAGTCCATGTATTGTGTGTGTTTTCTTCAAATTCCAAGATTTTGTAAACGCTGTGGTATTTTTTTTGTTTTTAGTGCGTCTAAATAATCGACATTCTTAACATTATCTACAGTTTGAAAAAAGTCATTGGAAACGATCCAAAAGAAGAAAAAAAAATTATGTAGGCAAGGAGTAATTTATGTGTGTTTGTGGTAGAATTGGGTTTCTAAGTTTCTAATTTGGAGTTTCTAAGTTGATAGTGAAAGTTTGAATAACTATTTTTCTCTCCTCCTGTGTGACCAACCCGGAGCAATCTAGGATAATATAGACTTAAAACCTATTGGAGCCAATTCTACACACAAACCTCTGTTTACTAAAAAGTATAAGTGTAATTTACTGAATGTTGACTGAGTGCGAATTTGGATATAATGTAACTGTACTCATATTGACATGTTCATTTCATATTCTCATGAATTCATCACCAAGCTTACTATGATTATATTTTCAGGTAGTACACTCTGCAGTGGTCAATGTAAAACCCAACAGGTAGGATATTAATCAACTTTATAATATTCCAATCTGCAATGAATATAAAATGGGGATAATGTTAATTTCATGGTGCCCCCTGGTTTCCAATGAAATAGTCATTTTCGTAGTGATGATCCATGACATCAAACTTGTCAATTTTCGAACCGATTTTAAAACTGAATTAGACAACAACTTTGTTTTTTCCCTAAAAATTGTGCATGGAACATATATATTCGGGTAGTTTGCAAAGATCAACATTCATAATGTACCAAATCAACATACCTAGTATGCTCAGGCCACATTCAAGATATGCATTTCAACTGGGTAAAGTATGACGATGTACAGGAAATAAGAGGATTTAAAGTCATAAATTGTCGACTCCGTGTAGTGATATATTTAACAGACGACTTGGCATTGCATATAGAATCTCTTGTTATTTCGTGCAATTCTTACGACACCACAGCACCACCTAATAGGGCATTTCGTTCATTTATTTAGAAGAGAAAGGTTGTTGCTCGAAAGGGGATATGTGCCCTTTGTTGGCAGGGCTAGGCTTTGAAAACGCTATTTATGACAACTTATAGAGTCGAAAGCCGATATTCATTATGACTGAATACTAGTAAAATCATAATGATAATGATAATAATTTTAATTGGTCGATTGTGGTGGTTATTTTACCTGACTGCTAAAGAAGCATAAATGCTTGTTAGTAAGGCAACCAGAGGACCGACGGCTTTAAGTCTTCTCCGAGGATAATGATAACAATCATGATAGTAACAAATAAAGATGTTGATATCAAAAAAGTAAAACATCGTCAATTCATTGAGGTCACCAACGTTGTGAAATGGTATGATTATCGTCCGGTTTGGTAAGCATGCACAACTTAAGATATTAGATATTACTCCTGACGACGGATAGTCAACCTGTTCGAAACGTCGAGCCACTCATCCTCTCCAAGCGCTATGGTTCTCATTAGAACTATAAGCTAAGAAAGATAACAAACAGTCCTTTTCAGGACTACGCACCCCTAAGAAAGATTACCGAGTCAGAGTCCTTTTCAGGACTCCTCAACCCTCTCTCTCTCTCTCTCTCTCACACACACATGGTGCACCTGCAAGCCTACTGTATAACTTACGATATATTTTGTGCGTCCGTAGATCCCGACTCAGAGCATCCCAGCGTCCGAGTCTAACGTGTCTCCTGTGAGTACAGTCACCCCGGGGGTACCAGAACCACCTAAAGTCTTAGCGAATGTCTCACATGTGGTGAATCTGACTCAAGACACCTCGTTCTTCTCATCACATGCCTTCGTAGTGGGGTTAAAACACTGGCTCGCTGCTAATGATGAGATACCAGACGATCTGAACGAGGAGAACAGGCTGGAGTATGCTAAGGTGTGAATATATGCCCCTCTCTCTCCCTCTTTCTCTCTCTTTCTTTATCTATCTAGCTTTGTTTTCACTATTTTGTTAAACAATATTACTGACTACTCTTTCTGTAGTTAAACCGAACTTTGTTTCACTGTAATCACATTGAAGGGACGAATAAAGAAAGAAAGAAAAACAAATCAAATTGATTTAATTTGGGTCTGGTCTAAACTGCTAAAAACTGCGTAGAAACATCACCAATTCTTACTTTCTGGATATGCGTGGTCTGATAAATCAATTGCAAACCTTATGCGTATTTTACAGTTCTGTGCCCGTTACCCCATGCACTCAACACTGTGTGCAGTGCATGGTCAACTTTAAAAAAAAAAAAAATCCAAGCAAACGTTTCCAAAAGAATTTCTGGACATGCGTGGTCTGGTAAATTCAAATGCGTACCTTCCCTGCATGTCATGGTATTTTCACTTGTTGAAAATATTTTAAATCCAATCTATGACGAGGAAAATAAACACGAATTCCAAAATCAATCAGATTTACTTATATTTTGTGTCATGTCCAGTGCCATTGATTAGGAGAGTTTGGCCAACTCGGTTTAAGTTGGACACAATATGACGACTACTGTTTTGTTGGGCAAGCTCAAAACAGAAGAATATGCGCCATGCTGTGACCCAATGAAACCAAGTTGGCCAAACTCTGTGTATAGATGGCTCTGGTCATGTCGTGTCTGCAGTGCCATCTCTTTAGAATGCCCTTTCACTGAGGATACAACACTAGAATACTTAGAAACATTTAATAAGAATCTAAAGTCATATATAATATTTTAGTGAGTTATATGTTGAATGTACATGTATGCATATTTTTTCATCTTCCCCGTTCTCATTACTCTATGTAACTCATTCTAATTATATCCCTCTGCGCCTCAGAATAGTTTACTATAATAATAATAATAAACATTACTTATAAAGTGCTTACCACCGAAGTCTCTAAGCGCTATAACACACAAAATAGAGTGATATACAATTACATATTAAACAAAACTAAAAAGTACAAATAAACCTACAAATTACAATACATTATGGAATACAAAGTGAACAGAGTTAATTAATCATTGAACGCAATTTTGAATAAATTTGTCTTAAGATTAGTTTTGAATAGGTTAACAGATTGACAGTTTTTGACATTTAAAGGTAGGCTGTTCCAAAGTTCAGCAGAAGCTTTGCAAAAAGAGCGATTACCATAAGAAAGAGTTGGCATAGAAGTAGATGCTAGATCGATGGCGCATTACAAATGCTGTAATATTATATTATTATTATTATGTCATTTCGTGAAGCGTTTCTTCGAGGTCTGTAACAATGTGTTTGAGGTAGATCTCCTAGCTCTGGGGGAGACGGATGCCGCGACCGTTTTTGCTGACTCGTGTAGTCATCTGGCACAAGATTTCACCTCGGACCTGGAGATAGGGGAATCAGTCAACATCTCCACACATTATGTCGGTAAGCATTCCAAATTGTTCAACAACATCCATAAATCAAAAAAAAAAACGCACATGCATCAATTTAATGTTCAATGATCAATTTATCTGTTTTATTTGTATTATCTGTTTCATTTGTATTTTCTGTATTATCTGTATTTGTATTATTGTTTTATTTGTTTCTGTTTTTGGCGTTGGTAGATATTTGATATTATTTCAATTTTATGTATAATGAAAAATATGTTTTTGCGACGTTTTAACAATTAAGAAAATAATTTGTATCACCTACCCTGTAAAGCTCGTATAATCAAGGTCATTTAAAATACCTAAGCCAAGAAACGAACCTGTCAATTTATTCGATTTTTAATAAAAAGTAATAAATCTCTCCTATGTCAAAATATTATCTGCCGTAGTTGAATTTGATCAATTTGGCACCAGTATTTCACTCAACGCTTGTTAACGTATTTTCCCTCTTCTTCTTTTGCCTTCACGTCGTATTGTTCATGCCCTTGTCAATCATCCTTTTTCTTTCTTTATCTTCACATCCCCCTTTCTCTCTCTCTCTCTCTCTCTCCCTCTCTCTTTTTCTCTCTCTCTCCCTCTCCCTCTATTTCTCTCTCTCTCTCTCTCTCTCCCTATGTCTCTATACCCACTCTCTGTCTGTCTCTCTCCTTCTCACTTCCTACAATCTTTCTCTCGGCATTATAGACATGTACGCATCTGTTCAGCAGGGCAGTAATTTCACTGGATATATACAGCTCATCGAAGACGACGATGATAACGACGTTGATGAGGAGTCGGAGGCCATTCAGGTTGTCATCATCCCTCCCGATGTCGTCAGCGATCTCCATCTTTCAGGTGAAAAAATAACTTCATATTACTATATTACTATTGGTTTCACAAAGAAATAAACTTAATATTTTAACTTTCATGGTTTCATTGTACGATTATATAGATATGTTTTGTGAATATAATTTTTTTCTTCTATTTAAAATGTATCCTCGAGAGTTGTAACTTGTAGACACATACATTTCAGCTTTTTAGCTGCAGCATTGGCATCATTATATTCTATATTGTTTTAGAAATAAACCTTGAATTGAATAATCTTCTTGAAAAATGAAAAATTATAATTTTTAAAAATGTGATCCTACTTGCAATAAACCTACATACATTTATGCAAAAGTACATGTATGAATAACGTTTCATTCCAGTCGAAATCTGCATGCATATATCAGGTCGCTTCCACGTTCAGATGCTTTAATAGGTCCGCTTCGATGCGTTCATGCCAAAGTTCGTCGCAACTAAACCTGTAAAGTGTTTTAGTGTTGTAAGTTCTAACTATAGTAACACGCGAAAACTGTTCGTCATTGCATTGCACCATTAAAATAAGATATTCGAAATGGATATTTGGGTCTGACTTCGTTTGTCTTATAGAAATGATTGAAATTCATGTTTTATCTGGAAATATGATTTTTTTTTCTTGTTTTACTTTCCTTTCAGAGGAGGACTCCGTAGCTGTATCAGTGGTAGTTTATAAACGGGGGCACTTCATAGTCAAGTAAGTGGTTAATTATTAATTTACACCCACATCAACCCCGACCCCACTCCTGGTGAAAGAAAAAATGCATTGTTATACCGTCTCACCCATATTCAAACCTGCTTTCGGTTAAAACTAGCATGTACAGGGTTGGGGTAGGGGGGGGGGGGCTTTGGGAGCTGAAGCACCCCCCCCCCCCCCCCCCTCCCCTTGCAGAAGTTTTAGAAATGTCATTTATATCGTCATAATACAGTGAAAATGTAACATTGAAAACATGAAATATACAATGTTTTTTTTATCTATCACACTTCATCATCCTGATTCCAAGTCCTCCATATTTCTTTTCTGCATGTAGTCATGACAACCAAACGACTGATACATCCCATCGGCCAGCAGGATCCGTAGTCTCAATCACAGTCACAGTTAATGATAACGTTACATCAGTCCCGGTTGAATTCCAACTCTATAATGATATTGTAAGTGAACTCCCTCTTTCTTTCTTTATTTAAAGTGGCTTAAAATGTACCCGATACGGGTAATATTCGACCCTGGTCTTTTTAGAGCAGTATGTGATAAGTGATGAAATGATAAAGTTGGGTAATAATATGATGGGAGAACAGTATAAACGAGTTCGTAAACAGATCTTAGACAGGATGGATACTTCCCACCTGTGCATTTTAGAATAATCACAGCCAAAGTGACTGAGGTGCTTCATGAATACCTTTAGTTTGCCTCTTGAGAAGAATACTTCCACCTGTGTATCAGATACATGTACTGTTGGTGCATAAATGACTACTGATTACATAGCTTTCATGAGCACGATCCGAGTATTCGTCTCAATGGTTTTACAATTTGGGTACGAATGACCTTTATCTGCCCATGCGCAAATCCTAATTACGAACTCGCTTGTAAGGGAGTTTACAGATACAATCTGCGCATGGACAGATAAAGGTCATTTGTACCAAAATGGTAAAACCCACAGAGATGAATACTGGATATGCGCTCATGAAAGTTATGTGACATTATTCATTTATGCACCAACGGTTCATTCTATTATACGCAGGTGGAATTATTCTTTTCAAGAGGTCAAACAAAAGGTATTCATGAAGCACATCTAGGACTTTGGCAGTTATTATTCTAAGTTGCTCAAAGTGGAACTTCTCCATGTGTAAAAGATCTGTGGATATTTGGGGTCAATTGTACCATGTGCTATCTGTAAACTCCCTTATTGATACTGATGGGGCCACCCTGTGTGAACAAGAGATATCGTTATTATCATAATTATCATCATTATTATTATCATTATTGTTATTATAATTATCATCGTTTTCATGTTCATTATCATTAACATTGTTATTATTATTATCATTATTATAGGTTTTCCCGGCCAATGTCGTAAGATCAGCAATCAATATCATGAACGTGCATTCATGTTCGAGCAAATTTTCTCCACTCGTTGCTCCCCTGTTTCATTTTTAAACTTGTTGCATTCAATTTCGTTTCGAGTCACCGAATTTTCTAAACATGCACATTCGAATTAAAGCTGTAATGACGAAATCGAATACGCATGTCATTCCTCCAAATAAACTTTGCATAAAATTATTCAAACAGGAGTATATTAAGTGACAAATTAACATCAAATGAAAAAAAATGCACAAATATCAAATAATTATGTATGTCTAAACTCGAAATTGAATGCACGAAGACATACCACCGTTTGTCCGGCGCGAATTTGAATGCTCTTTGCACGCTTTTCTAAATTGAATGCTCGTTTTGCACGTCTCCGTGGCAAGAGTATGAAATCGCATGCCATTGAATGATGCAATTAGCTTTTTGAATGTTGATCTACATAGTCATTCAATTTCGCACGAACTTGAATGAACGTAACTTTAATTCGGATGCTAAGTTTACGAAGTTGGGCGGGAAAACCTACATTATCTCATAATTATTATTATTATCATTATCATTATGATATTTATTAATATTGTTATTATCATTAACATCATTATTATTAGTTTTATTAAATTCATTATCATTGTTATTATCATCATCATTATCATTTTCATTCATATCATTATCATTGTAATTATTATTATCATCATTATGATCATCATTATTTTTATTATTATCATTATTGTTATTATTTTATCATGATCTTTATTGTTATTATTAGTATTATTATTATTATCATTATCATTACCATCATTTTATTATTATTATTATAAGTATGAGCACACATGCATCCTTTGACGTTCATTTGCCCCCCTTGCATTTCTCTCTCAAGTCCCACCTTCTACCCGATGAGCTTTCACAGTATGAGCCAGGCAATGCGACTTGTGTCTTCTGGGAAACAACAGGGTAAGCTAGGCAAACTTCATTCTCATTTCCATGATGTCATGAAGATTATATTAAAAAAAATATATAATAAGCCTCGGTCACAAATGCCATTACGAACTGCTACAAACGCTGTACGAACGATTTTCAGAAAATGGAAATTCGGGAAGACAAAGGAAAAACAGGGAGATTCGTACGAAATTATCGTTCGTACGAACCTTTGTGACCGTAGCATTAACCATCTGTTTTAAAAAAAAATCCAATACATTAAGTCTCTCATGTTATCTTCTTTAAATATTAAAAATTAACGCCTCTTTCATCTGTAAACTGCTTTTTCAATACATTATATCTTGTTATCCCCTTTTAGATTTCCCATCTTATATACAACTTTGTTTTTATTAAAACAAAAATATATTAAACACCTCTTTCATCGGTAAACTCTTTCATATAAACAATTATCTTTTGTTACTCTCTTTTAAATTAACTAAACTTATATAAAACTGTTATTCAAAGGAAAAGTTAATATCAAAGATTTCTTGCATCTATTAACTGCTTTTTTAATATACACTTTTATTTTATCCTCTTTAAAAACAAATATATTCAACACGTCTTTCGTCCGCAACTTTTTTTTCTCAATACACTCTCTTAAGTTACCTCTTTTAAACTTAAACAAACTGTTATGAATGACTTTTATCAAAAAGTTATTATTATACATTTCTTAAGGTGATAAGCAAGGCTATTGTAAGTACCTAGGTTGATTAGCGGAAAGTCTATGCGATCATGTTTTCAGGTTGTACGTATGAAACTACCATTATTAGATTGGGATTCGTACATTTCGGATCCGCCTTCGAATATGAATCATATATATTTTTTTTTATTATTTAAAAAAACGAATCAAATACACAGTTGTCCTTAAAGTTGGAGTAATTGTTCTTCACCTCTTAATGAAATGCCTCTGATTTTCCGCAAGATAATGTGAATAACTCTTGATATATTACGTTAATGATCTTCTGAGAACGCCATTGATCAATCTATATGACTCTTTGAATTGATCAATAATGTTCTGAGAAGGTATGAACCGTATAAATCAAGATTTTAACAATTGTCACAATCATCGGATGAAAAGAGGTAAGACAACTTATTCAAAATTTAATGGCAACTGTGAACTCTGTATGTTATACAACATTCAAAAGGGATGTAAATCAATTAAAAGTAGAGTGTGGTGATATTATTTTGTTATTTTTGATGGAATTGACAGTGATGGAGAAGGAGCATGGAATGACTTTGGATGTGAAGTTCTCAACGCAACCAGAGAGTTTACTATCTGTGCATGTAACCACACAACACATTTCGGAGTATTACTACAAGTCCGGGAAGTTAAGGTAAATATGTTTTTATTTTCCTCAATTACTAGTTAGCTAAATAAACAAAAGACAAAGAGGAATAAAAGAAAAAAACAACAAGATAAGATAAGAAAAGAACAGAAAGGGAAAGAAAAAAAGAAAGAAAGAAAAATTAAAAAAACTGAACAAAACAAAAACAAACAAAAAAACTATATGGTGGCAGCGGTGGGATCTGGTTTGCCTAGTAAATTAAATTATATTGTTTGGTATGTACTGTGGAGAGAGGTGGAAAACTGCTAGTATGCATTTTTGATGATGGAGTACGAAATGTAGAGTAGATTTGAAACTACTGAATTTTGTAAATATGTTCTGCGTATACAAATCCTTTAATCATTGTAATCCACAGTGACGTATCCTCTAGACCTGGGGGGGGGGGGGGGGGGGGTGTTTCACAAAACTTATCATCAGTGACAAATAACAGTGTTTGTATTAGCTACTGAAATCCTCGCTTCTGATTGGTTATCAGCAGATTTGTCACTGGTTTTTGTCATTTGTCATTGAAAAAGGCTTTGTGAAACACCCCCGGACACCTCTCCCTATGTATAGAGGTTTCGTGGTCTATAGGAGTAAGAAATAGTGTTTTTCAATCTTATATTTTAAAAAAAACCCTCTTATTTACAGATTCCACTGGCGGATGATCTTGCTCTCACTCTCATCACATACATAGGAGCGGGAGTCTCTATCGCCTGTCTTCTCCTCACCCTTCTCATACTCAACGTGCTCACGTAAGTTTAACAAAAGTGCTTCTCGAAGATAGAAAATCTTAAATTGAATTGCCATTTATTGATGTAATCATATTTATCGCACAAATCTTTGTTCAGAGCCTCGTTACAAATGATTTCATTCACCTATTAAGAATAAATATATTTCAATAGTCAGAATGCGAATTGCGTACATTGATTATTGCTAGGTAGGACAAACATTATGGCTTGTCCTACCTAGCAACACGATCTAATTTAATCTGTCCTCTCCCTAACATGGTTTTCGTCATGCAATTCTATAGGCATTCATGCAAAGACATAAAAGACGAAATTGATAGTGTCAATAAATTTCTAACGTATCAAAGCAAACAGTGCATTATGGAAGAGGTCATTTTAAAACCGTTACATATTAGGCTCGACAAAGTCCTCTCAAAGTGATTTGAAAATAGTTCAGTTTAAGTTTTAGGTGCTATTAAAATGTTTTAACTTCTATTACATAAAACGGAGAAATCTATATCTAAACACTGAATCTTGAATTAATGTAACTATTTTTTCCTTTATAACCTTTTTTCCTTCAAACTTCTATCCTTATAGTGCATTGACCTCAGATCGAGTGAAAATTCACAAGAATCTAGTGACTGCCCTCACCGTCGCTCAGGGTCTCTTCCTTTCAATAGATGCTGCGAGCAGAAACAAGGTAAAAAAAGATGCTTAAAATAAGAGCAAAGAAAGTCAAAAGTGAAAGTTCATGTTTTATCCAAAGGGGAAATTAAAAATCCGATTGTTTTATTTCAAATTGCAATATCGAGATTTTGATATGAAGTTGGTTTAGAAGAAGAAAAAAAATGAGAGAAACATCCGTGAATAGTTTGAGGAAAGTCCGATGAAAATGAATTGAATCTTTAAGAACTTCCAAATGTGTCACCGATAAAGCGCAAGTTGGAAACTCTATGACGGGCCTTTAGAGCATTCCTCCCATTTGCTTGGTACTAAAGAAAATAAAAATCATAAATTCTAACTTTGTTGGTTAGTGATGAAGGATTAGATTTTTAATTTATATATTTGGTTGGCAGACTATATTACATTGAATACAATCATAAGGCGAGAGCTCTACTGCTTTTTATTTCTCTTGGGCATGGGGTAGTCGTTTTAATTGGTTGATTGAACATTCGCGCCAAGAATAATTATTTGCACTTCCATAAATGATTTTAATAACGATGTTGTCATTTTTTTCTTCATCATATCTTACTACAGATCAGCTGTAAAGCTGTCACCTTGTGCCTTCACTATTTCTATCTGAGTGTGTTCTGCTGGAGTCTTCTAGAAGGAATAAACCTCTACATTCAGATCGTACAGGTGTTCTCAACGGGGAGGAGGATGAAATACATCCATTATCTACTCTTAGGATGGGGTAAGAAATTTATTTCCATACGTCAATCAAAACATTAATTAATATCAAATGATATTTGCAACATAACAAAGAAAATGAAACTAATTTTCTATTAAAGAATATTAAATGTCGATAAGTAATCAAAGCATTTTAGGATACATTATACGGTTTATAAGAACAATATTATCATCAATAAAGTAGAATCTGAATGAAAATTGAGAAATCCACTTAAAATCTGAGATTGTATTACTACGGGTTATGGATGCCAACACGGAGAGAGAGAGAGAGAGAGAGAGAGAGAGAGAGAGAGAGAGGGAGAGAGAGAGAGGAGAGAGAGAGAGAGAGGGGAAGGGGGGGGGGTAAAGATCAGTAAAGAAATATTTGTCAAAGTTCAGGAAATTAATCTGGCTGTCTTTCTGGAATAAGGGTAAATATCTATGGTCAAATAATGAAATTTCCTAAATCTAAAACATGACACTGAATTAATTCAGTTATGTACTCAATAACTTTCCTATGGTTAACTAATTATAACCAACGGATACTGTAAGTAGAGGTTTTATTTATTAGTATTAACTTTTGTTATACCTTTAAAAATATCATGAAAGTATTCACAGGTAATGATGAAAACCTTTGTAAAAATCGAATATTTAATTTTGACCTCTTGTTCACGTATTTTTTTTCTCCAGGTGTGCCCATACCTATAGTTGCCATTAGTGCCGGTATCCGATGGAACATATACGGAGCTGAACAACTGTGAGAAAATACAAACGCTTTCCTTTCTTTTTCTATCAAACTAAATATAATGTCTCTGAAACTGATGTAATAATAGCCTGGATTTACATAGCGCTTAATACGAAATGCCGTCTCTACGCGCTTTACAGTTATTTGAATGAATACAAATGTGTGCCTCATGTAATGTATTCAACATTAATTAACAGTTGTGAACACAACCTCAAAGACTTTCAAAGGATCAACCTCAAAATAATTCATTGACCCTGACCTTCTTTTGAAATGTACGAACATTATTTATATGGGGTATTGATCAATAGGGTATTAAAATGAGATGATTTCTTGAAGGTCTGTGCAACCGTGTTTATTGTCAAGACATTCAGAATTATGATTATTTCATTAAAAAGACAAGATCGGATTCCTTTAACACGAATTAACAGGCAAAGAGTATCCACTGTAATGTTTAGAATATATTATTGTACAAAATATTGAAGGTCATGAAGTACGTGTTGGTGTTAATAGTTTTGATTAAGTGATACATTGATTAAAATAACGAGACTATTACGTTTCTTTGACTTTGATCACATTTAGGTGTTGGTTGACTACTCATGAAGGTCTAATATGGGCGTTTGCCGGTCCAGTCATCTTCGTTATTACTGTGAGTATGATGTAGCTAATGTTGTAGCCTACCCGCCGCACTAGGGTGTAGAGAAAAACCTCGGTGTAGAGGAGGAGAGACCCGTGTGTGACGCCAAATAGGCTACTTAATAAAAATGAAGAAGGTGGCAATTCCATGAAGCAGAAGGGCATATAAAAATTACCGGTGTGTTGGCTCAGTCAGTAGAGTGTCCGCCTCACAACCGGGAGGTCGTGGGTTCGAACCGCATCATACCAAAAGACGTTAAAAGATGGGAGTTGCTGCTACCTTGTTTGGCGTTCAACAATACGGGATAGAGCAACGTCGATCTGGCGCTGCTCAGTGGCTGCCAGGCTCACGATCAATTGGGCAAAGAGAATTTCGATTTCGGTTTAACTTAATAAAATAAAGATTATAATAATAATTATTATTATTATATAGTCCGGGGGTAGTAGAAGTAGTTATAGTGAAAACTAACAGAAGTAGTGCACGAAGTCGTTATTTTTAGATAAAAACCGCTCGAATTAAGCTGTCATTTTGTCTACCTTCCTTCAACAGACCAATTTGATAATTCTGTGCATGGTTGTACGGGTCATCGTCAAGTCTGCAGCAGCTCACAAAAAAGACAACTATGACCACGTCAAGTAAGTAGAACGTCTGGCAAGGACGTGATGTCCTTCACATACAAATGTGTATTCATTTTCGCACATTGTTGTATCAATTAACAATATCTAAACAGAAGAACAATTAATTTATTCGGAAAATGGACAGTTCATTTCGTTTCATTTTTATTTTTTCATTTCCAACAAAATACAATACATAATACCGTATTCAATGTAAAATGTTAAATTAATTTATGCATTTGAGGAAGACAAACATTGAATTATAAATTTAACTGCATTTATATTTTGAGGAAATGGAGAGGTCCACTGAAAAGCTGGGCTTGTACATTTTGGACCCCTTAATTGTAAATTGTGGTTCCTATCTTTAATATCCCTTACATTATTGGTCACATGGCAAGCCATTTATCCCGTTTACAGAGTCTTGCTAAATATAATCATTAATGTAGCATGATGTTCTTAATTTGTTTTAAATTCGGTGATTAAATGAATGAATGAATCAACGAACGAATGAATGAACGCACGAATGAGTGATGAGTGCATTAATGAATAAATGATAAATTAATGAATTAATGAATGAATGAATAAATGAAAAATAAAAATCGTTACTTTATTCACAAATATCCTTTTTAGAGCTGGAGTAAAAGGAGCCCTCCTCTTAGTACCGATCCTTGGTCTTGGATGGGTATTTGGGTTCATGTCTCTTGGTCGAGCTACGCTCATCTTTACATACCTCTTCGTCATCACGGTCGCGCTTCAGGTTAGTGACGGTCATGGATATGATGATGATGATGATGATGATGGTGCTGCTGCTGCTGCTGCTGATGATGATGGTGGTGATGATGATGGTGATGATGGCTATGATGATGATGATGATGATGAGAATGATGATAATGATGATTATGATGATAATTATGATGACGTTGATGATGATGATGACGACGACGATGATGATGATGATGACGACGACGATGATGATGATGATAATCTTGTTGATGATGACGATGATGGCTATGATGGTGATGATGATGATGATGGCTATGATGATGATGATGACGATGATGATAATGGTGACGATGATGATGATGATGATGACGATGATGATGATGATGAGGACGACGACGACGATGATGATGATGATGATGATGATGATGTTGTCGATGTTGTTGTTGTAGTTGTAGTTAATGGTATTGTTGAAGAGGATGATGATGATGGTAGCGGGGTGGTTGTTCCTACTCAGTCAAACTAGACAGGCTCATCTCGCTGTTGACGATGATTATGAAGAGATGTTAGTACTGTTGTTATATCAATAATGATTTTTAAATCAACTCTTTGTTCCCAATAAATTTTATCACTTGAAAAGGTGCTCTGTCAATGCAATGCATTACCATAATCATTCTTTTTTAATATCATTGTTGTTATCGTTATTATTATTTTCAATATTATTGACATTATTATCATTATTATTGATAATAATTTATTATTATTATTATTGTTATCAGAATCACTATATTTATTATAATTGTTTTTATTATTATCATTATTATTATTATTATAATTACTAAATTCATTATAATTTATATTATTATTATTATCATTCTTATAATTGTTTTTACATTTCCTCAACAGGGTGTTCTCATTTTTCTTCTATACTGCGCATTTAATGCAGAGGTGAGTTACAAATTTCAAAATTTGATAAAGCGATACCATGTGTTTGATTGAACCAAACATGAACAAGAAATCACAAAGCCAACTATAAGCCGGGACAAGACAAAAGTTTCATGAAATTCAATTTCAAACTCAGTTTCTTTCGTTAATTCTCAGGCATTAGTTGATGGCTTTTTTCCTGTTATTGTATTTATTTTTGTAATTCGTTTTCTTGTGTTCTTTGTTATTATTATACTCCTTAATGTTCCTGGAAATGAAATTTTAAAAAAAATTAAAAAAATTAGAAAGAGTTTCAAGTAAGGGAAATGACCTGTTGTAAATCACTGATTTTTGGTTTTTACAATTATTGTATCTTATGTTTTACTTTTTAATCTCATCAACAGTAAAATACCAGTGACTATTGAGTAGGTATGTTTATTCAATACATGTACAACAATCGACCGATTCCTTTTTTTAAATATATTTTTCCCACCATGTCGCTCAAAGTAGACAGTTTTATGGCGATTACGAAATAAAGGCAATAATATGACTGTACAAACCATGCATACAATCCGATTTTCGTCATGGTTTTTGTTGTAATGGATTGGATTGGATTTGAAAGATGATTACAAATCTTTTATTATTTGGATTCAGGTTCGAGCAGCATTGTCTAGGAAAGCTGAAAAGAGAAAATTACGACGAGGCGATGGGTTGAGTTCAGTGCCTACACCGTCAACTATTAACTCTTCACAGGTAGGGATCAAAGGAAGAGAAATTGATGGCAATACAAAGATGGAATGAGAAGGAGGAAGGGGAGGATGAGAAAGAATAAGAAAAGGGACTAGAAAGCGACAAACATAGCGAGGCGACACAGGAATCAAATTAGAAAAGAGAGAGAGGGGGAGAGAGAGGAAGAGAGGGAGAGAAAGAGAGAGAGAGAGAGAGAGAGAGGCGGGGAAAGAGAGGGGGAGAGATAGAGAGAGAGAGAGAGAGAGAGAGAGAGAGAGGGGGGGGGTAGAGAGAAAGGTAGGGGCGTTGGAAGAGGGGCTAAGGTGAAAAATATAAGCGTGACAAGAGGGAGAGAATAAGCGTGATAGAGGATATAGAATAACATAAATGGAAACATGAAATTGAAGTCTTTAAAGAGGAGAGGGTGGGTGAGTGTGGACGGGCATGTGTGTGTTATGCATGATTATGTGTGTGTGTTGGTGGGTTTGAGCGGGAGAGAAAGAGAGAGAATGAGAGGGGAAAGACAGGGGAGGGGGAGGAGGAGGAGAGGAAGAGAGAAGGAAGGTAGAGCAGGAACTGCACTTATCTGTCCAAAAATGATGGATTGTTCATAAGGAATAATCTTAACTTAGCCTTAAATGAAAACAGTGAAGAGTAGGTTTACGTTCGGTTGGAGCCGATTCAATAATAGAGGACCACTATTTTTTGTTGTTGCAGAAAAGAAGTCTTAACTAGAGGAAAATGGAAATTGCTTGCATTTTTTGTTGCTTACGAATAGATGGAGGGGTTAATTATAAAAATATCATCAAAGACATTCGACAATTGTTGAGTTTGTATGGAACTAACCCAGCTGCATAACAAAGCTAGAATTAGCCTTTGATATCTTGTTTATAAGATGACTACATTTTGATTAATTCATGTCTGCATTTTGCAAACAATAAATTGTCTTACAACATATTATGCTCAGCCTTGATAATATTTGTTTAATATGATATGTGACACATTTACGTCTATTATACTTGTTATCACTATCATCATTCTTTTCGTTTTAATATTCTCAGTCGAATGATACATCAACCACGTTCGCTTCGAAGCTGTTCGATAAAATCAAACGACGGAGATCATCGACCACGGCTAATAAGAACTCACCCATCGACACCATCCACCTTATGGATAGAAGCGAATCAGCTCACAGCACTAGAGGTGAGAAGAAATAGCTGAACAGCTAGTCATCAAATAATTTACAGATTTGGCTCTACTTGTTTTGGCTTTCATGCCCGTGTATACTGTATGCAAATATAATGACAGTGATAATAATGATAACAATAACAACTTAAAGTACTACTACTACTACTACTACTACTACTACTACTACTATACTTCTACTACTACTACTACTACTACTACTACTACTACTACTACTACTACTACTACTACTACTATTACTACTACTACTACTTATACTACTACTACTACTACTACTTCTACTACTACTACTACTACCACTACTACTTATACTACTACTACTACTACTACTACTACTACTACTACTACTTCTACTACTACTACTATTGCTATTAGTACTATACTACTAATAATAATTGTGTTTCCTTATCGAACATGTTCGTCACGCCATGACGCTCTAATCGTCACTATTATACAACTTCCAGTACACAAGATAACTTATCTTGAATTTCTTCTATTTTCTTCCACTGCATTCAGACATCATTTTACATTCCAGAAATAATGGAAGCATAGACTCGGGCTACAGTCTGAACGTTATACACACACCTAGCTATCTTCCGTCAGACAGCATGGCATCCATTAGAACAGACGTTGTAAGTATCAGGTGATAGGTCATGTGATATATTATCACGTGATAAACCAGGAAAGGAAAACTCTCAAACCTATACAATGACCATAATGGTTCTCCTGGATATGCATTAAATATCCTGCAAAGGGGAAATTTACTTTGAAATTAAGTTGGCTTTTAAACAAAAATAAGTATTTTTAATGTTTACCTTTAAAAAAACCATTGATATGTTAATGCAGCTTTAATATTATTACTGTGCAATATAAATTACACGACCTATTTCTTCTTCAAGATTAACAAAAAATGAGATTCATGAAATTTGCAGTTCAAAGCAAAGAGAGAGATACTCGAAATATATGTCACCGATATCTTTTTTTTATTTTTTTTTCTTCTAAATAACAGGGTAGATATCCATTTGAAATAAATAATTTATTCGTATACAGAAACACACCTTTGATGTATAGTTTTGATTGAATATAAATGGAGCTCTGTGAATGATGACAATGGTGATGATTATTAATTGTATTACTGTTATTGTTAAATCTCATTTTAATTATTTTCTTTTTAATGATATTGTTATTATAATTATTATCATCATTGCTATCATTATCATTATAATTATTCATCATCTTCTTCTACGTATTGTTATTATCATTGTTATTATTTTCATTATCATTATTATTTTCTTGTTTCATTTTCTTGTTTTATCAGTTACAACCAGAGGAGTTCATCCCACCGAACACACCTACCTATGACGAGCCTATTATCCCTCGCATCCAATAATCTTTTAACCTTTGACACTGCTGCCATGACAACGAGTAAAGCCCGGATTGTAAAGACATGATGTCCATTCTTTCAATAACCTGTATTTAGAGTTGTATGTGTCGTGGTATAGGGATTAAGTCACTTGACTCTCAATCCTAGGGTTGAGGGTTCGATTCCCAAATACAACGAGTAAAGCCTGGATTGTAATGACATGATGTTCATTCTTTCAATAACTTGTAACTAGAGTTGGATGTACCGTGGTATAGGGATTAATTTACTTTACTCTCAATCCTAGGGTTGAGGGTTCGAATCTCAGCCCGATGTCCTTGATGATTTGGCAAGACAGGTGTAAATTGGTACCTGGATTTTGCTGAGTAATATTGATTATAGGTCCCTCTAAAAGAACGGCTTTGATATTGATACGGCTTCCCTTAGTAAACAAACTTATTATAATTATTTGCATATAAGTAAGTAAAGCCAATGCAGACTAAGATCCATTAAAATAATTATTTTCAACAGTAATGTTTTGGATGTGCAATATCCTTTAAAAAGTGAAGCCTATAACCCATGGTAATAATAAGTCATAATGGAATAATAGGTGCAGGTATTCTAAAAAATGAGAAGTTTTCCTGCCTCTTTGCCTACGAAAATGTAGGAGATATATAAAGAAGATCTCTTGGCATGATGTAATGCCTTTCAGCATGGCATGGGCTAAGCCATTTCTTGAAAATATGACGTACCAGGAGAAGCTGTATATGTACCAGATTCATCTTTTCAAACGTGAAATTGTAAAGCATCTTGAACCTCTACGGCCATTAAAATTGTACGAGAATACTGCCCTTTTCCATAAAAAAGCTAGCATTCAAGTTGCCCAACTGTTGAGTTCAAATTGTTAAACCGTTCGAAATTTAAATATTTTAGAATAAAATTGCCTTGTACTATTACACTGTTCATTTCTAATCTTATCCTCTAAAGGTAGTGTTATATAATTGTATTGGTCATGGGTTATCCAATGATTCATATTACACACAACACACCCACTCACACTTACACACGCACCACACGGTCCCTACTCACACATTCTCAATGGTTGACATTCTAGTACACGCAGTGACCTTCGTAATTCTAATTGCATAGATGTGACAATGAAAACATCACTAATAAAATGTTTACACATTGCTGCGAGACAATTTAGAAATGTCATTGCCTATTTTCTCGGTAAGCCTAGCTAGTTGACCGAAGTCCCGCGAGACCGAAAAGCAAATTTCTCGGAACCTTTTTCATATTCAGTCTCGCGGGCCGTCGGCCAAGTGGTTAGGCCCAATTTTCTATTATATACTGTGTATATATAATTATGTAAATATACAAGGAGCACTAATCAGTAGTGTTGACATAAATTAGACATAATTTGTTTATGCAAAACATTATGAATTGAATCTACAATCAAACGTAAATATCTATCGTATCTCCAATTTTGCTGCAATTAATCGTATCTTACCGATCATTGTATTTATCTGTAACATAATGTTATTCTTAAGTTACTATTTATTGTAAATAACGTTACATGTCATAGACAAGTCAACTGGACTTACCATGTTTTACCTTTCGACCTTTCACGTCCACTAGTTACGGGATGGTTTATCAGGCCGACTGGTCTAATTTTGCATGGCGGAAAATTGTTATTGACCCGTGACGGAAATGTAGGCCCGTCCGCATCTTGTTTAAACCTAACCTTGCCACGCTGCCCTGCATATTAATATTTTAATATATGAATATTTGCGTAGGTACGGTGTGGTGGAGATCAAAATTAAATTGGCCAGATGCTGGACTTAACCAGTATGTCGCAATGATTAGGGATAATTTATGACCTGGGTAGTCATTCGTTTACGGTAAGCCACCCGATTTTCTCGCAATGTCATTCTTTTAAAGGTTTGCACTTGTAATTTTTGTACGAAATCTCATTATTTGATAAATTATCGCATCGGATCCTGTATGCGTGCGTATCATGAATATTTAAAACTAGCGCATGACGTATGGTTCATATTGAGCCAATCAAATGCAGCGATAGGATGGCAAGCTTAGGTTAAAAAAAAAAGACGCGGCCCGGCCCAGCCTTATATCCATTATCTTATAAACGGTTTGATCCATAAAAGCTGCACGGTCTAACATAGGATTATTAAGGCAGCGTTGATTGAACCGGGGATATTTATTGTACATTTGTGATTGGTTGAGATACGATTAATATGGGGAGATATGATCCATTGTAGTACTTTGTATGTTCAAAAGCGCGTTTTACCCTGTCATTTTTTGTTTTCTTTCTGCCAAAACTTCCAATATGCCAATATGATAATTTATGACTTATGAACTGTATGTGCAGGACGGGTTCGATTTGCCGAATGGCGGATTTAATTCAATCATTGTAATTTTTGTCATACAAATCTTTGAAAATTAAACGAATGTTTACAAATGCGAGTTGTTGATTGCTTTTACTTGTAGAAGTACGTGCACACTATTCGTTCTTTCCCGCTCTATCTCCTCTTCATAATACGTAGTTGTCTCCTTGTCTCCTAATAGATATTTTCATAATAATAATGGACAAAATGTTTCGCAATCCGTAATCATTTTTTTTCCTTCCATAAAAGATTTGGGTGACATAAAACTGAATATTAGAGACCTTCCCTTTCCATTTCTTTTATAGAACTTTAATTATAGTTCCATCATCCAATCAGAAACTTGTCCAATACATATCATTTTGATTTGAGTTGTCAATATGACGGACCTCAAAGATTGACATTAATTATTCACCTCTATAGCCAAATATTAATCAATCGCTTTTAATCTTTAACCGATTCATCATTTATTTGAAAGGCCTTCCCTTCTCTTCCCTCTTATTAACTTGTCATCTCCCGTCACCTATATTTTGTATTTTAAGAGACAAGAGAGTTTATTAAAAGGGGAAGTCCACCCTGATATCAAGTTGGTTTTATTAATAGCCGAAAATTGAGAGAAACGGGTCAGTGAAAGTTTGAGAGAGAAAAAAAAACAATTAAACATGATTTATGAATTTTTGAAGGTGGGATCAATCAATCATACATTGGCAACTATTTTATTAAACCAAACAGGATGGACTTTTCCTTTAAAGAGAAGGTCGAGTTCTGGGGAAAGGTGATCAATAATTTATGAGCGTTATCATTGTTATTATGCAAGTGTGGAAGAACATCAGAGAAAAAATGTTCCTTAAAAGCATGGCTCTTCAAATGCCTCCACTTTCTAAATATGACATGTAGCAGATATTTGTGTAGTCCCATAATTGGAACTCTTTTGAAGACGGGTCCCAGAAATCAACTTTCCCTGTAAGTGTGTGAGTTCAGGCCCTTCCAGCTCCCTGCAGATAAGATTTCATCTCGCACCTAAAGAATTACACATGGTCTAAAAAATAACACAATCGCTAACTAATTTCAAAAAATCAACTCAAGGACAATTTTCAAAACCCTATTATGCCATTGCAATATTCGCACATTTCTAAATATTACGTACTAAGGTCATTGAAATTGCTTTAAGTTGATTTTTTTTTAAAGGTAGTTGCCATCGTGTTATAACAAAAAAGATAGATTAGACAAGCATATTTTCAAAGTGACTAATTTTATTTCACAATATAAAAATTTCGGTCATGCCGTCTTTGACAGTATTCATAATTTTTCTTCATCAACATTGAAAATTTATAACAAAAGAAATACATGTCCCAAAAACTTCATCCTTGTCATTCGTAAACCGTTGAAAAAACATGTTCAAGTTGATGTCTTTTTTACTTCATCCTCAAAAATTCTCTTCGATGATAAAACTTTCAAAGATCAAATTGACAGTATATTTCATTCATGAACGTTATTTTGCATTTGTTTCCATAGCAATACGCAAACACTTTTATACAAAGTTTCTATACAAAGTTTATTTAATGAGGTGATAAGGTCTTAACTCATCAAGGACATTTTCAACATTATCTGATTTTGAATCTTAGAATAAATCATATCCTTAAGCTGAGGAAAGAGCAAACCTTTAATAACGATGTGCGCCAATTTCTGCTGCATTATAATAATTTTTTTCACAACAGAGATATTAAATAGGAAGATAAGTATTCAAATACCTCGACTGGCAACACTCCGAGGTCAATATCATCATTCTTATATGACAATGGGCAATGTCAAAACAATATGTTACATATTCCATTTACCCATCTAGGCGATAAATATCAAAGTGGCTAACATGAAGAGGGAAAGCTGATCAATTTAGCAACTAAAATAATTGTTATCCTTGATGGGTTAATAGGGACTTTTAGATTTGCACGACGACAACGTGGATTGCTACGATCGACGTCCTTTTAATGCACTGCCTTGAATGGACGTCACACATATCAGTCCACCCAAATCTAAAAGTCCCTAATAGCTAACACTTGACCTATACCTCATCGATTAGGCAAATATCATAAATAAGGGAAACATGGTCTCCATACTCTTAGATGATCACAGTACATATAAGTTGTCAATACAAGTTTGATAACCCGAGAATGTGTTATAAATGTAATTATGAAATACTAGATGTATATAATAGTTTCAAGTGAAATTAAGGTACACTGCATTGGGCTAATATCTACTAAATTACAAGTAATATTATATTGATTTAGGAAAATAATAAATTAAATCAAAAGTGAATAGAAATTCCTTATGAAAAGTGGATCAATGTATATGTTAATACTCTACAAGGCAGCTACATGAATGTTGCCTTCAACGTTTTGACCCCCAACTGCCCTCAATCATGTTAATCATTAAGATCATTATTGTTCTGCAGTATCTACATTAAAGAATTAAATGACATTTTTGACACAAAGGGGACACATTTGATCAGTATCAATATTTCAACAACCTTTGACCCAACTGAGAGTTAAAAAGGCGTTACAAATGGAAGAAGTTGATGATTTCCGTCTATGGGTACACAATATGAGAAACGATCATGAAACATTCAATGTTGAGTGTCCCATGTATAGGAATGAACTCCCTGCAGTCAATTAAACCTCCGTCTTAGAAAACCAGATATAAAATGTATCATCTTCCAATTAGGAGGTCTCTGAATTAGGACTCTGAATCCAAAGGTATTGATCCAAACCACAACATGGGCAATAATCATAGAGTGGTGAAGTGTGACGTCATCAAAAATCTATTTTAAGAATTTCTCAACTTTTTCTTCATTTTCCGAAAGAGCATGAAAAATAATGTCCGAAAGTCGAAAACCAATTGAATATGTTAAGTATTGGCTGAGATATGACCATCTGAATGAATAGATGTCCTATGGGAACTCAGTGTTATATGCTCTGGCTCCTAACGTCACAGCTTCGGTACTCTATTGCAAAAGGGTCAAATAGGGCATCAAATAATTACAGGGCCATATTACACAGTGGAAGTGCCTTTGTATATTTCAAGAAAAAAACGCAAATATCACCACTCCTCATTCACACACATACACTGCTCGGCAATCAAAACTTTTGCATGCCTGTCAACCTTTAAAACTAGAAGTAAGAATTTCTCCAGACTAAATTCTGAATATGGTGTTCTAGACAGATGTTTCGAAAATAATATCGCTAGTGACATTCGTTTGTCTCGCAATGTGGTCAATAAGGGATCTAAAAGATCACAACGATTCGTGCGCCACTGTAACACTTTGTCACTTGATAACAAATATTGTAAGCAAGCCTGTTTTATACTAGACAGATGTTTTTAGACAAATTGAGGAACCCAAGATTTAGAACTTTAGTTTGAATGATTGGCGGAAATGTACTTGGTGGGATTTGATCTGCCATCCATGGCATTGGTGGGGTTAAAGGTAAAAACCAGTTTTGGAAACGCCCCCCTCTCAAAAAATGAAATGTAAGCTCTAATTACCAATCATGTGAAAGAATATGTTTTTACTAATACGTGATCATACAAATTTTGCAGAGAACCTGCCTACTAATTGATATATTTGGTAAATTATTATATCTATTTGGACCTGATAGATAAAACGCATGTGTCGCGTAGTCCCATATACATCTTTCTGTGTACAGTGCTTGTAACTTTACCAAGACTGGGCCCAATTTCTTATAATTTTGATGATTCCAGAACCTTCAAGCTAGATGATCAACCATTTTTGATCGATTCCACAACGTTTCTTTCACAATGCGATCGCATGACCATACTAGTCTTTATCTTTAATCTCTGACTCACATCATTCAATTGCCTCATTTCAAGTTGAGGCTCGTTCAGATAGGGCGCGGTAGACCACCGCAAAAACAACCACACACTAAACAACGCTTTATCTGCAGTGCGAATGATAGGCATTTGCGTACAATAAGCGTTAAAGCGTTAAAGTTAACTTGCATCATCATAAAAAAGTAATGAGAATGGAGCGGTTTGCGGCGCATATTAGAATAAGGCTTTAGTGGTGTGTTTTGATATAAACAGTGCTAGCTCATTTATGGTTGTAGCAACATATCACGTTTTCTGATACCATGGTGTAGAGGAAGCGAAATTCAATTTAGTTTATAGAACCCATACTAGAGAGTTAAATAAGGGCATTACAATAATCATCATTATATATATTGAAACCCTGAAGGAAGGAAGACCATGAAAATAAGCAGGTACGGTAGACATTTTGACACGACATAGACATGGCTGGTTTAAAAATAGATACAATGAATGTTGTTTTAGGTTTTTATTGTTGGTGTTGGTCTTTTCCCCACTGTGCACTAAGTGCAGTACTAGTTCAGAAATAATGCCTTTGATGGTGGATGAGGCATTATAAGTCAAGAACTTTGTCCAGTGTTAACACAGTCTTTTCACCAGAATGTGAATATGATGCATGAACAAAGCTCTTAGGAACTTCTACTTCACCACAGCACACTCAATGTTCAAGAGTATCTATTTCCATTATACTCGATTAAAGACATTCCTCTTTTTTCTTCATTTTGCATACCTAAAGTGGGCACCTGACAGAAAGCTGTATAAAACGGATACAAGTTTTGTACACGACAGGTTTGTATGTAAGTCATGGTTGAGGAGGTGTTGGCAATCAAACAGAAAGCATTGTTCATGTTTTGGTAAAGTCTCGTAAATAGCAAAGCCACTTGGCCCATAAAGAGTTAATGAGCAATCAAAGGTTTTAGGTGTAAAATAGCCCTTGCATCAGGGTGCTGTGCATCAACCATACTTGTTTGTGAATTTCAAGAATGGACCAGATTCTTGGATGTTTCATGCCATAAAATAAATAAATGATACACGTCATAACACTAGTTTTTTTTTTGTTAATTCGCTGAAATTTCATGCAATGTAAAATGTTGTCATTAAAAATTCATGACAGTTTCATGCCACAAAAAAATTCTTGTTTCACAGTGTGTTCCCAAACCATTCACAAGCATTTCACAAAATTCAGTCAACCCGGCCCGGCATCTTTCAAATGATGGAAATAAAGAGAGACTGGTTCCAGAACCCTGTCTACCAATCTCATCTTCATTGAATATATAGTGAGGCCATAGAGACCTGAGCAAATTATATGACAACAATCTTCATCCATGTGATGCATCAAACACAAGCACTTGCCAGTTAGCCCATAGTGAGTTTTTCTATTTTCAACTAGAGATTAGGCAATGAAAACTGAGCGATGGATGAGCAAAGTAAATACAGGAATGAAGCTACTGTATATCGTGTTTTTACAAACTTTATACAACTGCACAATAATTAATCACATCAAATGTTAGCCAATGTTTCAATAATGCACTTCCTTTATCTCGTCATCATCCGTGTAGAAATACCTTGGTATGTGGAGACAAAAATGCTGAACCTATATATAGAGATCTGTCCTTACAAGCCACTGACCTTTGACCCCTGATTGACCTTGACTTTGACCGAAGGTCAACCCGAGTGTGACCTTTGTTCGAAAAATCAACCTGACAATATCAGACGTCATTTTTTAGCAATACTCCCGCATCGATGATGGCCCTTGACCCCCTAACCTGCTGCCTCCATGAAGTGCAAAGGCCATCGGGTCAACTTCATTTCCGACTGGCAAAGGTACAGATTAACAACCGTCGGGATATAAAAAGAGATGATAGTGAGACATCGATGGAGGCCAGCGCTGACACACGTATCATATAAAGAGTCTTTGGGATTTGACTAGGTGTACTGGTTAGTCTTGCAGTCAGTCAGCCACTCATGATCCAATGTTTCCCCCGCCACTGCCAAAGTTGAAAGATGCTGGTACGGTAGCGTTGGCAAACTTGTAACCTCCAGCCAGCTCAATCTTCTTAGATTCTGAAAAGAAATGAGAAGAACAGTATGTTAATCAATCAAGCATACATACAGCTCCTTGTTTACTGCGACATACCTTTCTTTCATCATTCTCATACTGAATATGCAGAGCTGCCAACCCCAACTGTACAAACATCCTATTCTTTTCCGCCAAAAAATCTTTTCATTCTTTTTGAGAATATTTTTCTCTTCGAGTATGTTTTAACTTAGTTTTCTATTGCATTTGTGATCAAATCAACATTTTAGGGCAGTTGTTTGACAGAGTCCGGGGAAAATGTAATGGTTGGCAGCTCTGATTTAGCCCTTGAAGATTCCTGTCCTGGGGGGTGTTTCACAAAGATTTTAAGTCAAACTTAATTTTAAGTTGGACTTAAACATTATGGAGAGCCATTTGTAGCCTTAACATAAAATATATTCAAAAGTGAAAACTCAAGTATTTTAGACTTATTATAAATTCCACATCAAGAACATGGAATCTCCTTGATAATAGAAAATATGAATGACTGAATCAACATTCTATGCCTTTTCAAATAAATTTTACAAAATATTTTCATAGATGCTAATGGCTTTCCATAATTGTTAAGTCCAACTTAGGATCTTTGTGAAACACCCCCCTGAAAATAATAACGAAGCTCTTACCTGCTGCTGCTTTCCTCTGGTCGGCTAAGATGACGACATCATTGAGCTCCTGCTGCTGCTCAGAGGTCAGCTGATTGGTGAGGGCGTTGTACCAAGTGTTATCATTCGCCTGGATACCTGTTAAAGACAAGTCACAAAAGATATACTTAATTTCTGCTATCAAACATATTCATTTTTTAAGTATTTTCAGCAGCAAAATACATCAATGTCCACTTAATTTCACCTACCAAATGTATTAATTTCTACTTAATTTCTTCTACCAATTAATTTCTACTTAATTTATACTACCAAATGCATTAATTTCTAACTAATTTCTATTTAATTTCTATTACCAAATGCATTAATTTCTACTTAATTTTTATTACCAAATGCATTAATTTCTACTTAATTTCTATTACCAAATGCATTAACCCTAAAAAGGCCGGGCTATTTGAGGTCTTAGTAGGGCCGGGGTGGGGGGCCATTATGGCCCCCCCCCCTTAAGATCTCGGCCGCGAAGCGGCCGATCGCCGCGAAAATTTGCACGCATGTCAAGTGAAGTGTATAGAATAATATGATAATTTCAATTTTTTGAAAAATTCACTCATTTGCATATTTATGGTAATTTATGCAAATAAAGTCATAAAAATTACATTTTTACCCATAAATCATATATTATTCATATTTAAGCATTCTTTTTCACTACATATATTCATTAGACCATTCTGAACAATAATATGACAAAAAATTTGGAAGAGCCAGCTTATTCTTTATGTTATCCCTTGTTTTGATAGTTTCTTATGTATTTCGTTGTTTTTTTAACTTATGTATTTCATTGTTTTTGTTGTTTTATTTCATTTCCTACAACAATTCAACTATTTTGACTCCCAGAACAACCACCTAAATTTGAAAAAAGACCCAATAACCCATGTTTGATCTGTTTTTAGGAAAAATGACTTTTACATATGTTTTGTACACAAATCACGAAAATGAGCGATTTTCGGGCTGACATGCAAAGACAAAAGGTCACGTGACCTTGTAACCATAGGTCCGATTTTCAAAAAAATTCTTCTAAAAGTTGCGCAAGACTCGAAAGAAAAAAGTCAACGAGTGGCGGGGCGCCATCCATATGCGTTCCCGAGCAATCGGAAAAATCATGGAGGGGGGGGGGGGGTTAAGGTGAATTATATTTGCATTGAGATGTACAATTTTCTTCTTCTACTTATATTAAAGACACAACTACTACTTCTAATTACAGTGATATACTTAATTGTATTAATTAATTATTATTTCATCATTGGTATAGATTAAGGGTTAGAGTAAGGTATAGTATTGGGTCCATTGTTCAGGTTCAGTGATTGGTCTGTGTAGGTAATGGACACCAAGCAGTTGACACAAGAGCATGTGTTGTAAAATTATCTCTCAACCGCATATCAATAACTCAGACTTCAATTTTTACAATGGACCAAACATTTGGAATAACCTCACAACTAATCTCAAGAATAGTAAGACCGTAAAACAGTTCAAATGATTAGTTAAACAACACCCCTTGAACTCATATAAATGATGAGTATTTTGTTCATATTTCCCATCTTTCCATCCTTATCATTTTTTTAATTTTTTTAATTTGATGTTATGTTTTTCCTGTAATGATTTTAGATATTTACTTACAATGTATAACATGTTATGTGTATACTTGTTAAGGGGTCATTTTTAATAAGCCAATTAGTGCTTTTCATGATCCCGCCACTATTATTCAAATGTATATGTTAGTGATTTGTAAATTGTTTTTAAAGTGGAAATAAATTGAATTGAATTGCATGATGGTCTTGAAGACGATGTATTCATCATCAGCTACAACCGAACAAAGTGCTTACAGTATTATTATTACCCTGGTCACTGGATTCATGATCATTCAGCACATTAGAGTGCGTATTCTCCACTCCCTTGGGAGCATTCAAACCAATACAATTTTTTGTCACAAGAGCATGTACATGTATTGTACAACCATAGCCCAAGCAAACGTTGGATAACCATAAATGCATGAGTGTCTTACCTTGCATGATGGTCTTGAAGACGACGTATTCATCATCAGCATCTTCATCGTCATCTAGGATAGTGTTGTATCCCTCTAAGGCGGTCTCTTCGTATACGTCATCATCATCATCATCGTTTCTATCAGCAGCCTGAAAATTATACAAATTTAATTGAAATGAATAGAACTTTTTTTCTTCTGCAACACATAAATTAAATCAGCGATACATAATATACAAAATTTATGAAACATTTCTTGAACGTGTACACAATATAATAATAGAAATGTTGACATTAAAACAAAAATGTAAATGATACATATTATGGAGAGTTATTCGTTAAGAAATCTGCAGAAGAAGCAAGCTCTTGCTAAAAAGTTTAACTATTATCGGCTGCAATGTCATGGTCCATCGCCCTCCCCCTTAACGTGTGTTCAAGTACAATTTTTTGGGACCACCGCAAGCTTTCAGACGTTAAAGATATGGAGTCTTATACATCTTTTGATATCACATTTATACAATTTTGACCTACAAGTATCGCACAGTGTCAATAATCATTACACTCTGCTAAGCCAAATGGATACTTCTAAGCAACAGTTTGAGATACAGATAGAAACTTGATAAGCTTTATATTCACAAGAAGATGCCCTCCCTATGTGCCAAGTTTCAGAATTTGCTGTCACACCTGGGGGCGGCATCCGCTCCTATCCAGCTGAAAGAGCACCAAAATAACCCAGCCACTTTAGGGAATAACATGGGAGTATGATCACTTACCGCTTTCTCTAATCTCTCCAGATATTCAGCTCCATCTTCATCGATCTCATCCTCATCACTCTCCAGTTCATCCTCCTCAAAGTCGCTATCATCCTCCTCCTCATCGGAATCTTCTTCCTCAGCGTTAGCCCGACCTAAAAAGATATACACACCAAGCAATGTCACATTATCTTTTACCACTTACAGATAGAGTCAAGTACTGGGGGTGTTTCACAAAGACTAAGATCAACTTTAAGTTGGACTTAAAGGGGCATGTTCCCCGTATTCCAGAGGGTGCTTAAAATATGTACGCGCTAGCTGAAGGCGCTATAGCTGCCTATTGACACCAACAGAATACGGCTCTTACGCAGATGGTATGTTCCGATAACTACACTGGGGGGAACGTGCACCTTTAATTATGGCAGGCCGTTCATGCCACTATTTTCTTTCATCATGTACTGGCATTGGTTTCTCAAGGGACGTACCAATCCTGGTCATAAATCTACAGAATTTACATATTTTGATAGTTTATCATTGAAGGAAAAGTGTTATTTGAAGATTATAATTGAGAGACCAATGGTGAGAGCAGCCAGTGGCATGAACAGCCTGCCATAGTTAAGTCCAACTTAAAGTTGATCTAAGTCTTTGTGAAACAATCCCCTGGTCATGCAATAGCATTGTGTAATCAATTGTTTTCAAGCAATTGAACGGTTTTCTAACATATTCAAATTTGATGCATACATTCAAACAAAGCTTGCCAGCCAATGATCAGCTAGATCAGATGAACTGAAATCTTAGATGTGGTCATTTAATGTATGGAACAAAATAGCTTGGACTGAGGAGGCGCGATAGCTCAGTCGGTAGAGCGGTGGTCTCGTAATCTGGTGACCCGGGTTCGAAACCAAGTCGATACGCTAGTGCCCTTTGGTAAGGCATTAATCCTCATTACCAGGTCCCTCGGAGAGGACCTAAAGCCATCAGTCCTCTGGTTGCTTACTTACAAGCATTTATGCTTTCTTAGCAGTCAGGTAAAATAACAACCACCACCACCACCACCAACCACCACTTACATTCATACGCTCTCTTGAGTCCCTTGAAGAGGAGAAGTAGTGATGGTAAGAACTCGTTAGCCAGCTCAGTCACAACGGGCGGTCTGTTTGGTAATGAGAGCAGCATACACATCCCTAGGACACACATCTTACGATCATGAAGCCTGCAAGAAAATGATATCATGATTTCATTAGCAATGCATTCAATCAGAAAGGTCTGTTTGGTAGATTAACAAGATAGAGAAAGAGAAAGAGAGAGAAAGAGAGAGAAAGAGAAGGAGAGAGAGAGAGAGAGAGAGAGAAAAAAAGAGACAGAGAGGGAGATAGAAGGAGCATCAGTGGCAGAGAGAATTATTAACAATATAATGAATCTAATTGCCCCACTGATGAAGTTTCCCATAAACTTACAAGATTTGAGCATTACTTAATGTCAAGTATTTTCAGATGGGCGAATCACAGTATAATAAACATCCACTACTGCTGGGTGAGATTTACAGCAGTGGCGTGGAAGGAGTTGGAAACAGACTCACCCTAAGAAACAATCTGTGTCTTTGAGCCATTGCTTGATGAACTGAACAGTGACAGCCTCATTAGTGTTGGGTATTGTGACTTTATCTAAGAGTTCTAGGAGTTTGAGAGGGTTGTAGTATAGAGCTGATATCACCACCTGAAGACACATCTGCCTCAGCTCCGTCGTCTTCACCTCCCTCGTTAGTCTCGCTAAGGCCAACTCCACAAAGAGGGGAACCACCTAGAGTAATAATAATAATAACTTTTACTTATATAGCGCTTTCCATAAGACATTTATATCAAAGCGCTTTACAATATTGATACAAGTAAAACTAAACAGAGTAATGACAAGAGAATAAATTTAAAGTGAAAATATCAAACATAAGATAACAAGGTATAAAGGTAACAATTTAAGAACTAGGTTGAATATGCATTTTCCATTAGGTAGGTTTTTAATTTTGATCTAAACAAAGCAATATCAGAGATGCAACAAATGGAGCCTGGGAGAGAATTCCACAAACGTGCAGCAGAGCATGAAAAGGACCTATCACCAAAGTATTTAGTCTTTGCTTTTTTAATGGTCAAGAGAGTTTGATTTGCAAAACGAAGGGGCCTATTGGGTGTGTATAAATGAATCAGTTCAGAAAGATATTTTGAGGCATGACCATGTAGAGACTTGAAAGTTAAAAGAAGAACTTTGAACTGGACGCAAAATTGAATGGGGAGCCAATGCAATTGTTTAAGGGTTGGTGTAATATGGTCATGTTTTTTTGGTGAGAGAAACTAGACGTGCTGCAGAGTAAAAGAGAGAGAGAGCTTGATGAGATACCAAATACAAGCTTGAATATATGTCGATTTAGAATTTGCTGAAATACAACCTACCAATAGAAACCAGAGGGCATATATATCCAGACATATCAGGTCACATGATCAGAATTTGTGTTTAATTCACAATACTACTGTTAGATTAATTTGTTCCCTTATTAATGATTCTTGTAAATGCATGTGGTAAAACCTGATCAGACAACTTACATCATCTATCTGTCCTTTGTATTGGATAAGAACGACTTCAAGAAGCTTGGCAGCGTGGCTTTGAGCGTCTTCATCTGTTTCTTCGGTTAACACCTGTAACAAATCAAAGTTTTAACATTATCTATCAATCAAATGAAACCAGAACCATTTACGACAGAATTGTTGAAGGGTAGTGAGCACATTTTTTTTTTTGATCCTCAAAAAAAATTTCAATTTGCACCCCCCCCCCCCTTGAGCGCCAGGGGGGGGGGGGGCCCAACCCCCGAAAAAGGTAAAAATCATGTGATTTTACATTATTTTTTTCTCAAGGGGGGGGGGGGGGGGGGCCAGGCCCCCCGGCCCCCCCCCCCCCTGGATCCGCCACTCCCCCCCCCCCCCAAGGATCTTGTTGAACCGACTCACCTTTTTACACATCTCATAGACGATCTGAAGATGTTTTGGTTGACTAACAAAGGCAGTAGGGTCGGTTGTGACGTAATTATGAAGAGCTGGCATCATTTCTAAAGAAAATAAACAGAGAAGATTGAAGTCAAGGGCGCGCTCTTCCTGTTCCTTCTCCGAACGAAAGTCAAATTTTCTAACCACAAAACACTGTCTTGTTAAACTATATCCAGGTGCATGCCCCACGGTTAACTCATCACTAGATTTCAAAAAAATTAGGTCAAGTCTAGCTTTCTTAGACTAAGGGTAAAATACTTAATACCTAAACATGTTAATGATTGCTGATTGTTTTGTCTGACTCATATGAAAACATGAATATACTTGAAATTAAACAACCAGGGGAACTGACGGCTCAAGTCCTCTCCGAGGGACTTAATAAAGGGGAATAATGCCTTTTTACAAAAGGGCAATAGCGCATTGACTTGGTTTCGAACCTTGGACCTCCCAGTTACGAGATCGCTGCTCTACCACTGAGCCATAGCTAAATCTAATGTGGTTAGATGAGCAAGTGTGCACTTGTAAAAATGACGCCTGGCTGAAATGCTCCCCAGGGAGTGGAGAATATGCATACATTGTGTGCAGGCAAGCCTGAATCCGATGACCGGGGTAATAATATATATGAAAGGTGCTTAGAGATATCGTCGATGTATTAAATGCTATATAAAAGCAGAATATTATTATTAAAGTGCATGAATACTTTATGAATATTTTATCTAAGCCCAACAAAGTAAGATATAATTGATGACTTGAGTATTGAGATGAAGAAGAAAGCGGATGTCTTACCGACAAAGAAATCAAATCCATCAGCAGCAAAGGTCTCAAAGAGATAGTAGAAGACTTCCCACAGGGGAGGGGATACGTGGGTACAGGTCATACTGAAGATCAATGAAAACACTTCTTCATAGAAATCTATAAGAGAAATAAGGAAACACAAATATTATGTACAATCAATAGCAATTAATTTGCAACCAATCAAAACCTCTACTGCTTCATAGAAATCTAAGGAGAAAAAAGGAAACACAAATATTATGCAATCAATAGCAATTCCTTTGCAACCAGTAAAACCTTTACTGCTTCATAGAAGTCTAGGACCCCGTTTACAGTGAGAAAATGGCCCGGTCTTTTTCCTCACTGTAAACAGGGTCTGGGAGAGATAAGCAACCACAAATATATTCATGCTATCTTGTATCATCATGTAGTAGCCAAGATTCATGCAAAGTATCAAAACAAAAAGGCATTGTGAACATTTAGCATACATGTGTGAACATGGCCTTAACCCGTTTGCAACATCGAGATTGTGAAGTTCGCTCTTCAAAGAGATAATCCAGCTTTCATCGAGGCCAGGAATACAACATTCACTGGCAGGGAAATGCACTTCACGAGGGACAAAACTTTTGCTAAATGTCTAGGATTTAAATCAAAGAAATGAAAATTTAATCTCCATGAACTATTCCTCAATAAACTTTGGTTGTCACAAAATGTAATAACACTATAATTATTCAGAAATATCTTAAAAAGTAGATTTCATTTTCCATGTGTTGTAGGAGATACCAAGGTCACATGGACATCACCATATCTTTTTGCCCCAACCCCATGGAATAACCCATGTGTTCTAGCTTTCTAATATACTCACGGTACTCACCTATTACATGGTTCCTCAATACAACACCAACAACCTGCAGAATCTTCTTCTCAAGCTCAAGAACAATCTGTCAATGGAAGAAAAAGGGAGAAACTATGTTTATATCTCTAACTAACGCCTGCCTTATTCAGAGCTGCCAACCTTATGTGACCAAAAAAAGGAACCATGATGGCAAAAAAAAGGAATTCATTAAAACGAAACTTACCACGCGCAACACACTTCCAATGCAAAAAAATGTCCATTCCTCATGCTGTTTTTTCCATACAAGCAGGTATTTTGGTATTATCGGCATTTCATTCTTTTTGAGAATATTTTTCAGTATGTTTTAAACTTGGTTTTCTATTAAATTTGTGATCAAATGAACATTTTAGGGCAGTTGTTTGACGTGCGGTATGTTAAAAAAAAAAAAAATTATGAAGAAAAGACGTACTACCGTAATTTGGAGGAAAAAATGGGAGTAATTCCGGCAAAAACGGAATGTTTGGCAGCTCTGCTTATTCCTGACAGGCATTAATTCCTTGAAATGCTAGAGCGCTGTTATTATCATTGTTATGTAGAGTTGCCATTGATCCTAGGCCAACTTTGGTCACAAATCTTGATAAAACTTGTTTTTCTAAGGCAAGATCGCTTTGTTTTCTTGTAGGAAATTTGACTTCTTGGATGTTTCAATGTATGTTCACTTTTGCCCATAAAGTTGGAATAAATATTTCTTACCTCTTTTCTCGATGAAAGGATGGATAAAATATGATTTATTCTTGACAAATAAAGTGCATATTATCTTCTCCAAGCTTTACAGACATAAGGATTGATCAATAAAGTTCTAAGTTCTGAGAAGATATTAACTTCATCTATCATGAATAAACATTATTGTCAAGATCAAGGGAGATGGGATCAATTATTCCAACAGTGTACTTACTCCAATTAGTAAATTCATGCAAAAAAGTGATATTTGATAATTTGCATCAAAATTTATTTTTTATCCACTTTGTATCAAAATTCACTTTATGGCATGAATTTACAAATATTTGTAGCATGCTTTGGAACTGAAAGCTTCTTCTGAATCCTGTATGCTCTGTACAAAGCATCAAACAATAATGCATCAGGACCTACAAGCAGATAAAAGCCTGGCCTCTCTGATAAATCCAAATCATCCTACCTCTTCTTTATCTTCTACCACATTGAGAATGGTCTCTATGGTGTTGAGGATACCCATAGCTGTGATGGCCTTGTCATCGGTTGCATCATCACTGTTTATCACGTTTGAAAAGGTATCAGCCTGAAAAGAAATAAGGGGGGAAAAATCAATGCAAGGTTATATACCGTATTTGCCGGCGATAAGGCCGCACCACCGCATAGGCCGCACCCCAACTTTGACATTTAAAGAGAAAAAACAAAAAACAAAAACAAAAAAACGGACAAAACAAAATAATCGTAATTTTCTCATAAAACACTAATTTTTTTTACAAACTGATACCAAATTCATCAATATTCTTATAATTTACCGGAAGTTTAGCTCAAAAAGTGATCGCGGGCAGATTTGGTGTCCGATATATACCCCGACCACAATGTACGTTGTAATGCAAAACTGCATGAAATGGAAAACAAAATGCCGACTTCGGATGGATGCTTTGTGGCAGCTCTGTTCAATGGTCCCTTCCTTTACTTTTGCCATGCATTGGCACGAACTTAGATCAAGATCTATTGGCAAATGTTGGTTTAGCAATTTATTTTCGTATTCATGTCAACAATGCAAGATAAAATTGTCGGTAAGATGTGTTGAAATGTCCTGTACCATAGTGGTATAGTTATTGAACCGTTCATAGTCCCATGTGTGCAAATTTGTGCTGGTTTTGACTTGATTTCATCTTTTTTTTTACTTTTTCGCCGTAAAGGCCGCACCCCGACTTTTTGATATTTTCTCTTCCAAAAATACTGCAGCCTTTATGCCGGCAAATACGGTACTCATATGATTAAGATTTATGATGTTAATTTTTTGTTGTTATGTGACATACTTATACAGTCAAACCTGCCTATAGCAACCGGCAAAAGGGAAACACAAAAAGTGGTATTTGTGGACAGGTGATCTTTGTAGACAGGTTCTTTTAGTACATGTTTCAATGAGAAACAAGTTGCAATGGAAACAAAAAATGTGGTCTTTGTAGACAGGTGGTCACTAAAGCAGGTTAGACTGTATCTCTGTCCCAAGGATGACGGCCCAAAGCATTTTGTATCCAGTGGAAAGGATGATATATAAAAATTGCCCAAGAAAATGTCTCAATTACAAAAAAAACTTTTATAATTTTATTAGACACATTCTTGACTGGGTATGTTGATTTCAGAGACATTGCATTTCATTCTATCATTGTAGCAATAAAAGAACAATATTGATGCCAATTTTAAGAAAAATATGTGATAAATTTAGCTCTAAAAATAAATCCTGTCCTAAAACGGAGATGGTGACTTACTAAGTGTGTTGTGATATCGACAGCTATAGGTATGATCTCATCTCCATACGTACAGATGAGCTTCTGCATCACGTTGGTCAGGTCATCATTCTCGGTTTCTCGGATCACGACGAGAAGAGCTACAGACAAAGATAAAACACAACAGCATCGTCAAGATTTGGATTTAGTAGATACAAGTCTGAGTTGTGAGAATGGTGAAAAACAAATGATGAGCTTTCTCATTTGTTTAATGCAACGTAGAACAAAGGTCACAACTCACAAGAAACGATTTACTCTTAGAACGCTCTCATATTTCATCCGTTTGGAGCCAGAAGGACGTCAACTCATACACTTAAACATAGATTTAACATTCTTCTGTCTCAGAAAAGAAATATGACAAGATTTAGTTTAAAGGGAGAATATCAATGAAAGCTTTGCTATGTCTCCTTGTGTCAAAGGGTTTTGATCCTAAACAAATATCCATAATTTTGATTTGGAGTCAAATTCAAGATAAATCGAACAATATATTTAGAGAACTGATATTTGATTGTATTAGCTTGGTACATCAGACTTGGTAAGCTAGATTGAGAATCAAACATGTTTGGATTCATGCAATCTTGTATCGTCATGTAGTAGCCAAGATACAAAGTCAAACGTGAGATAGCATACATATACTTTCTTAGCAGTCGGGTCAAAAACCAAACTCTATTTGGAACCAAGAGTAAACCACATTCCTGCCAAGGGGTCTGCTCTACTCACCTGAAAATAATTTGATTATTATTATTATCATTTATGACTATGCCTTGGTGTAAACCATACAGGGGATAGACCAACTGAGTAGTAGATGACCTGGGGCCCGGTTCACAAAGCCTTTTTTCAATGACAAATGACAAAAATCAGTGACAAATCTACTGATAACCAATCAGAAGCAAGGATTTCAGTAGCTTATAACAAAGACTGTCATTTGTCACTGATGACAAGTTTTGTGAAATGCCCCCCTGGTTGTAGACCAAACTGCTATAAATTGAAGTGAGCCACCTACCTTCTATCACTTCTTTGACGTGAGGTTGCATGAGTTCTTTCCCCTTGTCGTGGCTGGAGATGAGCATCTGAAGGGCGAAGGCAGACTCTACTCTGACCGGCATGTCACTGTCTCGGACCAGACACTGCCTGGTCAAGTCTAAGGCTTGGATCAGGTTAGGCTCTGACCGGTACTTGACCTCGCTGAAAGAATGCACCACCCAGTTCGCCTAGAACAATAAACAAAAGAAAACACAAAGATTACATGATGCATATGCATACCTGCCAACTTTTCACAGCAAATATTAGGAATCTCTCAAGGCAAAAATAGGAATACAATTATTACTTTTCACAAAAAAACATTCAGAAAAAGAGAGGAATCTAGGGTTCAAAACAATAGCTTGAAGGCCACAAAATTGGAATCATTCCTCCAAAATCTTCCTATCATTATGCTATGCATGTACACGAATATTGTATGTGAAATTACATCTCAAACACTGGTCAAGATTAGCCTCTGTAACGAAATTGATTTTGCTTAAAGAAAGCGACACAGTTAGCCTAGAATAATGGGGGGGGGGGGAGACCCAAGAATATTGTATAGTGCATACAATACCAAATTTATTCTTATTATATTATACATGAATTAAAATATAAAATAATATACATTGTGTTTTCAGGGGTAATCCTGATATAAAGTTAGCTCTTCATAGAATTTGATACCACTGGAAAAATCTATCACTCACTTTTGGATCAACAACGAAAACAAGACGTGGATTTGTTTTTAAAAGTGTCCAGCTGCAAAAACGGACCATTGCTCAACATTCAAACAAGGTCCAAAGGTCAAAAGAGAATTCTCATATAGTTTTCTACATAGCTTCTGCAAAAGCAATGAGGTCTTTGTAAAACGATAACACTTGCATAATTAAGTAAAGGAGGACTTAACTTTTTAAACTTTTCAACTTGTTATCTCTGTACCAGTATTAAAATGAAATTCAACATACAGTCAAACCTGCTTTAGTGACCGCCTGTCTACAAAGACCACCTGTCTACAAAGGCCACATTTGTTGTATCCCTTGGAAATGGTTTCTCATTGAATCATGAACTAAAGGAACCTGTCTACAAAGACCACCTGTCAAAGGCTACTTTTTGTGTTTCCCTTGGCTGGTCGCTATAGACAGGTTTGACTGTATATGTATTAAAATATCTTACCCTTGCTCTCATGTAGCCATGTGGACTCTGGAATTCTGGGAAGATGTGAGAAACCAACATCTGTTCCATCTGATCCTTGTAGATCTTTTTCTATAAAAATACAAAATGAGAAAACATCAATAAAAATAATAATAATAATGGTTCTTGTAAAGCACGGGTGGCCAACCTGCGGCCCGTGGGCCACATGCGGCCCGCGAGCTCTTCTTGTGCGGCCCGCGGAGCATTGAAAAAGTAATTATAAAAATACTTAATGAATGAAATGCAACCCGCATAACAGCGATGAAATAGAGTAAAACATTTACACACAGCTATCTCTATTTCCATAATTTGTTTTCATCATTCAAAACATATTGATTCGTTACGTGGCTAATACAAAACTCCTCAAATTCCCTCTCATTACATTACATTAACGACATTAACATCACTCGCCGTGTCAATTTCAGTTTGTTATTTCCACATGCAGTAACCTTTGTACATATACAAATAATAACAATAATAATAATCTTTTAAAATCCACTCCAAATTTTATTAAGTTAAACCGAAAATGGAAATTCTTTTTGCCCAATCGATCGTGAATCAAGAAATATGTTTGAAATGCCATACTTGTCTTAAAACTTACAACCCTTTTCTCCCGCCGTATAATTTTTTCATTAATCTTAATCGTGGATAGTCCCCTTATATTCTTTCTGCTGTGTCATTGATTTTGTTTGAAATAACAACCAACATGGCATCGATTTCGAGACGTGCGAAGAAAAGGAAAGTTTCTGATGAAGACAGAAACTTTAAATCGGATTGATCTCTGAAGTATTTCTTCATAGAAGAGAAAGGTAAACAACTTTGCCTCATATTTTGTTAGCCAGAAATCACACTAAAAAAGTAAGCCTGATTTTGTTCGACTGATTTTGTTGTTTGCAAAATTGCAGGTGTGTGTGTGAGTGTGTGTGTGTGGGGGGGGGGGGATTTCAGATTTGGTTTTGACGGGGTGTGCAGCTGAAGCCTCGTAACCTCTACCCATTTTTAAGGGTTGCCTTGTTTTGGCAGATTTTTGTTGAAAGTAAAGCCCATTTTATAAAAATTTCGGGTGTTTGCATGGCTAAAACCCTGAATTTTTTTTAAATAAATTTTTTGAAAACACGGACCCATGTTTAGGATATTTCTGTTAAAAATGGGACCCAAGTTTAGGGATTCTTTTTGTAAAAAAGGTTACCCATTAGAGCGGCACACCCCGTATGTCTCAATATGTGATTAACCCCCCCCCCCCCCCCCCCCCGCCTGGCCTACGGCCCGCCAAGTTATGACAATCGTTAGATGTGGCCCGCGAGCTTTAAAAGGTTGGCCACCCGTGTTGTAAAGCGTTCATGTCAGTCAGATTCGACCCTCCTGGCGCTCCCGATTATTACCCCGGCTTTAGCACGGCTGCCATACGGCGCTCTAGCATTTCAAGGAATTAATTCCTACCAGGTACCCATTTACATCTACATCAAATGCATGAACATATTAAGGAAGAACAAACGGCTGAAAATAATGCATAAATCAAGACCACGATGGTATGAAATCTATGAGAATCATACACCTTCTGTTCTTGTGCTTGGCACATCAGACTTGGTAAGCTAGATTGAGAATCAAACATGTTTAGATTCATGCAATCTTGTATCATCATGTAGTAGCCAAGACACATTATCAAGATATTTATGATTGAAATTTCAAAAAACGTTTTCCACACAGGTTTTATAACACTACAGTCTATAGGGGGAAAAGAGTACGGTAAAACCGGTCACTCAAAGATATTTTACTTTTTTGAGTCACTTCACAATCATTTTGAAGCGCGACTTTTTAGGGGTTCAATATTATTTACACCATATCACAGACACTGTTAGCACGTAGGGTCATGCATCTCAGATTAAAGGTACTATGACCCATTTGCAGGCCAAAAAAATGAAAAAGTTAAATTCCAACTGCATTTGAAAGATAATACTAATTTAGAACTTCCCTAAAAAAGGTGGGGCTTGAGAATGTCTTCAAGTGGGAAAATAATGACTATTAGTTGTCAAATCGACTTTAGGGCTATAGAGCCCAAAAGTAATAGTCTTGATTTTCACACAATTGTACCGAATGGTCATACGTTTTATGCTGCGCAAAGATTCAATCAGTTTAATCTTGGCCATCACAAGAAGTGGGTTATTGATGTAGACAAATGCTAATGTACCCTTTACAACTCTTTTCATGTATGTTATTACCAAAGAAGAAAAAAGCCAGTCAGTCACTCAATAGTGCCTGACAGTGAAGTCTAGCAAGTAAACGGGTTTCCTTGCATAATTTGAATATGAGGACACTCATAACGTTTAAATTTCACAGATAGGACATACATGACATATTCATAATTCCTGTAAAGTTTTACAGAATTTGAGGTTGGCTGCAAAAGGGATATAGTACCTTTAAAAGAGAAGGTTGAGTTCTGGGAAGAGGTGAAAAATAATTTGTGAGCGTTATCATTGTTATTATGCAAGTATGGAAGAACATCAGATAAAACATGTTCCCTGAAAAGCATGGCTCTTCAAATGCCTTCATATTCTAAATATATGGCATGTAATATCGTAAAAATCGGGACGGATTTTTACGCCACTTGTTTGTGTAGTCCCATATACACCTTTCTGTGTACAGTGCTTGTAACTTTACCAAGACTTGGCCAAATTTCTTATCATTTTGATTGTTCCAGAACCTTGCAATACACACAAATACTTATATGCTAGATGATCAACCTTTTCTGATCGATTCCACACTGTTTCTTTCACGAGGTAATCACATGACCAGAACTCAACTTCATCTTTAGCATTGTTAAACGATGCCTTTTTAAAGGCACCACAATTTCAGTTGTCATAAGATTCGCGACATCGTTTTGACCATACCTTGAGGAGAATCTCTGCCAGCGTTCCGATCATATGCAGAGCGCCATCTTTCTTGCGGGGGTCTACGGTTGGTTCCGTGATGACTTGTAAACAGAAGCCCATCGTCTTAGAGAGAACCTCTTTCCTCTTACTAGCGCTGGAGTGAAGAACGGTTTGAGCAGCGGTCACCGGTGAGATGAAGTCCTCAAACACATCTGGATTCAAAGATAAGAAAAACTTACATTCTCATATCGATTTAAGTATGATTGTATCAAAGAGATTGTTAATGGTGGTTTCCGTTATCACGACCGTTAATAATATTACAACAGATGAAGGGCCGCATTGGTTTGAAATCTCTAACATTTCATTTCATTTCATTTCTTTTCTTTCCATTTCCATTTCCAACAAAAAATAAATGAAATACATGGGATTGCATTGTACATAGTAAAACAATGAAACTTAACAATATAATTGCAATTGTAATTGGTCCACAGTGTACAACAGGCATATAAAACAGGTTGGTCGTGGAGGTTGCTACTGAAAAGCTAGGCTTGTAGATTGCAGCCCCCTATAACTTATAGTTGCAAAAATAGTATATCAATAATAAGGGAATGCCCATCATATAGTATGCTTGGTACACCAGACTTGGTAAGCTAGATTGAGAATCAAACATATTTAGATTCATGCTAACTTGTATCATCATGTAGTACCCTAGCAACATTCATAAACCATTAAAGTTTACCAATCACCAAAACTCTTTTACAACGATTAAAATTAATCAATAAAACCAACAACAACCCTTGAACAGTACAGGACATATAATATGATGTCTCTCTTTCTGTTATCACTGCCGTTAGTTATCGTCGGATCAAAGAGATTTGTCATCAATGGATGGAATTAATGCCCTACGGACCACATAGCACAGAATCTCCATGTTACGTGTGATTGAGGTGTAAGGAGGGGTATTTTACCAAACTTGAGTCTGATGTATTCATAGGGGTCATCTCTCCAAAGCTCATCATCTTCATCAGTATAACACATCAATGGAAACAACACATCTTGGATCATCGTCTGGAAAAATAAAATGAATGAAAAATGTTACACCGATAGAAATCAACTTGAAAAACAAACAACTATGTCAGTGTGATATGGCTTTACAGCAGTTGTTTGTTCTTCCTTGTTCATTGTTTATTTTGGGCATCTACACCTATCTATCACTATAGAGATAAATACATGTCATACATTTGATCAAGGGGTTCAAAATAGCTACAAACCAACTTCCAGTTTATATTTTCATGAATTCCTGCTGTCAAAAGTTGCTCTGTGTATTTGGTCTTGGAATACAATCTTTACTCATTTCAATATTTTAAAGCATTTAGATTTGTGACCAATCTGGCAGCTATGGTTCAATTAACATATAATTTATATTTTACTCCGGGCCAAAAATGGTGCAGTTCTGTATAATTGAGAAAAAAATGTATTTGTTTACCCTTTTACAACTGAATTCTTGTTTTCCTCAAGTACAGAATTACCCCGCCCAGCAATCATTACAAATTATTCCAAGAAACAATCTTTTAAGAGATGATTGTCCATAAAGTTTTGTGAAACAGGACCCTGTTGCCCTTTAGGAGTCAGATAAAACAGTCAATCCAAACCAATTATAAATAAATAGAAGGTTGATACTTACATCGATATGAGGCTTGATGACCTTCCATGAAAGACCATGACTCACACTGTAGACAAACAGCAACAAAAAGAAGCGTTACACAATATCAATAAAACAATAAGTAATGTAAAACCAGAAACTAACATGCATGAAATGTATGCCAATTTCCTGAATGTTTCATAATCGCAAAAGTTCTATGCCACAAAATAACGAAATCAACACTGTCTTATGTATATTGTGTGAATGCTTTTAATAGACTTGCTGAAAAACAGCCTTATGGCTGATAGCAGATGTTTTAAAGCACCACTGCACTACTTATAGCTACTTGTGCCCTCTATATAGCAAACAATGCCTAATCGGTGACCATTGATCCCCCATGGTCCCCTTTTTCTTATGTTAATTGAGAGCTGATATGATGAGATAACAACCTGTCAGTGACCTTGCAGGGAGGTCTTATCCCTCTTGTTCAAACTAGTGCAGAGGGGCTTTAACCGTGGTTAAATAAATAGAACAAACAAACAAACACATTAGAAATTGCTTTTGCAATTTGTGAAACTTCTTTTTGAAAGTCACTTAAAATTACAATTTGGGAAAGTGACATGTCCTAAACGTTTCTGGTTTTACAGAAGTCTACCAAGTTTTTTATTATACTCATACAGGACAACACTGGAAAAGAAGGAGATAAAATTATGTTCCCGTTGGTGCAGGCATGACAACTGACTCTTAACTAGGCAGTTTGGTTCTTATCTTGCCATTATAGTAAACATCAACATGATGCAATTTATAATTCCTCTATGATGGCATAAGGAGTTGTGAGAAGAATAATAATAATAATAATAATAATACTGGGTTCTTGTATAGCGCTCATGTCTGTCATACGTGACACTTCTGGCGCTCCCAATTATTACCCTGGCTTTAGCACGGCTGCCATACAGCGCTCTAGCATTTCAAGGAATTAATTCCTGCCAGGTACCCATTTACATCACCTGGGTTGAGTGTGGCAAAAGTAGATCAATGTCTTGCCAAAGGACATTAGTGCAGCGGGACTCGAAACGCGGACCTTGTGATCGACAGTCCGGTGACATATCCACTCGACCACGACACCTCTACAATACTTGGTCAAGTCACTGTCACTCATTTGTATAAAGTGTTTCATCTCCTTTTTTTCTTATATTTGGCACATCAGACTTGGTAAGCTAGTTTGAGAATCAAACATGTTTAGATTCATGCTAACTTGTATCATCATGTAGTAGCCAAGATACAGGTAGAAACATTGTATAAGGGCCCGCACATAATAACATTTTAACAACTTTTCTAGTGAATCAGCTGTTCTCGGGTAAAGCTAATTTCCCAAACTGTGTGATCAACAGAAAGGCCTCTTCTGGAGATCAACTTAACCCATTTCCTACTGGAACCGGGTGGCTCCTGTATTAAGCCTATGTGAATGCAAGAATCCAATTCTCGCTACCCCAAATAGCGATTCTGCCGAGATCCGGGGAAAATCCTGAAAACGCGCATTGCATTATGGGATAGCTTTTCGACATTACAGCTTCCTGTGCAGGCGTTCGTGATCACAACCCTCTCTTTCACGGTAGAGTTTAACGGCCTTTTGTGCTAAAGTCACTAATTCTGCCCGAAGCTTTCCATTGCATATTATAATCTGTACAAATTACACTGATTGGCATCGATTTTAGCGTGCGTGAAAACTCTGCACAGCGAACACAGGCGCTAGCGCCAGCGGGATGGGACTCTATACCGGAAGTTGTAGTGACGACCCGAGAGAGTGAAAATTACCTCGTCTCGCGAATTTCGAGATTTTCGTACCTATTTAGGGTAGCGAGAATTGCCAACGTGTTAATATCAGTATATAAACTTACGCTGTATTGAGATAGTTGAGTGCTAGTTGCATGACACGAGGAGCTAAGTAGTTCTTCTGACGGTATTGTTCCAGTATGCGCAGTACATTGGTCAAGACACTCACTGTTAAATACAACAGAAAACAATCAAATTAAATGATTTGGAGAGCTAAAATGTATAGGCAATAGGTCGATCAAAAGACTTGTATTAGCTTGGCACATCAGACTTCGTAAGCTAGATTGAGAATCAAACATGTTTGGATTCATGCAATCTTGTATCTTCATGTAGCAGCCAAGATACAAAGTCAAATGTGAGATAGTCACTCTAAATTATAACTAAAACTGAAACATTTCTTGGTGTATTCATAGAGGAAAACTTACGCTGGGATTCTCATGTATGCACATACTTTCTTAGCCGTCAGGTCAAAACAAACCATCGACCTTAACAGCAAAACCAATATTTCACTCTATTTGGAACCAAGAGACGGCAAAATCCGCCAAGGGGAATGCTTTTACTCACCTGAAAATGATTTAAGATACCAGTCTGAAAACTTGACATACTCCTTGGTCACGTTGCCTGGACTGCCGTACCTACAGGGATGCAAACATACATTGGAGGAATCATAAATCATGTAAGTAAACTCTCTAGGAGACGCGATAGCTCAGTCGGTAGAGCAGTGGTCTCGTAATCTGGTGACCAGGGTTCGAAACCAAGGCAATGCGCTAGTGCCCTTTGGTTCAAATCCCGCTGGTTCCAAGATTTTTTCTGACTTGTTTTTCAATTACAGATCGATCAATCGATCTTATTTATTGGGTGTAAGCCACAAATATGTTTAAACTATTGAAATTTATCCCAGGAAGCATTACATTTATAATAGTGCCCTTTGGTAAGGCATTAATCCTCATTACCAGGTCCCTCAGAGAAGACTTAAGGCTGTCAGTCCTCTGGTTGCTTACTTACAAGCATTTATGCTTTCTTAGCAGTCGGGTAAAATAACCACCAGTAACCAATAGACCAGTCAAACGTGCCTTAGTGACCACCTTTCTACAAAGACCACATTTTTTGTTTTCTTTGAAACAGTTTCTCATTGCAACATGTACTAAGGGAACCCATCTACAAAGACCACTTTTTTGTTTCCCTTGGGCGGTCACTATAGACAGGTTTGACTATAGCATACTCAAATTGCATGCAAACTGTTTAAAGAAAGGTTGTGCTTCACAACCTTAAAGCTTGCCTGACATAGTTACAAGTAATGTATGTAGACTGGATTCCAAGTATTGTAGTTTAATAACGGGTTAATGCTATACCTCGTTACTAGGTTCCCAGGAAAGAAATGTCCATAAATTTGAATTTGTTAGTAAGCTGGTCTATTGAGAAAAGTTCAATATGTAGTGCATAAGAATAAGTGGAAACTGTGAGGTTTTAGAACCATCAAAATAAGAACCCATCAAATTATGAATATATTGACTCCATCTTAGTAGAAGTCACATGTATGCCCTATACATAGAATTGGACATGGGGTTACACAAACTTTTGGTTTGCTCGTCCCAAAAGTTTCAGCTATTCCTCGTCTTATTTTCAAGGGGATACGTTTTTCTATGATTTCCAAGGGACGAGTGTTTTCCACTTAACATAGCCTGTGTGTATGAAACAGGGGAGGGACATGTTAACACACAACACAGGCTGATGTACAGGTGTATGACATATATTACAACAGATAAAGGACCACATTGGTGTGAAATCTCTAAACACCATATGCATATCGTATGCTTGGTACATCAGACTTGGTAAGCTAGATTGAGAATCAAACATGTTTAGATTCATGCTAACTTGTATCATCATGTAGTAGCCAAGACACGTACACAGTATCTAAATAAATGCTTTAGAGTTTAGAGTTTGGAGAGATAGTTGCGCCACCAGAACTTACTTCTGATTAGTTAGTCATTTCTCCCAACAGAGAATGCATGTGGGACGGAACTATTCAGTGTTCCAATGATTTAGGCTATGAATGCATACATGTGTCACACCTATCCCTCCCAATACGCTATGGTTGAAAAGGGGTTCTTACCTTTCAAAGACCCTTGATAGAATATGAAGAGACCATTTCTTTGCTTTCCACCAGGGCAACTCTGGTCTGTCATCTATGTCAACCTCTAATGAACTCTGCAAATATATAACAAGCCAACGTTAGATGCTGCTTGTAAGTATCGGCTTGCATGGTGATGTAGATATACAGTAGGCCACTCCTGAGGACGGATAGTCAACCTGTTCGAAATGTCGAGCCACTCACGCCACCCATCCTCTCCAACCAGCGCTATAGTTCTCCTTAGAACTACAAGCTAAGAAATATAACCAACAGTCCTTTTCAGGACTACAAACCCTCAAGAAAGATTACCGAGAGTCCTTTTCAGGACTCCTCAATCCTCCCTCTCTCTCTCACATGGTGCACCCGCAAGCCTACTGTAAACCAACATTAATCTTTATCACTGTGTTGCAATTTTCTTGAATGTCTCCTAATCCACTTAATGGTAAGTTTTGTGCAATGTGGCCCAGTTAAAGGGAACCAAAACGTTCATACTAAGTTACTTTTATTGTAAAGTTTAAGATATTTGAAAAATATCAGTGAAAATTTGAACAAAATCGGGCAAGGAATAAGGAAGTTAGAGCTTTTTGAAATGACTAGTCACTAGAGGGCGGTATTCAATTTGATGACATCATCTGTGGACAACTCTCCATGCCTTTTGTACATCAAATTTCATGTTTTTCCTTCTTTCTTGTCATTGAGATAATCTACTCCCCTGAAAGCAAGATATAGAATGCAAAATGATATTCTACTTCACATGTTATGAATTCGGATCAAGAACACAAATAAATATGAAGAAAACTAAAAAATTGTGAAATTTTATGTACAAAAGGCATGGAGAGTTGTCCACAGATGATGTCTTTAAATTGAATACCGTCCCTTTAAGTTTGACTTACTGGTGGTATTGGCTGTTCCAAGATGGCGGTGATGAGCCCCATCCATTGAGTGAAGACCTCTCTGCTCACAAGATCTTGTGGTAGATTGTACTGTACCAGGATGGAAAATAATGCATCATCGTGAAATATAAAAAAGGGAAGAGAGAATGTGCTTTGGAAAGTTCAATAGGATCTCTCTGTATATAGTCAAATCTGCTTTTAGCAACCAACTGTATAGAAAGACCTCGTGTCTACAGAGACCACATGTTATGTTTTCCTTGAAAATGGTTTCTCATTGAAACATGTACTAAAGGAATCTCTACATTAAGACCACCTGCCTATAAAGACCATTTTTCTTGTCTCCCTTGGGTGGTCTTTATAGACAGGTTTCACTGTACATTCAAAACGAGCCATGGTACAAACAATGAGTCAAATATAAACACAGTGAAATATCTTGATATTACAAAAGCAATTTCCCCAAAGAACCCTTGCGAGTGTTAAGAAAGTTAAACCTGATGTACAGGTGGATGAAAAATATTAAAACAGATAAAAGGGCCACATTGGTATGAAATCTATAAACATCATATACATATAGTATACATGTACTTGGCACATCAGACTTGGTAAGCTAGTTTGAGAATCAAACATGTTTAGATTCATGCTAACTTGTATCATCATGTAGTAGCCAAGACACATACATAACATCCTCAAAAGACCACTCTTATCACTATCAGGGGGTGTTTCACAAAGCCTTTTTTTCAATGACAAGTGACAAAAATCAGTGACAACTCTGCTGATAACCAATCAAAAGCAAGGATTTCACTAGCTTATAATAAAAACTGTCATTTGTCACTGATGAAAAGTTTTGTGAAACATCCACCAGGACAGTTTGGAGCCAGAAGGGCATCAGCTCATCAAATTAAACACAGAGATAATGTCCTTACGGCTCTGAAAAACATTATATGCATGTAAATTATCATTATCGTTGAGGTCCGTACGGGCCCTTTCATTTAAAGACACATAGCAGTGGGCTCTAAGGAATATGACACCTTTCGGATGTTTACAGTGTATACAGGTGTTGTCAATCACCAGGAATAGCCTTCAGGTTTATTACCAACAGGCTTAAAGTCTACCTGCACTAGTTTGGCCAGGGGAGATTAGACCTCCCTGGCACTGGCAGGTGGTTTTCATCAAATCAGCTCTCAATCAACATAAGACAAAGGAGACCATGGGGGACCAATGGTCGCCAACTAGGCATTCTTTGCTTTATAGAGGGCGCAAGTAGCTATAAGTAGAGCAGTGGGGTTTAAATGTAATGCTCTGCCTTTTCCCTATATGGTTAAGTCCTTATCTGACAACTGCATCACCCAAAGACTCTCCAAGAGACCAAAGGGTATTTCTTGATTGGCCTACGGGCTTGCTGTGTGCGGACTGTACACCTATTTATGGTATTTCCACCAAGTCTAATGAAACTGATGACCCTCTCCCTTTAAAGGGACTTTGTAACATTGTTCAGATGAGAGAAAGTGGTGCTCAGGTAGTGACTTCAATGCTAGATGTACAATTAAAGATAATCTGAAAATGTGAGAGAAATTCAAAAATGGTTGGGAGAATTTACTGTTGATCACTGTTACAGGGTGTTGACCAGTGTCGCCTTCTTAGAAAAACATTAAAGGGATCCGGTAACTTTGTCTCAGATTCTGAAATAAATTTCTGGATTTAGCTCATGATGCAATGATAATTATAAACCTTAAGGTCAGTCAGGAGCCCCATGACTTTTACAAGCCGATTGCCTGTCTGATTATCAAGATATTTATGATTGGAATTACAAATTTTGAAAACCGTTCGCCTGACGGTTTTCATAACACTACAGTCTATTGGGGAAAACGAGTATGGTAAAACCGGTCACTCAAAGATTATTACTTTTTTGAGGCACTTCTTGATCATTTTGAAGCGCAATTTTTTTAGGGCTTCAATATTACACCATATCACAGACACTGATAACACGTAGGGCCGTGTATCTCAGATTTAACATTGTTAAACGATCCCTTTAATATCTTTGTGGTTTGAGAATTTTTCAGGATTTTTAGCATGTTAGAGGGTTAGTACAGTAGAAGGAACAAAATATGTAACATTTCATACCAAAATTAAGCAATTTTGTAATCAACCTTCAACAATGTTACCAAGTCACTTTAAACCCAGACCATACCTGGATAAGAGCATAGAAGATTTTGAGGATGAGTTTCTGTAAGAGTACAGAGGGTTCTGAAGCGTCGGGCAGACACTGTCCACACCTCTGTGACATCCATGGTAAGATACACTTCATAGCTTCCTTCAATGGGCCTCGATCCTCAGGCTGCTTGAATCTACAACAGACAGGCAAAAAAAGGGTTATAGTAAAACTCCCATACTCTACTAAAAGTCTAACCTTACCTGGGCTTAAAGCACCACAAAAGTGTTGGGAGCTTCAAATTAGCCAAAAATTTGATGGCAAAATTCACTCAAATTGTACCATAATGTGAAAGAGGGTGTCATTTAAGGCACACTTCTGCAAAGTCCCCCCCCCCCCCCCCCCAAAAAAAAAAAAAAAAAAAAAAAAAAAAAAAAAATTTGTTTGAAGACAAATATTGATAAAAAAATACATAATTTGGGTTTTCTGTTGTACGCCAAAAACATTAATTTTGTATTCTGTCATAGGCAATATTAGACTTCAAAAACGTTTGCTTTGAAAATCCTTGCAGAAATGTGTCGTAATGATATCTTCTTTCACATTACGATACAATTTAAGTGGAATTTTGCCATTAAATTTTTGGGGCTCCCAACACTTTAGAGGGGCTTCAAGCTTTTGTTCAAAATTAGGTTTAGCAAAGGAAGTTGGTCCGAGGTCTAAAATTTATATTGATAGTTGTGATCAAGGGTCAGATTTAACTGAATTAGAAGAGTACAGAACTAAAAGTTCCCACTGCGTAAGTAAGTTAAACCCTGATGTACAGGTGTATGACAAATATTACAAAAGATAAATGGGGCAACATTGGTATGAAATCTATAAACATCAAATTCATATCATATACAGGTACTTGGCACATCAGACTTGGTAAGCTAGATTAAGAATCAAACATGTTTAGATTCATGCAATCTTGTATCATCATGTAGTAGCCAAGATACATGCATAGTATAAAAACAGAAAAGGAAAGACAAAAAAAATTGGGGGGGGGGGGGGGGGGGTCGTTTAATGCATTATGAGCATAAATCTGATCCTCTTCTCGCGATAGCTAATGGTTATTTGCCCCATCCCCTTCCATTTTTATGATGGGGGGGGGGGGGGGGGGTTAAATGTATGTCACTTAGCAGATTTGGCCCGACACGGCCAATTAGTAGAATACAGACCTACCTGTAACTGTTCCCACTTCGTAAATTGCATATTGGATAATCTTTTTGCCAAAGCTTGTACATGCCACTGCATAAAAAAAAGGATGCATGTTTTCATTCCTTCATTAGAGGATTGATTCCTTCATTGGCCGTCTCTGCACCTACTGTACAAAGCCGTTAAAGCCTCACCTCAAGTGCTGATAGATCTTAAAATGAACTCGTTCGCAGGCATTATTTTGTATACTGGTATGCTGCACACCCCTATTTCTACAATGGACTCACTCATAATTCTTTACTAGTTGATAGACAGCGAGGAATCCTCCAAACCAAACAGAGGGGTCATCAGAGCTAATGTATTGCACAATGGATCCCACCACTCCATCCCACTTGCCTGGGTAATCCTGCTTCAGCATCGTGCTCAAACACACACACAGTTGAACTCTGAAAAAGAGACAAAATAAAATAAAATTTGAAATAAGTCAAACATCCGAGAATGCAAAAATATATAATTATTTACTACCGTATTTTCCGGCGTAAAGGCCGCAGTATTTTCGGGTGAGAAAAAATCAAAAAGTCGGGGTGCGGCGTATACACAACAACAACAAAATTCAGCGGTCAAAACATCACGTCCATTTGCACGTATGGGACTATAGGAACGGTAGCATGACTAGACAACGGTACAGGACAATTCTAGAATAACTCCACACAACTTACCGACAAGTTTATGTTGCATAGTTGACATGAAGACGAAAAAACTTATTTTTCTAATAAAATCTGCCGATAGATCTAGATCTAAGTCCATACCATTGCATCGCCAAAAAGTAAACAAAGGGACACAGGCCGTTACTTACGGAGCTAGCTGCCGCGCAACGCAACTGCGCAGGTCGAAAAATGCTATTTCGGATTACACCGCACATCGAGGAAGGGGTATTGTAGGATACCAAATCTGTGTATGATACAGTACTAGCTTAAAAGTCGATGAAGATCTGCTAAATTATGATCATTTTTGAGGTTATCTTCTTGTTGATTTATAAGAATATTGATGAATTTGGTATAGTTTGTAAAAAAAAAAGAGTGTTCTACAAGAAAATTACGATCATTTTGTTTGGTCCGTTTTTTTTTTTTTTTTTTTTTTTTTTTTTTTTTTTTTTTTTTTTTTTTTTTTTGTAGTTTTTTTTTTTCCTCTACGAAATGTCAAAGTTGGGGGTGCGGCCTATACGGCGGTGCGGCCTTTACGCCGGCAAATACGGTATTCCTTTTTAGATGCTGCTTGTACATGTAAGTATCGGCTTGCATGGTGATGTAGATATACAGTAGGCTTGCTGGTGCACTATGTGAGAGAGTCTTTTTCAAGACTATACCAACAGTCTTTTTTAGGACTACTCACCCTCAAGAAAGATTTCAAGAGTCCTTTTCAGGACCCCTCAATCCTCCCTCTCTCTCTCTCTCACATGGTGCACCCGCAAGCCTACTGTATATTCCTTTTTACTTCAATAATAAAGCAATGATGGCTGTTCTTGTCTTTCTTCCACCTCCAACACTCTTCTTTGCCGATATGACGAGAACAAATACCACTTCTTGTCAAGTCCGGGTTTTGCAGATTTTCACAAAAGTCGTTTTTGCTCACCCAAGCGCGCATTATTTTGGTGTCGTTTAATAAAAGAGACATGTATCCATCAATGTAAAAATTACGAGAAAAAATTAGAAACATTTATTTGGGGGACTCTTTCTAAAATGTAAACTCTGAAGGGTTCTTTCAGATATGAAGCGGTTAACCACAGCCATATCATGGCACTGTTTAGCACATCAAATCTAAAAGAGGTTTATTCAGACGCTCAATAGAGGAACTTAAAATGATAAGCCAGTTCACGGTTGCAGTCTGAGCATGAGCAGATAAAGGTCATTGCAGAACAAACTGTGAAATACACAGAGAAAAAATACTGGATATGTGCTCATGAACGTTATGTACCGGTAATCATTATTCATAATATGCACAAGCAGTGCACTCCATGATACACAGGTGAAAGAATTCTTTGAAAAGGGGAAACAAAGGCAATTCATGTAGCACCTCCATTGCTGTAGGAGTGATTATTTCAAAATGTACAAAGTGGGACCTCTTCATGTTTTGAAGATCTGTGGATATTCAGGGTCATTTGGGACATGTGCTAACCGTGAACTGGTCTATTCTACGAAGCTGTTTACACTATGAACATGACGGACAAAGAAAGAGGACACAATATACAGTTCCCCATTCTACCCTCAACAATTGCTGTGGTAGACAAAGGAACATCCCTTCACTGCCATTATGTAAAAATGTGTAGAAAGGTGTCACATGCATATTCACCTGTTCTACACATTTTTACAGTGAAGGGATGTTCCTTTGTCTACCACAGCAATTATTGAGGGTAGAATGAGGAACTGTATATTTTGTCCGCTTTCTTTGTCCGTCATATTCATAGTGTTAGTGAGTGAGCATACAAAGGGTTCACCTGAGGAGCTCTGGAAGAGAGATGATAGCCTTGATGATGTTATCTCGGATGAAATTCTTATCGTTCTCATGGATGCTGAACGGGATTGGTTCCAGGGGGGTTTCCATCTCCCTCTGCTGCCAGAACTGCGTCACCATGTTCTTGAGATAGATGACGCCAGCCTGACGGACCGGGAACGGATGACTCTCCTCCATCACCGAACATAGCAGTGTGGGGGTGAAGCCTATGATCTTATGAACCTAGAGAGAGAGAGAGAGAAAAACGTAAAGGTAACCCTGTAACCGATAATCAAATGGGTGGCCGATCACAGCCGATTTTACATGAATTACAATCCCCGATCAATGAAAACTGATCATAAGATTGAATGGCAATTAAATAAAAAATAGTGTGCTTAAAAGGGCTTAACCATACTTAATCATTTGGAGTTTGAGTTTGGAGTAAATGTTTGGGTAGAACGAATTCAGTCAGTAAGATTTCGCCGCTGAATCAGAGAGACCCATTCTTGATCTAGGAAGTTTCCACGAGTGATACATCATCACAAGAAGGGGGAATACCCATGATAAGGGAAATCCCCCTTCCAAAAAATGATGTAATCACTATGGGTATCAATCTGAATTACATAGAGGGAAGTCCATAAAAGACTAGCAAAACAGATGACACAACTTCCATTTAATTGTACTTTTTTCCAAAAATTACATCCATCTCCTACGATCTTTAAATATGAACCTAGCGAGAGCGAGAGAAACAGAAACAGCGTGAACATACGGATGACAAATCACGAGCTATCACAAGTGCTCTGGGCTTTAATAGTTTTGACAGAGCTATAGGCTGTAGGGCGATGGTTGCAATTGGGCTTCAGGTAAGGTTTAGAGTTAGGGTTACAGTGTAGGTGTAGTGTTTGGTTAAGGGCTGAAGTTCATAATTCAGCTAGTGTAGGAAATCGAAGCAGAGCAATGGCACAAGGAGAAAGTATCGTACAACTGTACAAATTCTTGAGATAGACAATGCCCACCTAAGGACTACAATAGCTAGTTCTTATAAAGCGCTTTTCAGGACCGAAGGCCCTCTCAAAGCGCTTTACAGATTAAGGCTGTGCACAACAGTGTAATGAGGTACCCGAGTACACTCCCATGCTTACAAGCAAATACTCGAGTATTCGGACGCCATGTTTTTTTAAAAACATTTTTTATTTTTTATTTTTTTGAATTTTTTTGAATTTTTTTTATTTTATTTTTTATTTATTTTTTTTGCCACCAGTATCCCAGTTCTGTATTTTTACCCCGGTCATCAGATTTAGGCTTACCTGCACACAATGTTTGCACATTCTCCACTCCCTGGGGAGCATTCCAGCCAGGCATCATTTGTACAAGCGCACACTTGCTAATCTAAGCACATTAGATTTCGCATTCCTACCGGGTACCCATTTAACACCTTGGTGGAGAGTGGTAAATGTAGATCATTAGCCCGAGTCAAAACTTTTAACCGATGGTTAAACGACATTTATCTAAAGGGTTTAGCATTTCTCACTCCGTTTTACGAATATTCGGGTATGAGTAGTTGTCAACCGTACGGGTACTCGAGCATTCGACTACATGTCGCAGCCCTACTCCGTTTAACTGTTATTTTCGTGCAGTATGTTACATGTGTTTTGTTTTTGTTTTGAGACTTCATTGCCGATTCGGAACTCCTACAGTGTAAATTATTGACGAGACTTCATTGCCGATACGGACAACGAAGTCTTGCCAATAATTATTGTTTTTAGATCTCCGTAGGGGCAGCAAAGTCTTGCCAATAATTATTGTTTATAGACTTTTTGTGAGAAAGAAATAATATCATGGACTACTGTAATTGCCTTCTTCAATTTTTTTCAAGCTTCCTTATATCTACATGTACCGGTAACTAAAAAAAAAAAAGAAATTCACACATGAAATTGATAAGAAATTTGCCTGAAATACAAATTGGATAAACAATTTATTAAGTCCATGTAAGTCCGTAAATTTAGCCTTTGGAAATAGGTTATAAAAACTTGATAACTGTAGGCCTACATACTGTACATGTAGAAGAAAAATATACATGTTTTTTTTTTCAATCTGATTTATAGATAAGAAAATTAGGAAAAAGTGGGTGAGAAAGTTTTTGTATCGGGTGTGGTACAAATTCGGCTCAATCTCCCCCCCCCCCCCCTTCTCTCCGTTATGAGAGCCGTAAGGGTTTTCAGTAGGGGCGCTGGTTTGAAAATAAGGATCGTCCGCATAAATGAGGATTGTCTTCGTTGGAATTGAGAAAAACGGATTCCGCAATGATCTTTTTGATGCATTTCATTTTGTACTGAGACTTTCACGTTAAACGAGCAATAAATCCTCGGGACGGACAACCCATAAAGTAGACGGTGAACTGAGGGTATTTTATTACGCGGAATGCTTTTTTCGTATTGCCAGTGAGCTGATCGGGAACCCAAAACCTGCAAAGCACAGAGGAAAAAAACATCAGTGAAAAATCTGGACGATCCTTATTTTTTATGATGCATTTTGTCCACATTTATGAGGATATCCTCATTCTCGAACCAGCTGGTTAGCGTCTGTGTATGGGGGATGTTGACAAATGTCAGTTGTATTAAAGAATGATCCATACCAGACAGTTATTTCTGTCTACAGGCTACAGCTCAGACTACTGCCAAGTGCATGCTAGCCCTGTTTACTTGGGCCAATACCAATCATGGCCATGGGCTGGTAATGGCAAAATAAATGGAAATGCATGTAACACAAGACAGCACAGACTTAAATGACAATAGGCATGATAGGACACTGGTTCTTTAAAATTGAAAACTCACATACACTTTTTGCTTTACATGATTTACCACCATGGGTTTATAACTCCGCCTATGGCTGATCAAATATGGCACCTAATCTAAACGGGAAAGCGTGCTTGGAATACATAGTCTACAGACAGTACACACGCATGTCGACTACGTCGTCATTCGTTTTTCTCATTCATTCTCCATTCATTCCGACATGTCACACGTGTGGCAACTTTGGGCCAGCGAATTCGAATGCAATACTACGCAAAATACTTACTTCATCAAGTTGTTTCTCAGCGGTTTCTCTCAATTCAGGATGTATAGTCCCCTGCAGAATTTCAACTAGTTTCTGAGGGTCCATATTTGGTGTGATATTATTGACGTTTAGATGAAATTTGAAGCAAAAACACGACTTCGGGTAATCCCGGCCAGATACAGTAAGCTTGGCGCGCGAGATCTCGAAATGACAGTGTTTGTGACGTAAGATGGCGCTGTTTGAAAACTTCATACATACTACCATGTATGATCGAATCTCTTTGAACTCTTTGGAGAAATTTTCAAGAATTGGCATTTTTGAACTTGTCGTTCAAAGTTCGTCTTTTTTCCCCTTCTTTTTCTCCACACCCTGTTCCTCCTGTTCCCCTCCCTTCTTTTCCTCTATTCGTTCCTTTTCTTCCTATTCTCAATACTTTTTTTCCCTTCTTTTTCTCCTTTACCTGTTATTTTCCTTCCTCTCGGATCTCCTATTTTCCTCTTTTCCTTTTCCTTTCTCTTTTACTCCTCATTCTTCTTTTTTAATTTCATTATCCTATTTTCTTCTGTTCTCAATTCTCTAATTCCTTGTCTCAACTAAAACCTATCTCTCTCTCTCTCTCTCTCTCTCTCTCTCTCTCTCTCTCTCTCTCTCGTTCTCTCTCTCTTTCTCTCTCTTTCTCTCTATATCTCTCTCTCTCTCTCTCTATATATATTGTATTCCCCACAGCTACACCTTTTGCATATTTTTTTAAATTAATATTTTGATAATCATTCAAACTTCAATTTTCTTTTTAATCATAATGACATATTTCAATTAACTTATTGCATGAATATTCCCGAAATTGTCCTGCTTATTTAATTGCACTTTGCATAGATACAAGCGTAAGATTGCATACCAAGAAATAGGTCTTTACAAGTAAAAGGGCCTGAAATCTATTGATTCAGAATAAGGGTGCTTGAGGGCATCAATACAAAGAATACAGTAAGATGTAGGCCTACATGTATGACACAATGAAATACGATGTGAAGCAATTACTAGATTTCTTACAAACTCTTGGCACAAATTACCCTTAGAAGCTATCTGCTTGGCAAAAGAGTTGTCTTATAATATATTCCAATGATAGAAGCTCATTAGTATTTTGATATTTTTTGAAAGTTTTCTTGTATCATGTATATGGAGATAATAGAGTGCCAAAATTCTTGTAAGTTGGTAGGACGGCCTCTATCTTATCTTTGACAAACCCATTTTTTGTTTTTGTTGTTGTAAATGTAACCAATCGAGGTACAATTAATAGTAATAGTAAAAATCTGGATTTCTATAGAGCTTAATATGAAACACCCTCGATCTTTAAGCTCTTTACAGATATTATTACCCCGGTCATTGGATTCTTTCACACACAATGTGCACCATCTCCAGTTCTCCACTCCCTGGGGAGTATATGGCAATTTAATTACTAACACAAAGGCTTCCACCATCCTACCAGGTCCCCATTTCTCTCTTGGGTATGGAGTGGTAAAAGTAGATTAACACCTTGCCAAAGGACATTAGTGCCATGTCGGGGATTGCACCCACGACCTTTGCATTTCAGGTCAAGTTATTGAACCACTCAACTACAACAGGTCAACCAATAGGGGCAATGTGGTATGAACTGATGATGATGATGATGATGGTTTAAATTATTTCCTGTTTCATGCATAGTATATACCGGTACAGTAAACTTCAAAATAACTTCACATTGAACATTATTTCACAATACACCACTGTTGATTTATTATAAAATTACCCTGAAATTACAATAATTCATGATCTTACTCACATGAATGCTCATTACACTTTCATTTCTTAAAAAACAACAATTGAAAAACACAGAGACTCATTTCATTTGAAATGCACGGTGGCCTACATGTAATAGAAATAACTGCACAGGTATAAACCTGTCATTTTAGCAGTGAATAAACGAAAAGGGTCTGATCTTGCCGAGTTGTAGACTACAAGAACAATTGGAAGGTACTTCCCATATCTTACCAAGTCATATTGCATTGTATATAAATGGAATAGAACGGTTTATTTACATATTCAAATGCAATAGATGTTTCTTTCCTGGGAACCTATATAGTGATGAGTTATTCCATTAACCTGTTATTAATGAATGAACAGGAATCCAGTCTGCTATGTCGGGCAAGCCTCGAGCAAGCCTTCAGTTTGTCAAAAAACAACCTTAGTTTAAAAAGTTTGCATACAATTTGAATATGTTTTTAAAACGGTCTATTGTTAACAAATATAATATATTTCATGATATCACTTTAGCTGATGACTGCATGTGTCAATCTATCAGAGGTGTTATGAAGGTGATGGGAGGGGGGGGGGGGGTACGTTGCCAGATTGTGAGCCTTAGATTGGCATAAGCTGCTGGCCATCAGATATTATACTTAAATTTTAGATGTGGTCAGTAGCATATAATTTACATGTAGGACAAAAAAGCTTAACCACAATACCTTAGATTTTATTTGCATTTTAAGAATTATACATGTATATATATATAAAATAGATATCCGATAAAAAGTGTAACAAGTAAGAATAAAATGATTAAAACTGATTAACGGTATTTTAAAATAAATACAAATTCAGACTTGGGTTTTTTAATAATATGTACCCTGTTTTAGCAATATTAATGATGATTACATTCAACGGAATACAGCTCGACAGTTGGAATGATTTCTTATTAGAACATGATACTTGTCATGAAGAGATAAAAGATTCCCACCGTTTAATCATATTCAAAGGTTGTAGAAAAATACAATTTTTTTTTTACCAACATAACTCCAACTCTAGCTTATGTCAAAGAAAATAAACAAGTATTGAAACAAAGCTGTTTGTAATTGGCCAATGTGGCCATGTCTCGACCCAAAATATTCACAGAATATCTTGCTACCTATACCATTATCTCAATCATTTCATGAAACGGAGTAAGAAAAAAAATCATTCTAACTTTAGCCCATAACATGAGTCATGCATCTCAGTGAATGTGATGTTAACTTTGTTATGCACATTTTGGATTTCATTTATAATAATTATAATAATAATAATAATATGTCTTGTTTACCCAGGGTAGCCTCATCAGTATTCATACTGTTCTCCCTGAGGGCCCTGCAATCATATATTACTACCCAGGTTATCGGATTCAGGCTTACCCGCACACAATGTATGCACATTCTCCACTCCCTGCGGAGCATTCCAGCCAGGCGTCATTTTTTACAACCGCAAACTTGCTAATCTAACCACATTAGCTTTCGCATCCTACCGGGTACCCATTAAGAACCTGGGTTGAGAGTGGCAAATGTAGATCAATGTCTTGCCAAAGGACATGAGTGCCGCGGTGGGACTTTAACTGGAACCTTGTGATCCACAGTCCGGTGACATATCCACTCGTCCACGACACCTGTACTAGTTTGGAAGCATTTGATACAGATTTCCAAATCTCTCTGGAAATACAATTTACATAAGCGGAACTTAAGTTTAAAAACCGCTGCAACAAATATTCCTTTAATATTCCATATGGAAAATAGAGTATTTCAGTAAGGCTATCATACAATAAATCTACATACATAAACCATCTGGGGACTGTCACAATAAAGCAACATTTCAACTTAAAGTGTACAATAATCTTGATTGCATTGGTACACAGGTGCAATATACAGATCTTTCTTAACTGACCTTAAATAATAATAATAATAATAACGGTGCTTATAAAGCGCTCACCACCGAAGTCTCTATAAAGCACTATAACAACTAAAATACAATGATAAACAATTACATATTAAACAAAACAAAACGAAAATGCAAATAAACCTACAAATTACAATACATATGAAATATACATGTATATCAATGTGAACAGAGTAACCATATAACCATTCCCCTGAGTTTTGTGTACGTGTAGTACATAATGAATATATATATGTATTCACCACATAATGGGGATTCATTACCGTAGATTACATCATGCACAGGAAACGTTCCATATGGTAAAGTTCAACATTAGTTTTAAAATATTTAAAAAATAGAATTGTAAAATACACATACTCCACACTTTTAATAGCGGTAGCTATGATAGTTCATGTTTGGAATTTGGAAGAAAAGGAAGTACTTGTATGTTAGGTAAAGTTGTTCAGGATTAAACTACATGTATGCGATTCTTTTAAAGGAATAAGAGCCCTGAAAGTGGCTGGTGAGCTCAGTTTCTTGACGTTTTGAGCAGTACCGTATATGCTCTCGTCGTCTTCCAGAGAATGAATAATTGCTCCGAGGGGGCTATTTATTGCACACCTGGGCCCTGTCTTACAAAGAGTTGCGATTGATCCAAATCTATCGCAACTCCTCTAATCAATCAAGAGTTTGCAGTCTCCTATCTCTTATGTATATAGCTGCGATTGATATAAACTGCAAATAAGTTGCGATTGATATCAACTCTTTGTAAGGCAGGACCCTGAATATTAAACTAGCCCACAATTTTAATCATGACAGCACTCACATTCTGGTCACTATTTTTGGTGCTATAACTACATGTTGTTATCCTAACAACATTTAACCTACAGTTTCTCCACCATGAAAAATATTGCTAATACATTGCTCATAAAAGTACTTGATTGATCTTAAAATCATGATTGTACCATAATGTCAATAATGCACATTTAAAGTATGTAAATTTTATTTTATAATATGGATAAACTTTATAGTGAAAGTACCTTGGGATCTGGCAAGTATTAATGAATGGTTGTGAATAGTAAAGTAAGTAAACATTGAATATTCATATCATATTAAAATTCATACAAATGCATCTAGCTCAATATAACACTTGTGCATTTTCATTATCAAAGAATTTCACTTTGAATGTGCATGCATGTACATGTATAAAGCACCAATCACCAAGTCATTCGTTAAAACCGGATCAAACTGGTTTAATGCAGTTCAAGCTGGTTCAGTCTGGTTCAAGGCAGCTGGTGGTTTGGTTCATTCTGGAATGGGTAGAGCCAAGAACTCGGTTTTCCGTCTCTTGTACTCGTCAAGTCGTATAATGGCATAGCTGTAGACAGAAAAACACGATACATGACAAATAGTTACTCACTTTATCCCAAATACAGTGAAACCTGTCTATAATGAGGGTGGTCTTTAAGTACAGGTTCCTTTAGTACCTGTATGATTCAATGAGAAACTATTTACAAGGGGGGAAAATGTGGTCTGTAAGTTAGAGACAGGTGGTCACTAAAACAGGTTTGACTGTACAATTAGTGTTCTACATACTATGATGCTCCTATTAGTCAATGTAGCAATGGACATGCTACTAAGTTCATGTTGCCATATTTAGCTTGTAGGATTACCATTATCCTCATCCTTATTATTATTACTACTATACCGGTAACCACCACCACCCCCACCATCACCACTACCACTTCCACTACTACCACTACTACTACTATTAATATCATTATCATTATTATCATTATTATCATTAATATTATCATTATAATCATTATTATCACTTTTATTATCATCCTCATTATTTCATTTTTAACAAAGAGTAATAAGAAAACTATTGAATGGTGATATTACCCCACAAGGTGGATCGTCTCATTCGTGATACATACATGATAGACAAAATATCTACTTACTCTAAGAAGTCGAAGTCTATAGTTGAATGGTATGCCTGTACAATGGCCCATACACCCCAGAAAAAATGAGAAGCCTAAAGGAGAGACACAGACAGATCTTTACATTTATAATAATAATAATAAATAATAATAATAACGTTTTATTTACCCAGGGTAGCCACTTCAGTTATGAAACTGCTCTTCCAGCGGGCCCTGCATAACATAATATGTTATTACTACCCTTCTCCAATCTAATATGCTGAGCGCTTAGCTAGAAGGCAGAAGGTTCCATTGTTATAAGTCTTTGGTTCGACTCGACCGGGGTTCGAACCCACGACCTCCCATTCATGAGGTGGACGCTCTAACCATTGAGCCACCATTACAAAATAGGAAATGAACAAGTAATTTTTAATTCAAGATTTTCAAAGAAATATTTAATATAAACCTATCCTTCATATATCAAAATAACAGAGGATATGCCATTGAAATCATGCATTTATTCATGAGTCTCTGAAAAAAAATTACAAAAATGGGGCATCTTGCCATTAAACTGTTGATTAGCATTTTCATCATGTAGAGCCATTATAAAACATACAGAATGTGCAATATTTGTATAATATCATTCAAGAATATAAATACATGTACAGCAATGTCGACATTTGTATTTGATTCTTCTCACAAGGGTCCTTAACTGCATAAGGTGTACAACTAATGACTTTGAAGTTCAGCATCAAATAGTATCTACTTTCTTATTCTCCCATTCCTCTGCTTTCATAGAAATGAACTTTTTGCTAAGGTTGGATTACCCTTTAACCTGTTGACTACTGAATTTGATATAGGTCCCATAGGCTTAAAGGTATAGACCCGCTTTGCAAAACGCCCCCCCCCCCCCCTCTCAAAAAATGAAATGGAAGCTCTTATTACCATGTGAAATTATGATGTGAAAGAATATGTTTTGACTAATAAATGACGATACAATTTTGCCGGGAAACCGCCTACTAATTGATATATTTGATAAATTATCATATCAATCCAGACTGGATAGATATTGCGTAGTCCCATATCTTTCTGTGTACAGTGCTTGTAACTTTACCAAGACTGGGCCAACTTTCTTATCATTTTGATGATTCCAGAACCTTGCAGTACACACCAATACTTGTATGCTTGATGATCAACCTTTTCTGATCGATTCCACAATGTTTCTTTCACAAAGCAATCGCATTTCTATACCTTTACACAGAGACCACCATAAGCAAAGGGTTAAGATCTCACCAATGCAAACTTGTTAACAACAGCATACATTCTCTCCACCTCTCTGTCGGTGACGACTTTGTTCTCTCCTAGCCGGGAGTAGCGAGCGCTCAGGTACTCCTTGATCCATTGCAGCTGAAACTCTTTACTTGGGTACAGGTCATAGTTGACTTCCTCGATGCCTGAGAGAGAGAAGAGAGAGAGAGAGAGAGAGAGAGAGAGAGAGAGGAGAGAGGAGAGAGAGAGAGGGGGGAGAGAGAGAGGGAGGGAGGGAGGGGAAGAGAGAGAGAGAGGGGAAGGGAGTGGAAGAGAGAGGGAGGGAGGGGAAGAGAGAGAGAGGGGGGGGGGGGGGGGGGGGAAGGGAGTGGAAGAGAGAGGGAGGGAGGGGAAGAGAGAGAGAGAGGGGAAGGGAGTGGAAGAGAGAGGGAGGGAGGGGAAGAGAGAGAGAGAGGGGAAGGGAGTGGAAGAGAGAGGGAGGGAGGGAGGGAAGGGAAGAGAGAGAGAGAGAGGGAGGGAGGGAGGGAAAGAGAGAGAGAAATAGAGGGGGAGGGAGAGAGGGAGAGAAGGAGAGGGAGAGAGAGAGAGAGAGAGAGATAAGTAACTGGCTGCGAACGAATTGTTTAGCTACTGCACAAAAACTTGCATAGCGGGGTGCAATGAAAAAGATTTAAGCATGAAGTCATAAACACATGACTTGAATACAGGTTTGCCGTTGGTTACATTCTTGAACCTGTTGTAAAATTAAGTAATATTGACTGCCCTCAGGCCGGCAATACAACATATATTTATTTTATTGAAATATATTTAATCAGGATATCAAGAATCAGATATACATTGTAGATACAAAATCTGTTTTACATCATGGTCCTGAACAGGATAAAAACACGGAAATATAAATAACGAATATCACCAAAGCTCACAGGCAAAGGTAAGAACAATATAAAACTAACATATAAGCATAATACGCATTAAAAATAGTAAAAAAGCACACACACACACACAAAAAAAAAAAAAAAAAAAAAAAAAAATTGTTGTGATGTTTTGTATAATATTTGGCATATTAAGGGTTAATGCATTCTTAAAATGTCAGCACTCACCTGGAAATTCACAGAAATGGTTTGCTATATCAAACGGCAGATAGTTGTACATCGCATACTCATAGTCTATGAAACAAACTTTATCTGCAAAGTGAAAATAAGAAGAAAAAAGAAGGAAAAAAATGTTACATGATCAAGAGAAGGAAGCTATAGCACTTGACTTCGTATATCTCTTTTTTTAATTAAATAAAATCTTAAAGCACTTGTCTAAACACAAAACTTTCGTTTGAACTGAAGAAAGCCATGATAAGTGGTGAGTTATAAAGATCTGGATGTTTCCCTTTGCTATATCAATAAACAAGGGAATTCCCCTTTCATTACAGATGAGTCCAGAGGAGAGGAAAAAATGTGAAAATACAAGAGATACATGAACAACCAGTGGAGTCGCATCATAAGAGGAGGGGGAGGTGGTGCATCATTCTTAATTAAGAAGAAGAATGAGGAGAAGGAGAGAGGAGGAAAAGAACAAAACAAGAAAGAGAAACAGAAAGAACAACAACAACAAAAGAAAGAAAGAAAGAAAGAAGGAGGAAGACAATAAGAAGTAGAAGGAGAAGTATGTATTATGCCATCTATATAGAACTTTTTTTCCGAGCTGCCCAAGGAAAAAAAGATGTGAAATGGGAGTCTGAAAGAGTGCCATATTCTTACATAAAGCATTGCTAAAGAAGATAAGATCCTGTGATGTGCATGCGCGGTCAATATTTGCAGTACAAATGTTCCTACAGTTAAAAACAAGAGAAAGATTAAGCTAATGAGAACTTACTGAAGTCTAAGAGCAAGGGAGGAAGAGGCGGGCATGTAATCTCTCCCTACAAATTACTCTTAAAATAACGATTAAGTTTCAAACGTAAAGTTCTCATTTAATCTTTCTATTGTTTTTAACTGTAGGTACATTTGTACTGCAAATTAATATTAATCAATCGTTGAAGTTATACTTACTTTTTTCTTCATTATAGATAATGTTTCCTAGTAGTAAATCATTATGTGAGAAGACTACGGGTGCATCTAGGCTTGTCAGTACAGACACTAACATCTTTACTTCATCGTTCAGCTCTGATCGAGACATGATTCTCGTCTTGAATCTAAAGAAACAATTGAAATACAAGAAGATAATGAGCTACATCAAGAACGTCTCTTTCACTCTGCATTCATCTGTATCGTCTCTCTCTCTCACTCTCTTTCTCTTGCTCTCTTTCTCTCCATCTCTCTTTCTCTCTCACTCTTCTCTCTTTCTCTTGCTTCTTTCTCTCTCTCTCTCCCTTTCTCTCTTTCCCTTTCTCTCTCTCTCTCTTTCTCTTCCTCTCTTTCGCCAAGAGTCTGCCAACAGGAACAATTTAGTTCTTGTAATATACTGTATATGAAGAACCCAATGTTCATTAAGTAAATGCTCACATTTCTTCTTTCTTAGGATCTTCAAAGTGATCCGGATGGAGCGAGATAAAATTTCTCGTCTTATCAAAGAGCTCAGCAGAGGGCGCTGTTCCATCACCGGTCTGTATAAGGTGCATTCCAGCCAACTCCCGAGCAACCAACCTATATAAAACAAAGAAAAACAACTCCTTGCAAATTCTAAATCTATTGCAATCTGAAAGAAGCTTAGTGTAAATTTCCTATAAAACCAATCTTCCCTTTTTTCATGTACATGTAACTTACCCAACTAAAGCTATCATGAATGTAGTTTACCATCACTGTGACTATCTATTGATTATCATTATTTATTTTTGTTGATTGATCTCTGTAACCTTTTACCTGTGAAAACAAATTTCTCAATGGACATTGAATACCTAATTTCAATTTTCATTTCAATAGACCAGTTCACGGTTAGCACATGGCTGCAATGATCCCGAATATCCACAGATCTTCAAAACATGAAGAGGTCCCACTTTGTACATTTGAAACTTTGAAATAATCTCTCCTACAGCGATGGAGATGCTACATACTTAGCCTTTGTTTCCCCTTTTCAAAGAATACTTCCACCAGTGTATCATGGAGTGCTCTGCTTGTGCATAAATGAATAATGATTACATAACTTTCATGAGCACGTATCCAGTATTTCGTCTCCGTGTATTTCACAATTTGTTCTGCAATGACCTTTATCTGCTCATGCTCAGACTGCAACCGTGAACTGGCTTATTATACCTATGTGTTATGCGCTATACAAAATGGTTTACTTATCACTATCATTATTATTATTAAAATCATAAACCTTACTTGTATATCTTCTCCTCTCTCACAGTCTTCTCATCCAGCGTCACACCAGGCACAAAGTCATAGCATATACCATTCTGGAAGGAGGCATGGAGCTTGGGTCCACAGCCAGCTTTATGAAGGATCTTAAAGGTGTCCTTCTCCCTCTGACGATCCACCAGGAGCTCCGTCTTCTTGCCGTAGATACGGGAGAGCAGAACGTCATCCTGGAATTGAATTGAATTGAATTGAATTGAATTGAATTTTATTCCAATCGCAGTGAAAATGAAATTACACATTGTAGTACCAGTAATACATAGGCAAAGAAAAATACATTGAAATATATACATGTATATATTTTACTAAAGGCGTCATTAGAGGGCCTTTCGGAGTGAAAAATGAGTCATTAAGTAGACATTAGGGTTAGGGTTAGGATTTTTATGATGTCCACTTAACGTACTATGTAGGGTTATATATAGAGAGAGAGAGAAAGAGAGAGAGATTAAAAGAGAAAAAAAGAAAAAGAAAAAGAAAACATGATTACGGTAAATCTACTAAAAGTATAGGATGGAAAACGGTGCATCTATAAAAGCCACAGGGGCTTGATGAATGGGCGCACCATGAGTGCATCATAATATATTTAAGAATATAAAGCTCAGTCAGCTGGAGAAGAGTAAAGGGATAAACAACGCTCACAAGATATCATTTAAGAAGAACTAACCTTGTTAGGTGGTAGATAGCATCCAAGGAGCTTATTGGAAATGCCTCCTGAGAATACCTAGCGAGAAAATAGATGAGCTTACATTAATTTATTTGAGGTGTAATAATTTCATTGTAGCTAGCACATTGTTATTCATAAATCTATGAATCAGATGCGACAATTTGTTTGTTGGAAATGCCTCCTGAGAATAACTAGAGAGAAAATAGATGGTGCAATCGTGAGCTTACATTAATATATTTGATGTGTAATAAATTCATTGTAGCATATCGTTATTCATATATTTATGTATCGGATGCAACAGTTTCTTTGAATTTGTTTACATTATTTCTACCATTGTTATCAATCTGTTTGTATTTGTATTTGCAATTTTGGAAGTTTGGGTGTACTTTCACGTAAGGTGCCATTCATTTTGTGACCTTTTTGACATACGTTGTATTCAATAGCTGCCGGTAAGGGTTCGTAGTGGTACACTAGGGTCATTTTTAATTTTGGACATGTTCAAAAGTTTGAATACACTATGTATACACTATGTATACATTGAGCATTTGCAGTTAGAAAATTTTGCATGTTGGATGTACATTACTTCTTTGTACGCTGTTCAACCAAATACATGGAACCTTCATGTTTCTGGAATGTATACAAACTGTTTGTGCAACTAAAGGCTCCAAAATATCAGATGAAAACACAGCATACCGTATGCCGGTGATAAGGCCGCAGCGCCGCATAGGCCGCACCCCCGATTTTGACATTTGAAGAAAAAAAAATTGTCGAAGGCGGGATTCTATGAAGATTGGGACCCGAAACCAGCGCCTTAGACCGCTCAGCTATCCTGACTCTAATGCTTACCCATTCAGCTTTTTCTTGTCTTTTGCATTGCACCATAGCTTTGAGGGCGCGGTAAGACATGTGTTATTCTAGAAATGTACATCACCTTTCATTGTTGTCCCATATGTACAAATTCATGTTTTTGATTTGCGATCTTTTAAAAAAAAACTCTTTTGCCGCAAAGGCCGCACCCCGACTTTTTTATATTTTCTCTTCCAAAATACTGCGGCCTTTACGCCGGCAAATACGGTATTCTGATCTCAGTACATCAGCTTTCACTGATGTCCATCTATTTCGAGACCCATGGGAGGTCACAGACTGAAAAACGCTACCTGTACTGTATGATATCCTGTATACATTACTACATTGTACATTATACATGTATGTGAATTCTTTGGAGGCATGCATGAACTAGTACTCAGCTAGTGGAACGGGTATGGAGATGTTGACTGTCTGTTCAAGGTCATCTTCATGATCATGGTAAAATGCAATATGGTAGACATACATTTTTGGTATTCTCTGGTTATTCTTTGGTTACACTTAGCATTCAATGGATAAGCGCTACGCATGCACCGTCATTCATTCAACAATCAATTGTTGGGCATTTGTCTTATACAACAAGGATTTCATGAAGAAACAGATTTTGGCTGAGAATTTGAGCTAATTTGAGCACATTTGAGCGTATCAAGACTTCGCCAAATTTTGAAAGAAAAGTCTGTATCAGATATCTCTATTCACAGATATCTCTATTTACCACTGTGACAGTGGTTTAAGAGGAACAGCTAGGCAGGGCAGTTTTTCACAAAACTGTCATAAGTACAAGTTCGCTGACAACCCATGGATATCATATGCGTTACATATTAAATTTGAACGTTGTCCGGGAGTAGATTTACAAGCTTTTTTCAAAGAGGCTTGTGTATTAAAGTGCCCCTCAGAAAATTGGAGAAGTTTTCGCTGTGAAAATCGTGAATCCTCTGAAATCTGGTGATTCCAAAAGACCAGCAAATAATAAACCTCGACCAGTAAATCAACCGAAAGTCCGAAAGCTAAATTTAGTAAACGGAAACCAGTTGGGGAGGAGGGGACTGTACAGGCTTGGAACAGAAATTTGCTACATAGGGAGGAGATCTGACCATTAGATGCATGTTATAACTTGTAAAGTTGTGAGAGGGAAATAATGCTGATAAAGATGAAATAGCAAAGAATTTAGGAGTGTCATGGGTACCACCAATTCAATGGAAATTTGTATTAGAAAAAGAGCCCCCGTCAGTAATAAAAGAGCCCCCGTGAGAAGGCTCACAGGGGCTCTTTTTTTTTTTGGAAGAGCCCCCGTGGACAAAAAATTAATTTGAGCCCTGCCTCAGCTCCCCTAGCCTATAATCTAGGCGGAGTGCCGAGCTTTTTTCTTTGCTGCTAGACTAACCCTAAGCAGAACGTCTGATACGGCGAGACTACGAACCGTGAGTCGCGAAGCGGCTCACCGCCTATAATCACTGGTCGTATTCATGAGGTTTTTTCGTACGAAAAACTGCCACGGATTCATGGTCGATAATAAAAAAAACAACGACTAAAGCTAGACCAGTGATTATAGGCGGTGTCGCGGCTCACGGTTCGTAGTCTCGCCGTATCAGACGTTCTGCTTAAGGTTAGTCTAGCAGCAAAGAAAAAAGCTCGGCACTCCGCCTAGATTATAGGCTACAGCTCCCCTGACTAAAACCTGTCTTTCTATACTTTCATATGACCTTACCTTAGCCTTGATGTCTTTATCATTCCAGTCTGGTCTGACTTTCTTGGCTATAGATATAACACTCTCCTCAGCATTCTTCTCATCTACAAACATATCAAGATGAGGTAAGTCTGAATCTCCGCTCATCGTCATCGTGCGGCCGGGTGATCGATCGTCAAGGGCTGGAACCAAAAGAGAAAAAAGGACGAGAAGATAGAAAGCATATTATTGATAAAGATATTGATAATTATTACCCGTATCAGACATATGAGCTGGTCATTTACAAAACCGTATTGCCCTAGTTTTCACTAGCAGTGGGAACGGAGGGGTATATTCTTTGTATTTTCCTTGGTCTCCCTGCGCGTATTGACTTTGCGTGTAGAGACGAGTGAAAATATACCTTGGTATTTTCCACGGTCTCGCATTCGGGCATCTTGTATTGACCGGGCCGTATTTTTTCATTTTCATTGCGCATCTATTATGCGTACAAGAACCTGAGCACTTTGTGCGCACTCTATTGTGACGTTATAATCACACCAAATGCACACTGTTTGCAGTGTATCGAAAATTGTGTCAAGCACTGGATGCACAGTGCTGGTAGTTTGTTCAGTTCTTGAGATTGTCATGGTGGATTTCTGTATTTGCTCTAGATGTCTGATTTGGATAACAATAAAAATATTGACTGGCTTTACTTTCGAGGGATATCAGAAATATTGACCGCGCTAAGACCATATTGCCCTCGTCTTTCGACTCGGGGCAATATGATCTGAGCTTGGTCAATATTTCTGATATACCCCTCAAGGCCAGTCAATATTATATAAATATCTAATAGTAATACAAATACTAATACTAATAGTAATAGTATTAGTAATAATAATACAAATAAAAATAATGATAATAATAATTAAAAAAATAATTTAAAAAAATAGTAATAATAATAATAATAATAATAATAATAATAATGATAATAAAGATTACATTACAAAAAAATATATAACAAGGTCCTAGGCATGTGGCTGCATGTGACCTTGCAAAACAAGCACCACAGGAAGACAAAAACAAAAGCCAGGACTTTTTTATGTTAATCTGAAATAATTTAAAGCATTGTTAAAATCAGAATTGTATAATTAATAAAAGGAAATAATAAAGATGGCAAGACCTTTCAAATGAACATATCTATTAAACTTTGAATGCAAACTGAACAGCTATGTAGAGACTGCGAACTATAATCATACGCAGACCCAGATTATGCAATGTTGGCATGAATACAGACCCTGCCAAAGCAAACTATCGGTATGGTCTTCCCAAACTACCCCCCCCCCCCCCAAAAAAAAAAATACAAACAAACAACAAACAAACTAATACTAGAATGTCCAAAACATACATGGTTTGAATGACAGAAAGTAATATCTAGTGAACTCTAGCAAAATAATACAACCCCTTTAAATCAACAGAAAAAGCAGTCCAAAAAGCTCTAGCTTTGTTCATAGAACACTGTAGAAACAAGGCAATTTGAGCTTTAGTACAGCCCATTCATTGGCCCCGCCCCTTTAACCCCATTACCAGCATCCCCTGCCCCCGCCCCTGCCCCCACCCCCCTCCCCATCATATACAAGTCCAAGTAACAAATAGGGTTTAATCATGTTTATTGCAATGTAATGCAAGGTTACACTGACGAGTTACAGCTCCAAATTAAACATGTTTAGGTATACTAGGTGTAGGCCTAACTCTCTACACAATCGTTTAGCGGTTTACGGTTAGGCTCCGTGCATTGCATGCATTGTGATATGTAGGAGTGTGTCCATGGGTCCAAAATGCACTGCCTGCCTTAGTTTACTGTTAGTGCTTCTTTCTGTAAAACATTCAATTTTAATGAAAGGTAGGCTTACCTATTGACTATTGGAAATTTAACACTTGATCTGGGGCCCTTGGCTTCCAATGATGACGCCCAAAATAACCTGAATATGAGCCGAGAGCGATCGAGAGGAGCTAGCGAATGAGCGATTCGAATTCGGGAGCCAGTCGAGTCGTCGGGATCGATCTATAGGGTACGGTGCGATGCGATGAAACAACACATGTCACAGCTGATCGCCTCGGCCTGATTAGCGTGCATGCTGCGGTAGTACGCGGTCAGTTTGAATTTGTCAATATAATTCTACGGTCACAAACTAAGAACTCACATGCCCTGGTAAGAACGATAATTTCGTACGAATCTCCCTGTTTTTCAATTGTCTTCCCGAATTTCCATTGTCTGAAAATCGTTCGTACGGCGTTCGTAGCAGTTCGTAATGGTGATTTGTGACCGAGTATTACAAAGTTTTGGTATGGGGGGGGGGGGGGGGGGGGGGGGGGGGGGGGGGGGGGGGGGGGGGGGGGGGGGGGGGGGGGGTCATGAATTTGGTTCAAATTAACACATTGGAAGCAGGCACGTACGCAGGATTTTTGAAGGGGGGGGGGGAGGGGGGGGGGTTTAACATTTTTAAATCGGGCTGAAAATTTCGCAACGACTCAATCAGCCGCTGAATAAGCGGGGGGCGAGGGGGGGGGGGTTGAAGAGGACACCTTTTTGGTCCCCAAAAAATCGCAACGATTCAGCCGCTGAATAAGGGGGGGGGGGGGGGGGGGGGGGGGGGGGGGGGGGGGGGGGGGGGGGGGGGGGGGGGGGGGGGGGGGGGGGGGGGGGGGGGGGGGGGGGGGGGGGGGGGGGGGGGGGGGGGGGTGGGGGGGGGGGGGGGGGGGGGGGGGGGGGGGGTAAGAGGACACTTTTTATTAAAAAAAACAAGGGGGGGATTAGGGGGTTTTACCACATAAAAAATACCAAAGGGGGGTTCAGCCCCCCCCCCCCCCCCCCCCCCCCCCCCCCCCCCCCCCCCCCCCCCCCCCCCCTGCGTACGCGCCTGGTTGGAAGCATACATTGATCGTTGTCGCGGTTGAAATCGAGTCTAAAGTTATGAAATTATAAATAATAAACTCTTTAAGTTGTATAGCTCCCTCTTAAGGTCAAGATATTGATTTAGCTATGAAACAATGTTTCTTGACTAAAATCGACCGATTAGCTATTCCCGTTTGGAAATTATCCCAACTACATATTCTGGGATTTTCATGGTCGCAGCTACCATTGTGCGGCCATAGGCGCTATTGGAAATTTATCAAAATTTACCGGGAGCACCGGTAAATTTTTATATTCAATTTTTCTCGAAAACAGAAGTGTTTTAGGGGCTAATTTTGTTACTGCTTATAATACATCCACAGGGGCATCCAAATATATCATAATTGTAAAGATTCATTATTCACCCAATTTTCAAAATTTCCCAAAACTTTGTATTACCTTTAATCAATATACAAATCGACAATAGTGGGGAAAATTAGTCATAAATTAAGTAAACATGAACATTAACAAACATATTGAGACAATCACCCCCCCCCCCCCTCCCCATACGGTACGCATATGCGTGTTCCGATCGCCCATCCCCCCCCCCCCCCCCCCCGGACCCCATCAAAAGTCCGGTGTCACTGTATTACAGTCAAATACGGGTCGACCTTTGTCTTTTGTTACTAGGGCCTTTTTCAGCACCCCCCCCCCCCCCCACTTTCAGAAAAAGTCCGGTGACCTTTTTCTTTTGTTACGAGCAAGAGAGTTTGGGAACACGCATGGTATCCAGTAAATTGATATTTGAGTTAATAAATTACTGAAAATATCCTTGATATCAATTTAATAATTTGATATAAAGGAAATAGAAAACTTTGCTCAGAGAATAGAAGCGAATGACATGTTATAAATTATGATTGCAATTGTTATTCTTCTGCCGGTTAAAACCTTTTCATTTTGTATATACTTATGTTTTTGTAGCCTACGATATAGAAATTCTACATAATTTCATTATTTTCCTCTTTTTCCTCCTTCTCCTCCTATTTTTCTTTTCTCCTTCTTCTTTTTTTTATTGTACTTACTATCATTTCTATTATGATTATCATCTTTATTTAAGTTTTTTCTTCTTATCTGTCTGTAAATATTACTATTTTAACCGTTATTAATTTTGTAGGCCTATAATAATGTCTGTCGGGGACCCCACTGGGAATAAGCTCTCGAGCTTTCGTGGGTTATCCTGTTTAAGCTGACTTAATTTTGATCTTTAAATTATTGTATATTGTTGTACTTGAATGTTGGAAGCTTGGCGAATAAAAATCAATCAATCAATCAATCTATGCGCCATTTAGTAAAACTGTCATTCAGTATTTTCGCTCCAGCATTGCACTAACTACCACTTATAATTATATTAATGATTTCAGATTCTGATTCTATTGAATATGTAAAATTATTTCAGAATAAATAAATTATTCAGATCTTTCTCATTCAAGCTATTGACTCCTAGCCTCTCACTATTTACCCATGCATCCATCCCAGCACCAACTCCATTAAGATTAAGCCTCTCATTAACTCCACATAATTGATAGGCCTTCATAGCGCATCAAAATTACATTTCATCTTATCTTTCTAACTACTGCCCCTTTTCACCTCTGATAAGTTTCCTTATTCTTATCTATATAGACTGTGCCCTTTTTACTTTGACAAGTGCAGTTTTATTTAAAAACATGTAATAAATGCACCCATTTTCTTTCTTATAGGTGCGTCTTTTAAGGTGCCAAAAGTGTACCTGTTCACCTCTGAAAAGTGCCCCTTTCCTTTAATTTATAATAATTGCATTTTTCTCTTCAAAGAAATGTTTGTAGGTATGAGAAATACCCATCTTCAGTTCTGATAAGTGCCCGTTTAAAATAAGTATATGAAATATAAGTTCCCGCGTTACCTTTGATAGGTAGGCCTACCCCCCCCCCCTTTAAGTTTATTCCCTGCAGTGTCGCTTACACAATTGGCCCTTTTGTGGTAATCTAAAATCTAAACTCTAGTTTTAAAGAATCGAAGCAGCTTTTTGCAGTACAGGGACACTTCTATATAAAACCACACTAAGGTAGTAGCCGAGGTGACAGGGGGTACAATGCCCAAATGTTATAGAACTATAAGTGTACCCCTTTTATAAATATATTTGTGCTCGTTTCCAAATCATATTATGTATAAAAAGTGTGCCTTTTTCACACTAAAACGTTTGCCCCTTTAAGCTACCTTGGCTAGGCTATTCTATACAACTGCTAAAAACACGCATTTTCATACCTACCATCATAATAAACTAGCTCATACCCGTTTGAAATTCATAGAATTCCAAGGTAATCATTTGCTCTTTGTTCAGGAATATAACATATTTTTATAACAGATGAAATTGTACATTCACGGAACAAAAATGATTGCATTCAGTAAGTATCATACAATCAGTTACTGAAGGTCATTGAAACAGACTGACTGCTATAATCTAAAATTTGGATATTATAATTGAAAAATTTATAAACATTATTTTGTAACATTTGCTGGTAGGTTTCTGAAATTTGTTGTTCGCTTGTATGAAATCTATTTTGCATTTTAAACTTGAATTGTTATGTAAATGAAAACAAATTTTGATCTATTATACCATTACCATTATCGTCGAGTCGTTAAGTCTCGATCAAAGCGGCAGATCACCTAATTCGTCTCCATAACGAATTCAATGTCTAATTATTAGAGAGGCGGCCCTTTGGGAGGGGGGGGGGGCGAAACCGCAAAGTGCCCCCGCTATTACATGAAAAAGTGCCCCTTTTACTTTGATAAGTGCCCTATTACTTTGTAAAAGTGCCCCTTACCCTTTTCACCTCTGATGATCGAGTGCCCTAACATGACGAAAACTCTCCGTTAGAGAAAATTCAGTGAATTGTCTCATAGACTTTAGTTTGGTCCTAAGCACTTTGATATAGTCATTATCATTAAGTAAACAAGACCCTTCCTTATCTGCTGGTGAACTTATCCCTCTGTCAATACAAGGCTATTAAGGACTTAATCCATGTATCAACAGAGCTTGCGTACATTTAGGTGAGCCTGGAGCGTTGGGTTAGTCTAGAATTCAGACAATAATTATTGGTTTCAGCATGGACCTGCGAGAAGTAAATTAGATGTATTGTGGTACCAGCAACTGGCAACTTTGGAACTCAAGTCGAACAATAAGTGTTACTAGCATATTTACGAGACGCTGCATTCCGAAAGAAAGAAATGAATGAAGGAAATAAACGTCAATATCACCGGCGCTTGAGACAGATTGCGGGAGAGATAGAAGCAAAAACATTTCAATATCGCTGTTACCGGCTTTTTAATATTACACAAATTATGCCAACGGAAAAAAAGAAATGAATGAAGGAAATGAATGCCTACAACACCAGCGCTTGAGAAATATAAAGAGAGACATGTCTCAGGAGATCGATAAGCGAAAACAATTCAATTTAGCTAATGTTACCGGATTTTATATGACAAATAGTACGCCAACAGAAAGAAAGAAATGAATGAAGAAAATGAACGCAGATCGCTGGAGAGAGAGAAGCGAAAACAATTCAATGTCGCTGATTTTACCGGCTTCATGACAAAAGGTAAGCCAACGGAAAGAAAGAAATGAATGAAGAAAATGAATTCCAATATCACCATCGCTTGAGAATTATGAAGAGAGACAGATTGCAGGAGATCGAGAGAAGCGAAAACAATTCAATTTGGCTGGTCCATCTATCATGACAAAAAGTAAGCAACGGAAAGAAAGAAATGAATGAACAAAAATGAACTTGTCAATATAACAATTAAGCGCTTGAGCAATATAAAGAGAGACGGATCTCGGGAGAGAGCAAAGCGAAAACAATTAAAATATCGCTGATGTTACCGGCTTTATTACAAAAAGTAAGCCAACGGAAAGTAAAGAAAATGAATGAAGAAAATGAATGCCAATATCATCAGCGCTTGAGAATTTTAAAGAGAGACAGATCGCGGGAGATCGAGAGAAGCGAAAACAATTCAATTTGGCTGACGTTACTACCGTCTATCATGACAAAAAGTAAGCAACGGAAAGAAAGAAAATAAATGAAGAAAATGAATGCCAATATCATCAGCGCTTGAGAATTTT